TTGTGCTTCCCCCCTCATTTCCTTTTCATTATGAAACTTTGTGTCATAGTCAGAAATTGGTTATAAAATGATATAATTTTGCTAATGTGTTTTATATTTGGAAACTTGTATTCAGAGCAAAGTTTTAGTTCTTCTATATTTGCGCATGTATTCTTGTGTTCTATGTGTGTTGAATACTCACATTGTAAGCCCTAAAGGCCTGCTTAGATCTGTGTTAAACTGGAGCCATCTTAAATTCCTTTAAATTATTAACACAAACAATTGATTCAAACATCCACTGCCCCATAAGGAGTATGCTGTAACAAGTTGCTCTGGTTTGGGGGGGAAATCTCCCCTTTACTGTATGATATGCTGACTTACCAGTGTAAAAAGGAGAAGAAGAAAAAAAAAAAAAAGAAAGTCACAAAGAGTGTAAGTCACTGGGAGAAATTTTCAACATTTTGATCAACAAACCTAGCTTCCAGGTATTTTGGTGCATTTTCTTCCCAAGGCATCCACCAAGCCTTCCAATCAATTAAGTCCACTTAACTCTTTGAAAGCTTGTTTGTCTATTCGCTTATTAAATGAGGTTTTAATCAGATTTCTGAATGGGCATCGTTTTCCTTTGCAAGTTAGGAACAAAATTACAATTAGAATATAATTAGCTAGTTGTGAGGTTTTCACCTTGTTCTTTAACCTGGCCTTTTTACAGAAGCTACTACTGGCAACCTGTGTAATGTACATGGAACAGTTCCCCTCCACCTCGCACCCCTTCCAGTTTCCAGGAATCAGTCACTTCTTCTTTTCAAATTTAAAAGGTAGCTGCAGCAATTCACTGTTCAGAAGCTTGAAAACAAGCTAAGCCCAGCCTTCCCAAATTGGGCTAAATATTGCTCTCATTTACACCCTAAAAATCAACATGAATGACATAAGAAACTAAGCTATCAACTGCAATCACTCCGTGACTAATGTATTTACTTTAATATATTATGTCCACGCATTTTCCTTGTCTTTCGTTTGCTTCCACTTTATGTCAAATCTGTGATGAGGACACATAGATGTCTACCTACTGCATTGAGGCTTCACAGTGCTGCTAATTTTCCCAGTACTTTTCATGCATCGAACAGCTGGAACAGACTGTTATATTCAGCCAGCAATTCAATTTGAACCCGTGATGTGTCTGGCTAAAGCAGAGAGCAGATGTAAAATTATATTTTTCCTTAGAAGGGGGGTACTTCGCAGGGATAGCAGGGGACTGAAGAGAGCAGTGCTACTCTTCAAGAGATAAACATAGGGCTCCCAGACCTTCAAAGAATGATATCCTGGAAGAAATAATCTCACAGAGTTCTATTTAGTGGAATATCTCTTTCTGGAGTCTCTTGTGGAACGTATTATTTTACTGCTACAATACTTAGTTTAGGGAACAAAATCACAATTCTTCTTTCTTGGAAATGAAAAACTAAACTACTGCCATTTCAGTGAAATGCTGAAATGTTGCAGCTACTCAAAACACACCAGGGGCTGGGCACCTTGGGGAGGAAGGTACAGTACCTTTGTAAGGTACTAGTAAGTAGTCTTTGGGGAGAAAGGTACAGAAAGGCTCACAGACACAAGTGGAATGCTGTTATTCTAATATATGCCAGTGGGCAAAGTAGAAAGAAGTAGCAATATGTGTTGAAAATGGAAATAATTTCCTCATAGATAGTCCTGAAAAGCAGGGTCCTTGTTCAAGCTGGTCAAATATTTGCTATCAAAACTGTTCTTTGGTGACAGATTACCCTTGTTAGTCTTTTTTTTTTTTTTTTCCAAAAATGTATCTGTCATCTTTGGAAAACCGAGTTTTCATTATTAAAAAAAAAAAAAAAATCTCTTACAGACAAAAAACGTTTTAAGTAAAAGCTGGAAACCATCCAAAATTTTCTCTGTGAAAGTAAAAGCCTTTTTTGTTTATATTTAGTCCTTGCCTCCTTTACTACTCTACCACTCCCCAGCCAGTCTTTAGAGTTATTAACAAATAGAGACCTTTGTTAGAAATTAGTTCTGGTTGAAAATGCATCACAAGAACCTGCCTAAAGGCAGAGACTATCTAACAAATATTTTCCTTTTCTTTTTTTATTATTTTATTCTTTCATCACTTTGCAGTGAAGGTCTTATTTATTGAGCAAGTATTCAAAACATTGAGCAAATGCTGAATAGAGTTATTACTTGAAAACAGTTCATGAACTTTGCATCTTTATGTGAACAACAGTTCCCCACAAAACAAACAAAAGAGGGGGAAAAAAAAAACCACCATGCACTAGCTTCTATTATTATTCCACTCCTGTTTTATCAATTATGTGTACTGTTACAGCACCTCAGAAGACCCAGCGTAACAAGTAAACAGAATACAATGATAATCTCTGCTTTGGCATTTATGATCTTCACAGGACTTTACTGGCTGAAGCAGACAAGCTCCTTCACATTGCACCTTTGAGATCCAAGCCATCTCCAAGCTGAGTGCTGCATTGCTGAGGTTGATGCCTTGCTGTGTTGAGTTAGTAAGTCCTGCTGAGAGGCACCGAACACTGCTGCAGCAACAACCCTGAGTGAGCACATCTTCCTGCAACCCTTCAAGTGGGTTGCTAGCTGTGCAGGAGAGACAACATAGGCATACACAGGCTATAAAATATGAGCCAGTAGTCAAATACATAAACAGTTAATGAACAAGGAGAGAAGGCAAAATAAGCCAGCTTTAATAGCCAAGCTGCTATCCAGTTTCTGTAGGCACTACTGTTACAAGGAAGTTAAAGAAGCCATTTCAGAAAAAAAGGTGATTCTTTTTTTTTTTTTTTGGATGCCTGCAGAGAGGTCTTACAAAGTGTATGGAGAAGCAAAATAGAGTGCATAAATGAGCTTCCTTGTAAATTAATCATTATGTGATGGAGACCAGAATCCAGTCAATTGTAGTCTTCAATGAAATACTGTAATTTTAGGAGGGTAACACTCTGGATGTGAGAACAGATAGTTTATGTATGAAATCCTGGAAAACCCTGGTCTGGAGAACATGAAGGACATGATCAAAGAAACAGGAAAATGACCCTTGCAGCAGCTTTATGAATGTACTGAGAGGGACAAACCTAAGTTTGTTGAAGATGGAGAAGAGGATTTGAGGATTTGGTATTGGGCAAGTGGGAAGATCAGACTTAATCAATGGGTTTTACCAGCAAGTTTGCAGTATTTCAGACCCATTTGGAAAAAAGAGTGTATTGCAGCTGCACTGGCTTTGTCTCACCTGCCTGGTTAGATCAGGCATATGAATGCTTTGCCTGATAGGTATGCAATAAAACAGCCAAAGCATACCCTATATATTGTCCTGATTTATCTATAGTATGCATCAGCTTGGTTTTACATATTACAGAAAGGAAATGCTTATTCAGGATTTCAGAAAAGAATTTTTCAGAAAAGAATAGAGCAGGACTTTAAAATTGGTTTAAGTACCAAGATGGGGGTGAGGTTACATGTTTGGATTGTTTGTAATGCAAATCCAAAATCTAAAGAGGTTGTTTTGGTTTTGATTTGTTTGTTTTGTTTTCTTTCCCAGGTAAACCTCCTATCGATGTCAGTGACGCTTTTGGGGTAAAAATATTCAAGGTTTAACCCATGTTATATTGTACAAATGATGCAAATGCTTCTGTCATGTTTTCCATAGCAGTCATATATTATTTCAAGTAACATAATTTGGGAAGGAAAAAATACTAAATTTATATATATATATTTATAAACATGAAGCAAATTGAATTCCCATAGGAATATTTATAATACATATTTGATTTATAGCAAGCAAATTCTTTTTATAGGTAATGCATCTAAGTGGATGTTTTAAAAGTCTGATTTAAGAAAAAATGCTCCTATAGCTGCTGGCCTTAACAAACCTTCATTTAATGTTTTTAAATATTGACAGTGATAAAGCTAATTTACAATTTAAAGTAAATTTACACATTTTCTAGGCCTGTGACTTTTCCAAACAAGATGTTAGGTATTTTTCAAACAGGGAATGCCAACACTTTTAGTTGTGTAAAAATATAAATCACTTACTTCTCTTTGGGCAATGATTACACACTTATAATATGAGGTAGAAAAATATATTCTTTCTTGGAAAACATTTATGAAGAGTAAGTCGTATGACCAGTGAGGAATAAACTATCAGACTTAAATGTAATATTGAAAAATTCTGTACTGTGTGTGAATTAAGGAGTTATGCTAATGCATACTAACATAAAATGAGTTTAGTCAAGCCTTCTTTTAAGCAGCTTGAAAATACTTATCACTATATGGAAATATGTGTAATTTCCATATGCAAATTCTTTTATTTAAAAGGCTCAAGTCTCCCTTCTGTAATTGGCCTTGGCCATCAAGCAATGTGCTAACAATGAATTTCATCTCTTTTTATAGCACATCTGCTAGTAGTAGATGACAGTCAATTGGCAGAACTGATATCCCAAGCACTGGCACAAAATCAATTTTTTTTTTCCCTTGATTTCATTCATTTTCTGCCAGCTGAAAATCACAGCCTCCCAAAAAATGGTATCAGTTCATACTGGCCCTCAGAACAGAGTGGCATTACTGTAGTTTAAGAAGATGAAGGCATTTTGAAGTGAACTAATAGGATTTGTTAGCAAAGGAATGAACAGATTACTTACTAATGTTTCTGTGCACAATCTGGGAATTTTCTGCTCTTTAAATTAGGATATATCTGCTAATATACATCTCTCTAGGCAATTTAAATGCAAAACTTGAAAACTTGCTTAAAGAAGACAACATTTCAGGGGCATGGTTGAGAGGTTGTTGCATATTCCCTCCCCTGAGAAAATGTGAAAATAATCTGGTCCTGCAACATTCTTGCTAAAATGGCAACTTTCTCTTTTCACCAGCTATTCTAAAAGTCATAGAAATCATTTCTAATTTTGACAAGACACAGGGCAGGGAAAGTAACAAAGAAGCTGAGCTAGCCAAATAATATGCCTGTTTACTCCCTTATACAGAGAGTTCAGCAATGAGCAACATGAGTTTTTTTATTAAGGAGGCTGAATGCAAAGACAAGAGACATCCACGCTCCCTCAGAACTCCAACCACAGTTATTCTCCATTCCCTGGGGCACTGAAGCGAAGTATTTTTGTGCTGCCATGAAGCAGGTACTTCAGATACACACAGATGATATATACTGGCATCCTTGCCAAGATGAAGGGTTCCTGGGTAGCTCCAGTGCTATATTATAACTGAAGACCATGTCTTTGTGGTAATTCCCATTTTCCACTCCAATTTCTAACAGAATATTGTGTTTTGGAACAAGTGTTGAAAGTGTTGATTAATTGAGCTTCTCCTCTAAAAAATGGATCTGAGTTGTACTAAGTACATTTGAGACAATTTGACAATTTATTTTTTTCATTAACAGAAGTGTTCTAACAAGACAGAATTCCCAGACATAGACAGAGGGCCAAACTGATGTCTTTGCAACATGCACTAAGTAGTGTCTTCCCTCCCCCATTGTCTGACTGAGGTCATGGGCTGGTATATGCAAGGTACTATTCAATGTCAAGAATGTCAAAATTTACCTGTTATTCATGCTGTTTATGTTCAGATTACAGGCATTCCTCCTCAGTCAAATATGATGATTTTTATGTGAATTCATTCCTTTATCTTATCTTAATCTATGTCTGAACAGGCTGCAGATTATTTCCTGTTGGAGCATATTTGCAAGGATTCACAGGCTAAGGCTATCCAACCATAAACTCTGTCTGCTTTGCATTGGGTCTGGCTCTGTGTTTGCACCTACATGCACTTCTGGTTGTAGCTCACAAAAACTTTCTTTGTTGAGTATTTGATCAAACATAGGGCTGAGTTTTACTTCAAGTCATTCGTTCTAATACCAGGTGGTTTTCCAAACCCAGCATGTATTTTGTATTTGAAGAACAGCCTTTCAAAAGCCCAAGGAATGAAGGAACACCAGAATAGCTCTATGAGATCATTCCAGGATCCTGACTCCAACAATAGCCAGTAGCAGATGACCCGTATCCTGTTTCTGATGATATCCAACAGTGGCAGAGGCCTGCAGAATAGTGTAAAAGGAAAGCAGACACATAGCAATACATACACCACTGCAAAGACTACTTTTGCATCATTTTAGGCAAGTGCAAGACTTTATAGATTATAAAACAGCTTCTTACAGCATCGGTGGTAATGGCAAATACTATAGAGAAAATTAAAAAGCCACTGCTAATTTTTGATTCTCCATAAAGAGCAATGCTAAGTACATCTTCATACATAATAAAGTCTTCTCGGCTCTAGGTCCAGGAAATTCCTCCTGATAAATATTGGAATTGTTACTATTTGACTTTTCCTTAGCCTTGAAAATATGCTAGTGGTCTCAGGCCAGCCACTGAATTATTTCCAGGAGGCTAATGGGCACATTTAATATCAGTATTCAAAACTCATCTTCTCTCTTATGCTATTAGATGACATCTTTAAAATAAAGGGGAAAAAAGGCAAAAACCAAAACTGGAACTGAACTCCTTTTGTGACTTATCATTCCAGGATGGAGCAGAAGTAAGTAACTAGTGCAAAGGAAATTTCCACATCTGTTGCAGAATTATCTGCCATTTGCAGGTGCAGAAATACTTAAAATATACCTACAGAGTAGAAAACCTGTATGAAGTCATGAACAGAAAACACCTGTCAACCTTTATTGCAAAGTACTCCAAATTTCGGTTGTATCTTTTGGTGCAACTTAGTTCAGAAATTCAAATATAGAATGACATGGTTCTTATATTTTTGTTTAGGTAATCTTACATCTAATGCACCTGGGATGAGTTTATCTTGACAGTAATCAGATCATAGAGAGATAACTACATATTACATTGTTTATGCAAAGTAATCTGTCTTATGTTAGAAGCATTAAGCTTGTGTATTCCAGAAGTAATACAGGGACAGGAAGATCATTTTTCATTTCATGCATGATATGTTGATTTGACATTCAGGGAAGAAAAGCATGGAAACTATGATAGAACAGATGAAGGTATTACAAGATTAGTTTGAAATGGCTTCTAAATACCTCTGCCATAAACCTATGGTAAAATACTACCTGTATTACCTGTAATAAGAGATCTGTTACCAATAGTGTACTTGGAAAGTATGAGTCTGAATTACATTCATTTTTAAGGACATTCTAATAACATTTGAGCTGACCTGAATTGTAGACACACTAACCCAAACAAGTTTAACAGATGGTATGATGATGACCTCACATTGTGGTCTAGACAGGCTAATGAAATGGCTGCATAACAGAAGGAGACCTCCAAAATTGGATAAAATACAGTTTTTAGTGAAGATAAAAATGAAGCTATGGGTTGCATAGTAAATTTACACAGTACATCAAAGCATGTGTTGTAGAATGGCTTTTTCATTGAGATGTGATAAGACCACTTGGATGGCTGCACCTTCTGGATAAAACAGAGGGTTGGAATAGGTTTTCAGGCGTAGTATCTACACAAACATTGAATCTGTTCCTTAGACTGGGGACTATGTAAGCCTGTCAAAAACAAGCCAGATATACCTGTTGACTTCAAATCAAGTCTGTCTAAGTGCTTTCTTTTCCAGGGATATTTTCCAAAACTGTTTTTCCAAAATGATATCAGGAATAAAAATAACTGCCATGGGAAGCTGGTAATTTTTCAGTGATTAAAGTTTTCTTAACAGTCAACCATCAAAAAATTCATTTGGTTCTGAATTGAAAGTTTCTTATTTTGTGTCTCCAATTAATTTTGAAACTAGAAAAAAAGAGAGTTCTGATTATTTTTGTCCTAATACCTAGCTGATTGCATGAAGCACAAGAAGGTGCAGAAAACACAACAAAGGCCACAGCTGTGGTTGATTATAGTTTTTTCTCATGAACGTCATCACCTCAAATGGGTGACTAAGTATTTTTGCACTGATTTGAAGGGGTTTTGAGTCACAGTATCTTATTTTGAAGAGGCAGTGACTTAAAGAATTCTTCATATTATTTTTTATTTTTTTTTAGTTTCAGAATGTGAACAGTTTGCAAAATGTAAAGTCTTTGTGGCTCACAGAAGAGCCCTATTACATGGTGAGGCCAAATCTGAAGAGTCTAATTCTAGCAGAGTTAACGTGCTCACATTTGGAACATCTGTAAAGTCTAATGTGAACTGAATGTTAAGTAAAAGCAACTTCATTTGTTAGTAGAGTGTGGCGTATTGCCATATATGCAACTTCTTTTCCACATCACATGCTTTTTGTATATTTCACACATGCTTCAAAGATTCTATTTTTGGAATAGTTTTTAAGGGGCTTGCTATGTTTATGGAACTGATTCTTGTATCTTTCCTGAAAACCTGGGTTGTTAGACCCTTGTGTTCAAAGCTCTCACAACATAGAAAAAAGATCAAACCAATGAAAGTAAAATGATCCAGAAATTGCCCTGTGTAAGTTTTATTTGCTTAAAATTCTTACTTTAGGCTGTACCGACGAGCCTGTGAGGCCAGAAAATAAATGTTGAAAGGTAACAGTAAGAATAAAGTTTCCCATTTCTCAAAAACTTAAAGCACAAGTAGACATATTATTGGTCTTTTCTAACTGCAAAGCTAAACATTGCTAGTCTACATCTCAGATAGAAGTAATTTTTGGAAGAAATTTAGGTGCTTGGGAGCAAGAAAGATTTTTCTGACTATTTCTGATATTAGGAAATTGGCAGCTGCTTAAAAAAGCTCAGTGGTTTGGAATGTCAGCCCATGAACTGGGGAAAGACTCATCAGAAAGGTTCACAGCCAGAATCATCCAGTGTATGTCCATAATGTTAAAACAGGCCAACCAAACGCACACCAGCTTGTTTTGTGATCTGGAAATGGGACAGATGAGCTGCAAGCACACGACTCGCTTTTTGCTGGTGGGTACAAGTGTTAAGGTAGACACTTCCAAAATCTCACTAGGAATCACATCTTTGGAAAGATGTGATTGCAAACACAGCATAATTTACTTTGCCAGCATGCTTTGCTACGGCACTATGATCTCCATCTGTCTGCTGTTTGGTATGTGAATACATAGCTACAGCTATAGGTATAATAAATACATCAGGGCTAGATTGTGCCTCAAGGCAAATGTTCTGTTGATTTTACTGGCCTTCCTGTTACGTCTTGTGATGTTTTGCTGTGCTCATCCACTCGCCCCATAAGACATCCATGTGAGCAGCTCTGTGGTTTTATTTTCATGTTTAAAACAAGTTGCTATAATCAGCTTTTCTGTAACTTAAACTGCAGTTGTTATGATCATATTAAAGTATTACTTTTCAGGCTCAGCCATGCTGTAAGTCTATGATTAGAGGCTTAAACTTCAGTGTGGAGCAAGTCTATAATGAAAGCAAAGTTCTCTTTCATTTCCTATGATTCAACGTACTTGACAATTGCCCAGTTTTGCTTCCCATGCTGTTACATTTGAGACTTGGCCTTTTGAGAACCAGTGGAGCACTGCTACCTCGCCAGCTCATTGCTCCCGATTGTGTAAGTGATGGCAAACCACTCGCCTGGTGCTGGCTTGGAGGCAAAGATACATCAAGTGAGTATGTGGGGTGATTGTTAAACAGACACAAACCTCACCAAAAGCACATTTATTTCAGGGGGAAGGTGATTTTTCAATGATTTCAGTGTACTTTGGATTAATCCCTAAGATGCTTGCCTTGTGTAATGTATTAGTGGAAAATCTTCAGGGTCATGGTGTAAGGGTGTACCAAAAGCTGGGACAGAATCTTTTGAAGGTAATAAATTGTTTATGGACAATAGTAGTACTACATTGTTGCCTAAATAAAGATAAAGAAACAAATGTTTCATTCCTTACAGGAGTACATCCCCATTGTTTTTTACTGTAAGAATGTGGCCTGTATATTTAGAAAATAATATTAAGAATGTTATAGGAGTGATCTTCAAACAATTTGTTTCTAGAGTACATTTAATTTAAGGGTCCCTTAGTTTTGTAGTTAATTGTTAATGGTATTTCCTAAATTATAAGCCACTGTGAATAGCTTCTCATACTTCTGTTCCAAAAATAAGTGCAAAATAAGCCAGCAGCCTTGCAGTCATAAAACCTAGGGACCTAATTCTGAAGTAGCTCCAGCTGTGAAGTCTAGGAAATCAGCCAGGCTGGTTTCAGCTCCTGTTAGATTAGAAATTTGACCTACCAATAAAAGGAATGGACACTTTGTTTATCTTCCCAGAGGGTACTGATATACATCTTAAATGTGTCTGATTGAATCAATATACTGTCAAGGTGAATGCCTTAGCAGTAGCATTGCAATGCTGATAATCCACCAGCAGATAATGAAATTCTTAGAACGATTCTAAGAGTGACACTTGAATACAAACATATGACAAAAGTTTTTAAATTATATAATATTTTTGAACAGGTGGCTGGCATATCTTTCTTCGGTCCAGAATGAGGTAATGCCTCCTATTCACTAGGCATTGAGGAGGAAATGAATCTCCTACAAGGTACTTTTTTCAGTCATAGTTTATAAGAGTAGTATGAAGCTCTATGATTGTTTCTGATAGATTACTTGTTTGCTTGGATTTGTGGAATGTGGGTTTCCTTTTTCTACTTGTTTGTTGTAGTTATAGTAGGAAAGACTTCAGTCATAAGATTGTTATTTCTTGGTACATCTGGACAATATATTATTGGATTCAAAAGCTAAATTAAAAATGAATAAAAAAACAGTTCAAGTGAAACAGATTTTTTTTTCTTTTTTCTAAAAAAAAAAAAAAGCTTGTCTTAATGCAAAATATTTTCTTTACAATTATTTTGCCCTCAAATATTTTTAAATGAGAACCTTGTTTTCAAAAGATATACTGAATGTTTTTATTTGAGAGCATTGAAATAAGCCCTAATTACTGGGGCTCATTTTGTTTCGGTTTGTTAATATATTTTTACCTTTAAAGCTACTTTACAGATTCACAGATTCGGAAAATGCTTATAATTTCTCTGAAAATGTTGATGTGAATTTAGTATTTGCATAAATGCCTTTCTTTAATGTATTTTCCTTACATTTCCAGCATAATTGCAGATGTATCTGATGGTGAGTTTCTGTCTACATACATGTAAGACTCGGAAATGGCATGTTTTCTTGTCTGATGCAAGGAACCATCATGAATATTGTCCTGAGTATCAAAATCAATCAGGTATCAGATTAAAGTTATTTTTTCTTTGTTTTGTAATTTATACTGTATACATAAATTCTACTTTCTGTTTTATCTCCGCCTTTTAATTTGCACAATTAACCCTCACAGAATTCAGCCTTACATATCTGAGAAACTAGCTGAATTTTTGAACCTGATTTTACTTCATATATTTCTTCTGTTTTTGTAACCTTGTTGGTTTGCTGTGGTTTTTTGTTTGTTTAGTATTCTAAACCTAGACGATGTCAGGGAGCTTTTGTACTGATGGAATTTCAAAATACTGCCTTATTTATTTGAAATTATTGGTAATTCAAGGAAACAACTTACCTATGTGTAAGATTGTACTTCTCTCTTCTCCATTTTCTAATAAAACTATTAGTTCAGTAAAAAAAATAAGCAATTAGAATGTTTCTGGTTTGCATTGGTTTAGCTTTATATTCTAATCTAAACATAATCTCTGTATACATGTCTCTTTACTGTCAGATTTTTTTAAAAAATAGGTAATTTGAATATTAAAATTAAGATCCTTCTAAGGACTAACTGTCAAAGGATTTAAAGTTTTCTCGTAACTCAGAAATATATTCCTAAGTGTGTTTTTATATATTTGTAAATATATATAATTGCGATACAGACCTTTTTATGGAGTGAGTTCTTAAACATACTATGAAACAACATTCTTATTATTGATTTTTTTAATGCACATAGCTGTGTATGGACATGAAGTATTTTATATGATTCTCATAGGCTTCCTGATTAAGACAGAGATTACACTTTTATTGTATAGAAACATTTTGGGTTTTGTATAAAAACTGCTTGTTTGGGCAGAAACTAACACATCTAAATGCAAAATTGTGCTGTGAACTCGAGAATTAAAGAAGCTGCTTATCCTCCCAACGTGTGTCTCTTGGTTGACTGATTTCTGCTTTTAAAAATATACAACTTCAAAATGAGGCTTTTCTTGTGACTGATACATTGACCAGCTTTCCGTCTTGTGTGGCTTGTATGGGATTCTCCAGTGACTTATAAGGAGTGATTGCTTACTGTAACCTTTCCCTTGACTGATCTTACAAGGTCTTTCTTCCTCTTCTCTCTGGCTGCCTATTTTTGCAAAACTTGTAGGAGCATAATTATTGTTGGAAACTCTCAGCCTGTGTCAAATCTGGTTGAACCAGTTGGTCAGTTTTCAAAAGTCCTTGCAGAGTAGGAGACACTCAGAAACAGGCAGACATTGTGACAGCAAAAGCTTTCTTGCATTGGAAGTCAGTAAAATCAACAATAACCACAAACTTGCTAAATTCCTGTAAATTCTATAAAAGTATGTCAGCAGCACTCCAGTTATCAGGCTGAAAAATGCACTAAGGAGCTTTTTTGTTCCAACAGCTTTCACTAGTAGTGTGGCTCTTATTAGGACCCCCCTGCCTCCTTGTCATGCTAACGTCTCCTTATTATGCTTGAGAAACCCAGTATATTCTCAAACCACTGTTTCACAGAATTCTACATTGACATTTCTTCCCACCCCCACTTCATTTTCTTTCATGAGTTTGCCACTGTGGCAAGTGGCTCTGGGGGTTTGGACACTTCAGGAATGGGGCTTGTGAGGTGAACAAAATCATAAGCATTTTCTGTTCAGCCTTCCTGTCAATAAAGACTATTTATTTATTTATTTATTTAATGCAGCTTTGAAATTCAACTGCAGGTATTTTACCTTGAGGCTCAGAAGATTCTGGAGACTAAGGACTTAAGAGATTCTTCAAATGGTTTCTCCGGTGTGCTCTGGAGCTGTAGCGTAAGGTAATGCTAACTTGCAAAAATCATAAGTAACATGTTGGCAGGCCAACAGCTCTCAATGCAGGTTTCAGTGATGTTCCATCAACCTTCATTTAATGTTTGTGGTTCTGTGGCCAGAATATTTGGTCAGGGTATTAATTCACAGGATTTCTGGGGAACAGCGTGGTGGGTGGGCTGTAGAAGGTAGACAGAACTAGTTATTAATTGGCTTTACCCTTCTGCAGACAGCCCTATCCTTGAGGGACCTAGCTCTTAGTGAGCAAGCAGAAAAGAAAGTACTGATTTATGAAAATTAGTCCAGCAAGATAGGCACTGATGTGTATTATTCAACAGAATTGCCCCTCCCTAGAGCTTTGCATGACAGACACATTTGGGAATGAGAGAGGGCAGCCCTGCTATGGGGTGGCAGAACCTCACTGGAGCTTCTTTGCTTCTAAAATTCCACTTCTTATCCCATGTTTAGAGTTTGCTGAGGCAGAAATACCACTGCAATGACAACCAAGCAAGCTGAGTACTTCAGTAGTGAGTATTAACACCTTGTTAATAGTGTCAGTACTCAATACTCAGGCTAATAGTTTTCTAACTGGTTTGCTTGCAACAATATATTTTTTTAATTACTTACAATAATAATAAGAAAAGACTTATTAGGGTTTGTACTGCAGTCCATTTTTTCTTGATCATAATGAGAGCTACAGGATTTGTATTTCATAGAGGACCTACAAACTAGCCGTAAACACAGTTCTATCTTTTTGTTTATAATTTGGCTCAGGTGACAGCTGAATACAAGGAATGGGAGAATGCAGAAGGCTCAGAGGTGACAATAGAAGGAGAAAAAAAGAATAAAGCAGCAGGATTACAGCATTGTTGTTAGCCATTTCAGATTGAACTATTGTATTTTTACCAACTGCTTCTTGAATATGCTGGGGAGCAGCTTAAGGGAACAGAAACAAAACCTGGAGCAGGCACTAACTTACCCCAAACACTGTGGTTCTAACTTAAGATGTGAAAATAAGTATTGAACGTATATATCATCATATACAATAGCAAAGACAAATAGTAGTGTTGCAGGCTTCCTCTGTGGCGCTGCTGGCATGCAGTAAAGTAATTGCCATGTTATACACAGCAATTCAAATGGAACTGAGTCAAACCTAATTAGCTCCTGTCTTTAGAGCATTTCTTCATCTGCAACACTTGTAATCTTTAGGGTCCTGCTGTGCAACTGCAATGTTCTACACAAGATGCAAGCTGCTAGGGGAATCCCATTCCAAAATGTGGTCTAGTTTACCGTTATGTAGTGTAACTCTTACACTACTGGTGGTCTTTTTTGTTGTTGTTGTTGTTGTTTGCTTTTGTTTTGTTGTTGTTCCTTGCTTTCTTCTACCCTTCATATCTTTACAGCCTTATTTTATGTGGTACTGTATGGCAGGCTGGCTGGGCCATCTCCTTAACGCTGGAGATGTCCTTTATGTATTTGACCGCATCTAGTCCCTGAGCTTCTTTATTGCAGATTTTCGTTCCATATCTGTCTGCAGTCATTGCCTCACTGCCTTCACAAAAAGATTTGTCTCCTCATCTGCTCTGATTTTTTTTGCTTCTCCTTTTATTGAGCAGATGACATTGATTGTTAAATGCCATTTTGGACTTTAGATCTGTTTTATTTTTTGAAGGAGTGAAATGAAGTAATAAGTTTAAAATACTAATTTATTTTGTATTTTACACAATTAGTCTTATAAAATTGCAGGTACCTTTCTTCTAGTGACAGACAACAAAATTGTCCTTCAAACTTTTAGGCTGTTCTTCAAAATTACTGTTCAACTTATACCAAGTATGACTGAAACACTTCCAGGTCATTCTAATTACTCCTAAATTACAGAAAAATATTTTCTTTCAAAAAACAACTTCAAAAACCTACAGAAATACTTGTGAAGCTCCAAGTGCTTAATTAATCTTTCTATTCCTGGCTTTTTGCAGAAGTTTAAAATGAACACTTATGTGTTCTACTTAAAACTGCTGATGAAACTGATGTTACACAGATTAAATACATATTTGGTGAGATTGCAGTTCAGATCACATGATGAAACTAATATGTGGTTAAAGCAGATAACTTCAACTAAGTAAAAGTTCAGAGAATTAACTTTCACTTGATGCTGAAGACATGGTTTTGTCTCATGCAGGCTTCTTCAGCTCAGCTGATCCCTGTCTTTAATAATATTAAACTGTTACCCTGACAGTTGAGCTGTGCTTTTCCTGTGAGGCACTCACTCCATATCAACAGCGTTCTGCCCAGTCAGTTATAGGGATCAATAAAGTGGCAATGAGAAAGGGAGCCTTACAACCCAGCCCCTCACCAGTGCCGCTTGCTCAAGATTATCAGTTTCTGTAAGACTTAAGACCAACATTTTCCTGAGTTGGTTAAAGTACCTTCATGGCGTGATGACCAGTTTCAAACTTTTAGTAGCCACCTTCTCTAGAATCAGTGATTTTTCCTCCCACTCCTTGTACTTGTATGGAGTCTCATTAAGGTCAGAATGGGCCTAAGAGGAGAAATTTATGATCTCATCAGTTAGAATATATTCATGTTGTTTGTTTGTTTTGTTTGCCTTTTTTTTTTTTTTTTTTTTTTTAAGAAAAGCCATTTCTAATTTTAAAAACTAATAGTAGAAATCTTAGCTTATCAGTTTCCAAGCTGCTTTGCACGTTGTCTTTGGTGTAGAACATGTGCTTAATGGTTTGTTTTGTTCATCTTGAATGAACAGCAGCAATTGAATCCTCCAGTGTCTATATATATTAACCCAGACCACTAAATACGTACTCCCGAGAGTCTTTTTCCCTGATCAATTCTGTTTTGGACAGTCTTCTGATGTTCTCATGGGGAATGACAGTTGTTCCTTCGCCAACATTACCCTCAAACCATAAGCACAGGCATGTATGTCCAGTAGGAAAGGGGTTTTGAAATAGTTAACCAAGACAGGAATAGTCATGAGAACATTATTCAATTCAGAAGACACTTCATTCTCTGATGACCATTGAAACAGCTTCCTTCTTCATGTATATGCCTTTGTAATCGGAGCAAATACTGCAATAAACTGTACCTCAGTGGCAGTTCGATCAACTGTGTTTGCAGAAGTGCCCTAAATTTTCTTTTTGTCTCGGAAACACTTTCCTCTTTGTCTGTCTTCATTTGATTCATGAGTTCATATACTGCAACATTGATTTATTTTCCCCAAGAAGATTTTGAGTAGCCAATGTCTGCCTTGAAACTTTTTTTTTAATAGGCTCAGATGACAAAATGTAAATGCTTCTTGCTCAGTGCAGACCATTTGCTTACTCACCATTGTTTCACGATCTTTCAAGGAAGCCTCTACAGACTGAATCTGTAAGATACTCTTCCTGGTTTATTGCAGTTTGAGCTATGATGAAATCCCAAACTACTTCACCTTCCCAGACTTCTTGCTCAAATTCCAGAGCTCTTTATCTTGAATTTTTCTGATTTGTTAATCATTGTTTCTGTGAACAGTCGTATTGTTTCCTTAATATCACTTAACCTAGAATACAGTTCAGAGTCTTTCCTCACTGAAAAATAATCGACCCCAATAAATACTGTCCCTTCAACCAGCATGGCTAACCAAAATAACCTGTATGTATAGAATGGGATTTTATTTTTTTAAGACATCTTTGATGCAATTAAATTTGTGTCAATGATCTGTATTTAGAATTCTTGCTTTCTCAAGCACAGGAGAATTCAAAACAGGAGGGTATCTTCCCGCTCCAGCCTCCTTTAGGCAGCACCCAGGACAAAGGCCTCTCACTTCCCTGGGCAGTTAGAGCTGCTTTGGGCTTTGCTGTTTTGTTGTTCCTGAGCTCTGCCTTTGTTTTTCTTTGAACTGCCTCCTACATCCTGGCAGACTCCCTAAGCAGTACACAGAAAGGTCTTTGCCCAGCGATCAGACTGCAGAGCAACCTTGCATTTACCTTTATTTTGTGTAAAAAACATTTCCTTTGTATTTTCTTACAGCCCTGAGTATTGAAAGATGGTGCTTAAGCCTTGCATTATTTCAATCCAAGCTACAAACCCTATGAAAAACTAACTCAGGAACATGTGGAAGAAAGATCACTGCTACTTTGTCCTAGGTAAGACCTATGTATTCTCAAACTAAGAAATGTATCACTCTTAGGTTGAAACTGTTTAAATTATAATGTTCTTTAAAGTATTTCCAAGTGTATCTAAGACTGCTACAGGCAGGTCTTGGTGAAATGCCATTGTCCCAACAACATTAGAAAACGGAGAAGTCTCAAGAATTTTGTCCCTGCTTTGTGTTAGAAAAAATGAAGCATTAGAAAAACTCTGGGAAACCGTATAAGTTTTACCATTGATTTGAATAATAAGTCCTTGAAATAATCACTTTCAAAGAGATAAGTACTTAGGCTTTTAAAGAATTCTTACCCTGAGTAACTGGTTGCTACCAGATGAAATGAAACATCACTTTGCCTCTTCTAACGTACATCACTAAAATTTTTGTTCCACTGGAAATTCACAGCTGAATTTGGAATGAAAAATCTTCAAATTTTGGACTTTCCCACAGGGCAAGAATACAGGATACGGTTCAATTTCTTTTCCTTTTAATACTTGGTGTCAGTTATTGATTGACTCCAGGTACTCTGTTTATTTCCTTTAGTACTCTCTTAATTATTTTGTGTGATTTATGTATGTGCCAAGCAGGCAGTGGGTACTGGTGAGTAATCCAAGTTCTGTCCCTGGCTGCGTGCAGGCAGGCTGAAGCCGGTGGCTTTTTATTTGGACTACCAGAGAGGAGAGCTGGATGTACACAGCAGTTGGACCTGAGGCTGAGGGACATGGTTTAGTGGGTGACATTGGCGGTAGAGCGATGGTTGCACCAGATGATCTTGGAGGTCTTCTCCAACCCCAATGATCCTGTGCTAGTGCCGCCTGAGGCTACCGACCACAGGCACCCATCCTTCCCAGAGCCCTCGGAAGCTGCTGCGGGGGGCCGGGCACACCTCCCCGCCCGGTACCGCCGGCAGGTGCCCGCGGAGCCCTGAGGGCCTCGGGACGGGCTCACGTAGCGCGGCCGCTGGGAGGGCGGGCGGCAATCCCGGAGCCGTTGGCATTCCTTCCCTTCGCTTCCGCCTCGCAGCGCCCGCCGCCCCGGCTGCCAGGACTCGCCCTCACGAGCCAGGGCCGCCGCAGCCCCGCGCGTGCCCGAGCAGCCCCGGCGGCACCCCGAGGCCGGCGCGGCGCGGTGCGGCGCGGAGCGGAGCGGCAGGGCAGGGCCGGGCGCGCCCCCCGGCCCCTCTCCCCCCCACACGCGCCGAGAGGAGCGGGGGCGCGCCCGCCGCTCCCTCTCCTTTGTGTGAGAGCGCGCGGGCGGGCCCGGCACACAGCGCGGAGGAGGAGGGCGCTGGGCGGCGGGAGAGGGCCGGAAGGTGGAGTGAGGAGCCGGGAGCTCGGGGCGGCGGCGGCCGGCGATGGCGTGGTGCGGGCGGCCGCTGGGCGGCCAGCGGCGCTGAGGGGAAGGAGCCGGCGGGACCCCCGCCCCCAGGTAGGCTGGCTCGGAAAGTTTGGGGCGAGGTGCCGGGGCGGGGGGAGCCGCGGCTCGGGGGCCGAAACTCGCCGCTCCTCTTCTCCCTGCCGCCCTTCCGGGCTGCCCGCGGGCACCGGGGCCCCTCCGCCTCGCCTCGGCCCGGCCCGGGCCCGGCCGGGCGGCAGGAAGGGCCGGGCGGACAAGGCCCGGCCGTTGGCGGCCGTGAGGGCAGCCCGGCGCCGCCGCGTCCCCCCGCGGCGGGCAGCGGGGCGCACACAATGGGCTCCGGCCCTCGGCGGCCGCCGGGGGGGCTCCCGCCGCCCTCCCCGCCCCGCGGAGCGGCAAGTTTGGGATTCGTGTCACACGCGCTGCCGGGGCCCGAGTTCACTAAAACTCTCCGTGTCCCCGCAGATGGCTGTCAGGACACCGGGATCCGCGGAGCTGCCAGCCGGCGTGGCCGTTTGCGCCTTGTGATTGCTCGTTCGCGCTGCCCGGCTCGATGTGAGCGCGGAGGCTCGCTGGGTGGCCGCCTTCCAGATCTGCCGTAGGAGCCACGCTGCCCGCTGTTGGAAGCTTTGTGCCCCTGAGGTTTCCTTCCCGTTCTCCACGAGTCGAGGGAGCTTTCTCTCTGACAATGATGAAAACCGAGGGCAAAGGGGAAAGGACTTTAAGAAGTGCTTCTCCACACCGCAATGCCTATAAATCTGACTTCCATGCTATCAAATGCTCTTTTGATGGAGTAAACAATCCCGAAAACACTTCCAACAAAACAGGCTTGCAGCAGAAGCTGAGCGCCTCTTCCAATGGCGGGGGAAATGACCCACACAGTCGAGGTAGGGCTGCCACTTATGGCAATAGGGTTCACAAGATCAAAAGTATGTTTCTGCAAATGGGAGGTTCCGCTTCCACACCCTCTTGTGAAAGCAGTCCACCTGCTGAGACCAAATTAATCAGCCGGACCACAGCAGCAGAACATGGACCTTCTCCAGGTAGCCCATCTTTCCTCATTGTCCAAAAAAATAATCTCCACAATACAAGTACCAGCCCCAACAACAGTCCTGTGGATTCGTTGTCTGTGCCTTCTACTGCCGACAAGGTCATCCGTAGCAATGACGAGGCAGACTTGGATAAAGTTGCCCTGGCAGAAAAGTTTTCGGAGACGAGGAAGCTATTTGAGAGAAATATAAAACAGCGAAGCTCAGTGGACAGATATTCTCCCAGCAAATGTGAAAAAAATGAAGATAAGAGGAGACATGGCTCTGCTTCTGATTACAGCAGCGTGGGGGACCACTTCAGTTTTAATACTGAAGTCAGTCCTCCAGCTGTGCTGGAGAAAGTTGAAAATCAAGGTAATGAGTTGAGGCAGCAACATCCCAATAATGGTTCCAAATCCTCCTTCCTGAATGCAGGACCCATTTCCAGGAGGCTGGAAAGCTTCCTGGGTGACAGTGATACTGAAGAATCCAAAGAAATTTCCAAAAATGATAGTCTGAATCAGGACCATTTGAGAGGACCCTACGGTTTGGATTCATCTGCTGCTGTTGAAAAATGTCCAGAGAAGACTGCGTCCACCAAAGTGCCTGTGACCGTCAGAGATGAGCTGAGTGAGGTACTTGAAAAAGATAAGAAAGAGCAACTGGTGCTTGAGAGAAGCCTGCAGGATATGAGCAGCGTACCTGGTCAGGAGGCAAAGTGGAGAACAGAGACTGTTTTCTCATGGGTTTCCCCCATGGAGGGGACTCGTGTGGAGCTGGCTGTGCAAGATGAAACCTCAGGGCATGAAAAAGAAAGTTTGGAGAAAGATCGTGTTGTTCATGAGGATCAGCTGCTCAAATACCAAGCACAGAAAGAGAAAAGGAGTGACTATCCCTTGGAGGTAGTAGAAGAGTTTGCGGAACGCATTGAGACCAATCAGGAAGAAGCGAGAGATGGGATGTCTGGGAAAGATGGTCCAGTTACACAAGGTCTGGGTGTTGTAGAACAGGAAGGGGATCCTGAAGAAGATGAGGAGCAGAGGGAGAACTTCAGCGCTTTTGGAATAGAAAATGCAGCTTTTGATGATGATAGGGATGCAGAGCCAGAAAATCAAGGACCTGAAGGCAAAGAAATTTTGGAGGGAGAGGAGGAGTATATGTATGACAGTGAATATGAGGAATTTCCTGGACTTTCTGAAGAGGAAGATCCTGATCCAGACCGAAAAGTCAAGTTCTCAACAGCTCCTATCAAGGTAAGTTGTGTTTTGTTTTGTTGTTTTTTTTAATTTTTATTATTATTTTGCAATAAAAAATAGATAGGAATTACATTTTTAAGTGTTTTTGTTGTTGTTGTTTTTATTTTTTATTTTTCCCAAAAAGATCTAACAGCATCTTAGAAAGTGTGACTGTATGGCTTTTAGAACTTCTTTTTCTGAACAAGAGAAAAGTTGAAGTTAGTCACAAGTGACTTCTGAATCCTAGAAGCTTCATTAATAGCATAGTAAGATGTGTGAGATTTCACTTGCTTACTGGGCATTTTTAGGAACACTAACTTTTGGGAACAAATACAGACACATGACCTTTAATACTTGCTTTCATTTGTCCACAATTGTGGCATTGCATTAGGAAAGACTTTGCCAGTATTTCTTTGTGTGCAAAAGTTGTTTTAAAAAAACAAACCTTCAGATTCAACTTCATATATTTTCAAACTTAACTGTGAGAAAATATCACATTACTGGTTCCTGTAATTTTAAGATTATAGAATTTTCTGTTATATTGTATAATACATATATATAGGTAATGCATTATAATATAACGTTTATATTGGTGTGGTGAATATTCTGTAAGAATATTATTGTTATGAGTATTTTGGGGTTACAAAGTTGTGGAAGTGGGACTTACAAGGCAGATTTAATAATGAAAGGTGCACTGCTAACAAACTGAGAAGGTTTAGGAGTCTGATCTTCAGTCACTCAAAATATCCCTGGATTGAACAAAGTCATTCCACAGCTAAAACCCCATTTACGTGTAGTCTTGTTGCAGGGTACAGTTATTCTAGTCCCACCTGAAGTTTGGGAGTACTAGGAGATGAGGAACAAGGTGGAACTGGAAACCGTCCAGATTTTCTCAAGCACTCTTTTTCTTCTACTGTTACATGGATGAAAAATATCATCTACAATAAAACAGTTGTGGTTTTTTATGCTGTCATCTTTAATAAAGCTTTTTTTTTTTTTTAACTCTGTACTAATCAGAATTATGTGAAAACTTTGCTGACTCCTGTAGTTCCTGCAGCAGAGAGCTGTAATTTCCCAGTGTGATGAAGACACACCAGTGCTGTACTGTACCCCAGGAAATGTTTTGGGTGTGGCAAAGTATGAGTTTTGTCACATGCGTTTGTTTTTATAGTTCTTCCATAGACAGGATGGCTTTATATGGCTTTCTTGTAGTTGATGCTGTCTCAGTGATGACCTGGAGCATGGAAGGGGGAGTGCCACTACTGGAAGCTGCACAATGAGTGCAGCGAGGGCTGCGAGAGAGCCCAAGGGGCATCAGTCCATTTCCCCATGCATTTGTGCGCCTCCGTGCCACAACAAAGTGGAAGAGTGCAGTGTTGTTCTGCTGTAAATGTGCGTTAGTTCCCTGCTGGCTGGTTTTCTGCTGTAGGCAGGGTTTATCTGTGCTGGAATCCACCTAGAAGCGGTGGCTGTAACAGTCTTTTCCTGCACTGTTGGTTATGGCCATGACATATTTAGTTCGAAGCATTAATAGTGTCAACCGTGATGGGAGTTCTCATGTGGACAAAACTCATGTTTTGGTAACTAGCGCTATTCAATTGCAGCTGCTCCTCTGAAAACCACCAAAACCAACCGCTACCAGATTATCAATTACACGATGAAGAAACGAACTCAGTAGCAACTGTTAGTGTATATTTTTCCATGAAAATAACATTGTTGTTACCATGATGCCTGACTTCTGGATTGGCAGAATAAACTGTCCATAATAACAATGTGGCTAATTTAGGGTGTCTGTGTATATGCTACAATAGTGAAGAGAACTTGATTAATATCTCTATTTAGAAGTTTCTGGTCAGTTGTAAGATTGGCAAGAGATGTAGAATGAAGCTAATGCTGTTAGCACTGTGTCTGACCCATGCTGGAGGTCTCTGACTGTTGGTATCGGTAGCGGGGCATAAGAACATAACTCAAACTTCAAAATTCAAAATTTCAGGAAAGATGAAAAGTAATTATGTAAATACTGCATTATTTTGAGTTGCTCTGTGCCTGTGAAAGTAGGCATAGATGAGGCTTTTTAAAACAAATGTTTCAGTTCTGTAGAAGCTGATGATAAATGCCTGGGAAGATTTCTTACATGCCATGGGTGACCTGACTGCTGCTGTTTGATCTCTGCAGGCCTTAAGGGAGCATTGGTTGTTTTTCCTACAGTAGTGAAGAGAGTGATACTGTACAGTTATTAGCAGAACTTCACTGGCAGATTGGGGTTGTGTCATGGTACATGGGCTATTTTTAGTCCCTTGTTGCCACAAAAGAAGCCAATAAGGAATTTGAAGCACACTCAGATATCCAAGGTATCTGCAAGGGAACTGAATTTGTCTTTTCAGTAAACTGTGTAAGCATTATGAACAGTGCAAATAATGTCAGGTAACTGTGCTGTCATCTCTTTATATTTCACTATGCTTTTGTAATGTAGAGATTAAATTCACTTTCAGTTATTTGATCACCTTGAAAGGCTTTAATTAACGAAGAGATAATGACAGAGTGCTGTTTGACGCTTGCGATTCTGAAACTTTCTGTCATTAAAACAAATGCTTGTTTCCAAATTGACTTTTGGAAGTGTCTTTACCTCTGACTGTGTTAAACTTTGTCATGAAACCTTCAATAGCCCTGCCACTAAGTTCTGTAATGATTTATGATCCTTAGCAATTGTGTGGCTCAGGTAAACTGAAAAGGTAATGCAGCTACTGTTCACTTCTGTAGGTCTGTTTAATTTGCAGTGTTGCCCAGCTTATGTTGCATGGGAGTGTCCGTCTGCAGCTTTGTGAATAAATGAAGAATGCAGCTTACGTGAAGACCACAGCTTAAAATAAATTTAAAAATAAAAATAGCAACAAAAAGCTTCAAAAAGACTTTATTTTGATAATTGTCACAGTTGAGAAAAAGTTTAAACTTTTTTATTAACTAAAAAAAGGTAGTTTCATATCTTGTATGTTGTTCTAAGCGGCCAAGCATCAGCTGCTTTTGAGAGAACTTGCAAACCCTTCATAATGCCATTAGTTCCACACAACAATTAGGGCTGTTTTAGGTACAGCTGGGATACAAATAGTAGTAATCTTGTTCAGGCTGGCATACTGTTCAGTCTTTTTAGTACAGAACTGCTCACTGTGGAAGTTCATGAAACACTAAATTTAGATAAACTTGAATTAGATTTCGTGTATAACAGCATAGATATAAATGTGCTTTTAGGAGATGCACATTTTTTTCTAGGTTAATGTGTATTCTCCTGAACACAGCTTTAACAAAGTATTTCAGAGTAGTGCTTCAGTTTCATATATACTCTGTCTTTTTTTCTGTAACTGTAACTTCTACACTCTTGGATTTTATACACAGAAAGGGAATTAAAGTACACTAGCTGGTGGAAGATTCCCAGACCCTCGAGTGTTTTTAATAAATAGAGAATGATTGATGACTGCATAAATGGTCAACTGTCAACCATCAGTGAAGCACTTCAGTAAAATACTTCTGTGGCAATAAGAGACAAGTGTGTGACATAGTTGTAGGCTGGAAAACAGAAATTTGGTTTGAGAGTAGACAAACAGAATTGCATTGCACGTGGAAGTCATCTTCTTGTTATTGTTGTTGTGTTTCCTGACACAGGTAGGGTAAGTTTGTTTCTATTGGGTTTTGGTTGAGATTTTTTGCAATGACAGTTTGTTTGGTTTAACTCATAGATTTTAGGTGTTTTGAAACTCTGTTTATCACTTGTATCAACATTCCAACATTTGTACCTTAACAGTGTAAGTCTTGCCCCTACAACTTTTCTTCATACTTTTATCTCAAACTTCTTATACTCTCCACAGTATTTTTCAATTAATTTCACAAAACAAAAAAAAAAGTTTTTGAATATAGTTTGATTGCGTTTTGCCTGCATCTGGGATTATGGCAGTTCCTGCTGGCTGACTTAATGGTGTAGGGTGCTAAAAATCATGGATATGAACTGGAGGAAGAAGGTGCATGTAGGCAGAAGAAACCCCAAGGAGGTGGTGACACAAGGGGAAAGAGGAGTAATAGAGGAGATGAGATTATTATGGAGAGTGCAGGCAGAGATAAGCAGATGCGTAGGAGATGTGTTCATTAGCTCAACAGTTAAGCTGCTGAAAGATTCAGCATCTTTTTGATGATGGCTGCTATTAGCACCTGCAGATACACAACCTGGGCTGATATGAAAGAATGAACAGGCAATAGCTGAAACTTGTTTGTATTTTACCTTTTGAGAGTTGGAAAAAATTAATTATCCATTTTGTATTCTATATATAACAGTGGATTATTTGGGCATTTCAAGGGTCTTTGGAAGAGAGGCCAGTGCCAGGGTGGGACAGTACAGCAGAAACCTAAGAATGGAAAGTAAGAAGAAGATATGGAGGTTGGTGTAAAAGTTATTCGACAGTTTGATAAACATCTGTCAGTGGACTCGTGGGATTACTCATTAAGTTTATCAGTTTTTAATATGCTAGTGCAGCTAGAAACCTTTAATGTTTGTGGTTTTAAGTCATCCTCTCAATGATTCAATACTATGTAACCAATTGCATAAAATGATTAGTAGATTTTGCTTTTACTTTTGGTGTTGATAACAGGGAACAAAGTCTTTCTGGTTAACCTTTTGGTTAAGATACTTATTTTGGAAATACTGATCTATTGTTACTTTTAATTGGCATTCTGCTTTCGATATTGGTAGAATTGTGTTTTCTAAAAGAGGTTGGAACGTATGTTACTGTTGTCTCAGATAAATTGAGTCATGTTTTGGCTGTGAAATTGTACTGAGGATCTGGAGCAAGGTTGCCCTTATGCCTTTATGTAAACTAACCTGGTTCTTGTGTGTGTTTGCTGGTTTTTGATAAAGTTGAGCAGAGCTACACAATCAAGCTCCTAAGTATGCATAGCCTCCCAGGCCGCCTCTTCGGTAACAGCAAGTGCTATGTCAAATGTAACGATGTATAATGTCCTACCTGTTCAACACTTACTAACCATTCTGAATCAATTAGGAAGAAATGTGTAAATATTGAACAAACAATAAAAACAAAACAGTTGAACAGGGTATTTCTGTTTGCTGATTTAAAGCATCTGATTGCATGAATTGATTTAAATCAGATATAGTCACTTGTCACTTAAAATACAAGTTATGATAATAAAAATACCAACTTTGTATCTTTTAGAAACAAGAGGGAATAACATAGTGGTAATGTGGTAATGTCTACTTTAACTGAAGAGGGAGATTGTAAGAGTAAACTGTAGAGTGTACATTATACTTCAGTGCTACTGTTTCAAATGATTATTCATGTTTGCCTGAGTACTTAACATCTTGCCAGGCTTTGCAGAGGTGATCCATTTGAAACACTGTTCATTACTAGGTAACTTTCTGTGAACCATAGCTTGAATCTTGAATGTATGGATTTATTGAGTGTCAATAAGCTGGAATGTTCAAAGTAAGAATTTCAGAAGAAATATCAACCAAGTGGTGGAGCCATTGCTTGGCATGGTCTCTAGGTACAGGTGTCAGTAACACTTCAGTGCCTCTCTCTCAGCTCTTAAGTGTTACTTTATCTGCTTTTGTACATGTTATGCTTTTCAGCAAGTATTACAATATCATAGTAGAATTTAAAAGTGATGTTGAAATCACTTCCATTCTAATTAATTGGGAAACCTTTTAGGCAGTTGATGATTTCTTACTCTTTAATTGCCTTTGTAACATTTTCCTTTTGCTCATGCACAAAATCTATGTAGTAGAAATGAATACAGGAGTGACAGTCTTTGGGACATGTTTTATGACTTGATAACAGAGTTTTGTGCAAGCAAAACTTTCCTGAAGGGTTTTCCTTCTAAAAATAATTACCTTTCTGCTAAAACTAACATAGTTTTTAAGAAGAGGTTTTTAAGTGCTGCTAAGACTTTGAGTTAAGTGAGGTTATCATTGGTTTTCTGTGATAATACTCTTGTGTGGTAGAACCAAGGTGATACATTGGAGATTTTTAGTTCTGTATGGTAGCAGTAGCTGAGTGGCAGTATCTTTTAGACAGAAATTAACTGAGTTTTGCATTCCAAAAGTGATTCATTCTCCTGGTGTAATGAATGCAGTTTGTTCTGTCTCCAACTAAACATATTTGCTCTTCAAGGACTAAGTATATATTTGAAAATTTCCAAGTATGTATCTTAGCAGTTTAATTAAAATAGTTCTTAAACATTTAGCAGTCTGTGAGAACTTACTTCGTAATAACTTCAAATTATTTTTATTCATTCTGAAGAAAAGAGGACTAGAAGGCAAAAAGAAATTCTTTTTTTTTTTTTTCATCATTTAGTAGCTTGACTGGATCCAGAAGGCATTGATGTTAGGTTAACCTTCTGGCTTGTGTTGAGACAGTAACTTGTGTTTGCTGAAGCATCTCTTTTAAAAATATCACTTGAGCACAAGACCAGCTGGCCCTGCTTGAGCAGGGAGGTTGAGCAAGGTGACCTCCAGACCCTTCTGTGAGTCCTCAAAAAATGCATCCTGCAGGTAGCTGCCAGTAAGTAGGTGGTGGTGGTGCTGGCTGAACTGAGTGAAATCCTCACACAGTCTGGGGCGCTGGGTGTCATAAAATAGTAGCTTACCCAATCTGCAATTATCTTTACTGCTTTAACTTTTAGTGTTGTAACAGGTAAATCGGAACTGTGTAGTTAACTTCTGTTAAAATATTTATGGGGTTTTATATAATTTCCATATTTTAAATTTAATTATGGTTAATATCAGCTTGGTCAGATAGCTTTCAAAAACAACAAGCAGCACTGAGGACTTTTTTTTTAGTCTCTGGAATTTCAATGCTATTTGAAGATTGATTAGAAATTAAAATGTTTATATAGTCCAACAGTACTAAGGAAGGTGAATACAAGCTCTCTACCCTTTCTTATGTAAAAGTACTTCTTTTCAGTAGCTTTTTTTTTTTTTTTTTTACATGATTAACATATTTAGTGACCTGGAGTAATTATGACAGTTGCCTTCATCCTGCCTTTTAGAAGAGAGAATATTTAGAAGAAATACTGTGGTTTTTGTCTTTTGTTTTTCCCTCTTTCATGCTAACAATTTTACTATCTCTGGTTAGCAATGCCTTCTAAATAGTAAGATTAGCATTTCTTTTGTTCTTAATGTGTTTGATTTAGTGACTAAACCCTGCCAGACACAGTGCAGGGATGAACTGTGTTTGGCTTTCTCATCAATCTTCTAAACTGTGCAATTTGTAATTTGTTATTTATTATCCACATTTTAACTGTGTTTAATATTACTTTTGCTACTTGGCAGGAAAAAAAAATCACTGAAAAGTTCTGTGTTTTCTACATTAGTATCAGCAATTTTACCATTTCTGTCTAATAAAAGGTGAAAACTATGTTATGATGCTCTGTGCACAACAAAAACTTAAGCCCTTTGCCCATCGGTTTCATAGTGTGCTCTTGCTTTTCTTTTTGTTACTGCAGCTTTTGGCTTCTGGTTGTATATCATCAGTGTTCTTTTTCCTCTATTCTTAGTAAATTCATGTTCTTCCTCAAAATCATTTTTCTCAAGTCAGGTTTTTTAGTACTATTTTAAAACAACTCTATCTTCTCTTAAGTGTGGGATTATGATTTTTGGAACGTTACCTAGATGTCCTTGCACACTTCTCATCTATCATTTTAAGAGAAGAGTATGAGTTCTTTTTTCTAATGATTTAGTCTTGATTTCAGGAAGGTTTTTCCTCAAGGAGCTAGTGTGTGTAAATGTTAGTAGTCTTCGTTTGCATATGCATGTTTGTGCTGCTATTATGTTATGTATAACAATTATAAACATTGCTTGAACCTACTTTTAAATTCTATGATTCATTCCTGTCAGGTGATGAATTCTTATAAGCTATTAATTTTGCATCAAGATGGGCAAATTCCATGAGACTTCCAAGTACAAGGAGGGAATATGATTTTCTTTTCCCCTAATGTATGGACTTGAATATAATTAATTAAGATGCTGATAAGTAAAACTAAGCATATTACATGTAGCTTATTCTTCCTTTCTAGATTTCTGTCTTAATATTCATTATTTGTGTTGTTTATCTTTTTTTTTTAAAAAAGAATTCAGAAATTCAGCTGGAGCGCTTACTAAAAATAGTAACATGTAACAAGGCATTTCCTTTTCCTGGGAAACCGCAGGATTCCCTGCAAAATCAGAAAACTACATCTGGTTGAGGCACTGTAATTGGCAGATGGTGTGGGGGGAAGGGAGAAGAGAAAGATTTGGGAGAATGGCGTTCTAAAAAAGTCATACTATATCAAAGAGATGATGATTCCTTTGATTTCTATAAAATACTTGGTGTATTTACAATATAAAAAGTGCTGAAGTAATTGTTTTGAAACTTCTAAAAAGTTACTTCTGTGCAAGCTGGGAACTGTCTTACAGCAGCAGTACTTACTAAATTGATGACTGTTTTAGAAAATGGGATCTCTAAAAATACCACTTGAATTTCCCTTAATTAATTTAAGCAATTTTCTTTTGATTATTTCATGTTTGGAAGGGAATGGGAGAGCTCTAAATTATTATTTTTTTTAATTTTTTTTTTTTTTACCTTTCTTAGGTTTTCAGTACTTACTCAAATGAAGACTATGATAGACGTAATGAAGAAGTTGACCCTGTAGCAGCCTCAGCTGAGTACGAACTTGAGAAAAGAGTGGAAAAAATGGAAGTGTTTCCTGTGGAAATCGAAAAAGGTGTGAACCAAACCTTGAATATTTGCCTGTAAAAGATACTGTGGACACAAAATATAAAGCATTATCTTATAAACTGTTCTTTTGCTGAATTTGGGTCTTGAATTTTTGAATTTATGTTCCAGCTTTCATTTGTGGCTAGTTCTGCTGAACATGGTGAACATTAGCTGGACAGGCCTCCACTAAGTGCAAATTGTAATACTTAATTGAAGTTACGAAGGATGAATATATGCAATTCATAAATACTTGAACTCTTTTCCGATACCATGAAACTTGAATCTAGTAGGCAGTCAGTCATAACTACAGAATGAAAAGACTTTCAGTAGTATCTAGATTTAAAAAATAAATAAATAAAAAAAAAAAGCTTGTTTTTAGTATGTGAATTTTTGTATTCTTTGAGTACTTGGAATACTTAGAAACCCCTCACTTCTGGTAAGTGATACATCTTATATTATGTGGCTAATGTTAGATTTTTGAATCCTTTAGGTGACAGCGGTCTGGGTATCAGTATTATTGGAATGGGAGTTGGTGCTGATCAGGGACTGGAAAAACTGGGCATTTTTGTAAAAACAATAACAGATGGTGGAGCTGCTCAGAGAGATGGACGGTGAGTTTTCCACTGGATAGATTATGCTTTCTGCAAATTTCTAACTGATCCCAATCATTTTCATTTTGTATGTTAAATACTGTGAATAAAACTACAAAAACTAAATTCAAGGGAATACATATTACAATTCTGCTTTACGTTAATTTTTTAAAACACTGTTATTTGTCTTAACATAGAACGTTTTTGGAAGATAAGCTTAAGTCTTCTTACAGCATATATGAGAAAAGCTTAAAATAAGTCCATGAGTAAAAGTGCCACAAAATCAGATTGACAACCCAGGATACCAGTCAGCGTGTGAATAGTATAAAATAGCAAGGCAAACACTTATAATTTTTAATTGGTGATCTGTATAGAAATTGAGGATTCAGAGATATTTTTTTAAGCAGTGGATTCCTTGGGACTCAGACTTCCTAGTTGTAAGTACTAGGGAGTTTTAAGTGATATTTATCATATAAAATAATTAGTCAAGCCAAAATATTTTTGTTGACTAATAGCTAAATGTTTATTTTTACAGAATTAAAGTAAATGATCAGATTGTTGAGGTTGATGGCATAAGTCTAGTGGGAGTTACTCAGTTCTTTGCAGCTACTGTACTAAAAAACACCAAAGGCACAGTGAGGTATGTATTTTTTCTATCAGATAATACCTTCTATTTAATTGTAATTTTTCATTAATGAAGAATACAAAACTATAATTTGAAAGTTTTTACAAAAAAGTTGTTGAAGTATGCAGTATGGGAAACTAATCTCTTACACATATCTTAAGCTTTTTGCTGCAATTTAACTAGTTTTTTTTCTGTAGGTTTCTGATTGGCAGAGAAAAGCCAGGGACTCAGAGTGAAGTAGCCCGCCTCATTAGTGAGACTTTAGAGCAGGAGAGATGTCTGTATGAGCAGCACTATGTTCATGATGATACAGAGCAGGTAAGATATCATACATATGTACATATTTTTAAGAGTATATGATTAGTGCTATGTGCAATAACTTCTGCAAATGGGATACGAGTTTTTTTGAATCAGATTGAAGTAAGAAGAATAAAACAGGCAAATTGATTGAAAGAGAAGGTGCAGACTTCATACATTAGTGTTATCAGTATATTACGTTTGTTTTATATGTTATATACATGAATAGGTATAAGGTTATCAATATGTGCTGTTCCTGACATATCAATAATCCAAAAGATATTTTTAAGCATGAGCTGTGACTGGTGTTGTCCATGGCCTACTTAGCTCTGTTTTGTGGAATTTTGATGAAAATGTTTGCAAGTCACCTTTAAAGATTATCATTGATAGAAGAAACTAAAAAGGAATAGTAACTAGTTGACAAGTTTTGCAGTTGTTGCATTTTCCCCCTGTACTTGGCTCTGGTGAGGCCGCACCTCGAGTACTGTGTTTAGTTTTGGTCCCCTCACTACAAGAAGGACATCGAGGTGCTTGAGTGAGTCCAGAGAAGGGCAACGAAGCTGGTGCAGGGTCTGGAGAACAAGTCCTACGAGGAGCGGCTGAGGGAGCTGGGCTTGTTCAGCCTGGAGAAAAGGAGGCTCAGGGGCAACCTTATTGCTCTCTACAGGTACCTCAAAGGAGGCTGTAGCGAGGTGGGGGTTGGTCTGTTCTCCCACATGCCTGGTGACAGGACAAGGGGGAATGGGCTAAAGTTGCACCAGGGGAGTTTTAGGTTGGATGTTAGGAAGAACTTCTTTACTGAGAGGGTTTTTAGGCATTGGAACAGGCTGCCCAGGGAAGTGGTGGAGTCACCATCCCTGGAGGTCTTTAAAAGACGTTTAGATGTTGAACTTAGCAATATGATTTAGTGGAGGACTTGTTAGTGTTAGGTCAGAGGTTGGACTTGATGATCATGAGGTCTCTTCCAACCTAGAAATTCTGTGATTCTGTGATTCCTTGGTTGTGTGCTTTCAATATTGCTGCTGCAACCATAATGTAAAGTGTGTGTGTGCTACTGGATGTCATGATTTTTGTGTTTGTTTTAGGACGATGATTATGATGACGATGATGATACATATGAATCACATTTACATGAAAAATCCGTAGAAGTTTTTGATCTTCCTGAAAATGAAGACATCAGTTTACCTCTGGATATGGATTCAGCACAGTCTCTTCTTAAATTTAAAGAGGTATATTAGTAGCAGTTTGTTAGTCTTTGTGGTGCACTAGGGAGCATTTGAACATTGTGTAATTTTGTGAAATGTTCATGTCCCCCTTATTGTGGTTTTGTGTTTGTTTACCCACTAAACACCAATAAGTATCTCTTGTAAATATCCCTTGAAATGTAGGTCTTCTGTAACTTTCTGATCGCAACTTCCCTAGATGTATATTAAATGATCCTTTGATTTTAAATTAAACAACAACAACAACCTCTACCAACCCCACCCCCCAAAAAAAAACCCACCTCCTGGAACAGGAGTTAGAACGCAAGACCACCTCCTCACTCGTTGTGGTGTCTGAACATTGCATTAAATAGATATGATGCTTCTCATGGTTTTTCTTTGGCCCATTGGAATTTGCATTTTGGAGTTTCAACTTGACACAATTGGAAAATCAGCCTCCCTTTTCCCTGTGTGTTTATAAAGGAGCTTACTTGTCTTATTCAGAGCTGTGGAGTTTAGTCTGGGATTTAATTGGTGCATTGCTTGGCATATAGGGGCCTGTGTTTTTTTGGTAGGTTTAAGTCCCTGTCATTTTCACTCTGGGGGAGAAAAATATACTGCAAAGAAACTGTTTAGTCTTAGCTTGGAACTTTCAGATACTATTTTTCATACTTATTTTTATAAAGAATCAATATTTGCAGACCTCCTTAAGTTTGCTCTCTTGGTAATATTGATGATGATGTTGAGGAATTTGAAATTTCAGACTGTCGATCACTGGAGAACATTTACATTTTCTTGGATGGGTGGCATAGCAGTAGGGTATGGCATTTTTTAAAGTGTCATATTTACTTGGGATGCAATTAGATTCCTAGCTAGAATCATTACCACACTGTTACTAACATAATATAATCAAGGATTTTAAGTCATGGATTCATTTATTTTAATGTTTGTTCAGTGCACTATGCTTTACCAAAAAAAAAAAAAAATCAAAAACAAAAACCCAAGGTTACAGATAGAAAGTAAAATACAAGAAACAACTGACGTTTGTCAAAAAAACAAACAAACAAACAAAAAACACTAATCGTTTAACTAAACGTTAACACGTTTGGCTTAGATGTGGTCTTTATCCATCTATAATAATCCTGTGAAGATTTGTGTTGTGAAGTACAAAGCTTAATTTTAAAACAAAGCCAGTACATTTATTTGTAAGTGCTGATATGTAATATATATATGTTTAGTACTTTTACAGTTTCACTTGATTCTATGTGTAAGTTGCCATCATAAGTGCATTTCTGCCATTTAATTTTCCTGGCACATTGAAACATTATTTTAACCTCCTCACTTTTCTTAATGTATAGAAAAAAATATTTTTAACTCTAGGTGATCTTGTAGTTTAACTTGTATTTATTTAAAATTAAAGCTCCTGATTGCTTCTCCTGTAATTGACAAATAATTAAGTTGACTTCATGCTACTATGAAAATGGTTTGAGGAAGAAGGAGATCAGACAAATACTAAAAATAAGCATTTTGAGTGCTGTTTTGTGTGTAATCTCATGAATTTCTTTTTGTATATTTCAGCTACAGTTAAAACATGCAGTAACAGTAGCTGAAGTGAATCAATTGAAGGAGAAGGTAAGTTTTCAAATACTTTATTATTAACTGTTGATATTTTTATTTATTAATAATTATTGTTAGTATTTCTAACTGCTAATTTTACCAGTACTAAGCTGAAAGCAGAAGACAGTGATCTGTTTTAGGCCTTAGGCTGTAAGTACTCTGTGTTAAGTGAGACAAGCAGAGATTTTTAAAAAGCAGTGTTTATTCTAATTCAAGTTAGCGTACTTATAGAAATGGCATTTTGACATGTGGAATCTGTGTTCGGAAGGAGCTGTTTTGGAAAGTTTAGAGAATTTTAGATGCTTTCAGTTTTCTACAGAACAATCCACCTATTAATGGTAAATGAATTTGTTTTGTGTGCTGAGGACACTGCTACAAGGTAGAGGCTTCCTTAGCTAGCAGTCGGATAACCCTAGCTAGTCTAATGAGCATGTATTTTGTTGTTTGTGTTTATTGTTCTTTTGTTTGTTTGTTTTAAGGGACAATATCTCTGTTCTTTTAAATTGTAAAGTTTCAACATGACTAGGGTATTTTTAAACCAAAGGGACAAAACTTCCTGTAATATTTTAAAAAAGAACACAGTGTTTAACCGTCACACTTGCTAAAGTTAACTAGAAGAAACATATATATGGAATCCAGTCTTCCTTTTGATTTTGTGCTCTTGTGCTTTGAGTGAGTTTAAGGAATCCTTTCATTCTAACTGTACATTTCCATTACAGAGTCTTGGAAGCTTGTATCAGCAAATAGTAAAGAGGAGGAAAAAGCTGTCTTAATCAGATAATCCTGCCTATTTCTTTAGCAGAAAAAAAAAAAAAGCTATAATTTCTGTATATTTTCTTTATGTGATTGGTAGCATCTCTGTGCACAGATTTGCATTCTTTTGCTTAAAAGCTGTTTATAGGTATAAAGTCTAAGGCAAATCGAAAGGTTAACAGGAAGCAAAGACTGGCTCAATACTGTGTCAAAATAGGTCTCTCCAGAGGTATTTAGAGATGGCAAGGTATTTAACAAGTCAATGTAAGAGACAAAGATTTTATTAATTATTTCTCTTTTAAAAGGAAGCAATACTAATAAGGAAGTAATAAAAGACCCCTGAGACTGAGTTCTAAAACTTACTTGTATTAGCAAGCATTGGAAGAGTTGATACAATTTCTTCAGAAGTTTGGTGTCTTGTTTTAATATTACTGATAAGCATGTAATTGTTTTTAGCTATTCTCTACTAAACATGTACTTTTTATTTCATCATTTAGTTTACATTAATTTCTTACATCTTAATCTTTTCAGTTAAAAATTGTTGAAGCAGAAAAAAATGAATGGAAATTAAATCGAACCCAACTTCAGCAAAACTTAGAGGAAAACAAAGAGAAAATTAAAAAGTTAGAGACTTACTGGTTGGAAGCTCAGAGTTTATGCAAAACGGTGAATGAGCATCTTAAAGAAACTCAAGAGCAATATGATGCCCTTGAAAAGAAATATAACAAGGCCAAGAAATTGCTCAAAGATTACCAACAAAAGTAAGTAACTCTGTTTCTTGCTTCTGTATTTTGTACATTATGGGGGGAAGATTGACAACAATATGTAGAGTTGTGATTTGCTTAACACACTCTTTTCCGTTTGACGGAGTTTAGGGAAGCAGTGGCCTGTGCATGCTGAATTCTTCCATACCTTAAGTCAAATTCTGGAAAGGTTCTTCAAAAATTTTGCTGCTGCTTTTGATTTTAAGCTTAGGAAAAGTAATACTTTAATAACAAATACTTAAAAGAACCTAGATGAGAAACTGTAATGCATCTGTACTTTTGAGAGAGCTGTGTTGAAATTTGACACGAAATACTTGGCAGTACCTTTTACTGTTTGTGAAAACACTCATCTAGCTTTGACCAACCTTAATGTTACAGACTGGGTAGGCATCAAAAGGATATAAAATGTTTTTTTGTTACTGTCCAGTGACCTAGTATTCGTGATTTTAGCAATTACCGTGCTTGTGATTTTTTATTTTTTTTAATAGCTTTAACAATGTGATTCTGATTGTATATTTCTCCTTGGAATTCTGTCTCACTGTACTGAATTATGGGACATAAGTTGAATTGATTTTGTTTGCTGCTTAATTCTGTACAACAGTGTCTTCATTTGTTGAAAAGGTGAGACCATATGAAGGTATATGAGAGAGGAAACCAGGAAGAGCAAGGGATAGTCTCAGAAAAAGGCTTTGGGATACCACCCTAAAAATGTATTTCTCTCTTCCCCAAGCAAGCTATTAAGATTGTATGTGCTTGGATTTATGGTTAGTACTCCTTAATGAAAGCCTTTTTATTACTCAGTATACTATCTGGTACTGTCCCTTTAAAAATATTCTGATAGATTTTGTGTGTTTAAATTATCAAAAAATATATATTACTCAGTCCAGCAAGTTGTTTAGGTAAGAGCCAGACACTTTTGATTCCATCTTAGCAAGGAGCTGTGTTTTGTGGGGGCAGAAAACAGAATTCTGCAAAAAAATAGGAGTTTGGAATATGTGTCTAACTCTTCAAAATCACATCATGATAGCAGTGTTTTCAATCCAATGACAGTTGTGTTTTTTTTTAGGTAGAGATACTGTTTCTTATTAGATACACTAATGTAAGACTTGAATACTGTGTCATGCAGTTGTCTACTTGTTTCACCTTCTTTGCTCTTATCTAAATGGCACAATAGTTATAGAAACATCTTGATAATATAGAATGCTACTGTTGCTTTTAGTTATTACAATAAATATATAATTCTCCAGTCCCAATTTCTCTACTTGCTACTTATTTTCAGACAGTCAGAATTTTCTGCTCCAAGTCCACATCCAGAATGATTACTTTCTACAGTGCATTTTTATGCTGTTCAGTCTCCTTTCTACTCTCCTCTCAAGCTTATACACATGGAAGTTCAAAAGTGCTAACATGCTAGTTCTCATTTCCTTGCTGTTCAGTGAATTCCCGTTACTACTCTGACTGTCCTTGAAGCTTCTGCATGTTGTTTAGATGTTCTACACCTATTTTATCTTTTTGTACATTATTCTGTCTATCTTGCAGGAAAAAGTAGCCTTTATTTTTGTTTTTATTTCCTTCTGGTAATCATTGTTCCATTGTTTTGTAAAACAAATCATTGCAATTTCTTTAGGATGAATCAAGTAGAAACTTAAAATATTATTTTCTTTTACAAAAAAAAAAAAATCTAACATAGCTTATGGAAGCAAAAGACTATTTTCACAGCAATAGGCAGTATGTGTGTATCTTTATGGAAGTGAGTAAGATCTGATGATTAGAGTTCTGTATATGTTTGATATTTTGAATGTATACACAATTTGCTTGCAACTTTTTAAAGGTAGAGAAATAGATGAAACTTTTAGAAGGTGTTGTAATATATCCTTCTTTTAGCCCAGAGTGAATTACAGCATCATAATTGATATTTTTTTCTGAGGAACATAAATATAAATACGTGGACTGTTTTGTGACATTAAAAGATTAATGAGTAATAGTTACACATTGCAGATTTTTCAAAATGTTTACTAACAGAAAACTTTTTAGTAACTGTGTATATCTTCTATAGTTTTCTATATTTCTGCATATTAGTGTTTCATATATATATGTATTTCTTTCACCAGAGAAATAGAATTTATGAAGAAAGAGGAGGATCATTCAAGGGTACTTGAAGAAAGAGATCAGCAGTATGCGGAACAGCTGAAAATATATCAGGAAAAGGTAACGCAGTATTATATTTAGAACTACCTGAGAATGCGAAAGTTTATTTCTACCTTGCTTCTAAATATTAATTCTTGCAGATTACAGAGCTTGAAAATAAACTAAAAGTGTATGAAAGAATGCCATATATGTTTGGAGGCAGCAGTTTATTGGAAGATGTCTGTCAAAATGCAGGCCAGCATAATGAGCAGTCAAAGATAAGAGAAGAAAATGAAAAAGAAACAGAATCCATAGAGGAAAGACCGAATTCTTCAGAGATGTTAATTTCTGGTAAGTAGGTACAGAATCTTTGATTTACTTTTTACAGAAGTTAGAAAGTGTTAATGCGTGTGGCATTTTTTTTTTCCTTTTTATTTTTTTTTAGTTAAGTGTTATTTCTTACCCACTAGATAAATGGTTGGACTGAAACAGTATGGATATTTTTATTTTAAGTTCCTCATCATATTTATTATATGCTGTGGGGAAGGAGATAGATGGAGAAGTAACTTCTTTACTTTTCCTCAGGTTCTGTATTAGCAAAATCAGTAACATTAATGAGACTGGAGATACATCAGCTGAAGTCACATTCACAAACTGTGATTTACACCAAAACTTGCTATGATTTTTTAATATATTTTTAAGTCTGATAGTGATATTATGCCAGCTTGTTATCAAGTATCAGGTGGTGGTTCACATAAGAAGTATCGCTTTAAAAGACACGGTTGATGCTCATGGACTTCATAAAGGATCTCTGTCTTAAAAAATAAAGATAGGAAAGTGTATTTTGGGCATAAAAAAATCTCATAATTTTGAGAATCAAATTGAGTATTAAAGCCATAATACAAATTATTGGTTTAAAAAAAAAAAAGGTGGAAATTTAATTCAAATTAGCAGTTGTTATCAATATATGTTGAAATATTGTAGTATCGTATAAACTGGATTGTCATATAGTGATGATTAGTTGGTGGAATAATTCTGATTTAGCATCTGAATATTCTTCTGGAATGTGGGTTGGAGAACTCACCTAATATTTTTTTAAAGGAGTACATATTTGTTGCAGATTTTGATGCTTTTGTTGGGGATACTCCCAGGTTAGACACCAGTGCCCACAAAGCAAAAGCTCAGCTTGCTTTGAAAGTAAAACGCCAGCCGCCTTCTCGATCAAAGCTGAAAGAATCTCTTGGTGCTGGACAACAGGCTGCAAATCTACAGGTACTGATATGAGTAAATAATTTGGCGTTCAAAAGCCTGAATGTATATTTAGTTTTATCTGTATTCACAATTTTAAGTGTTGCCCATGCTTCATTCAGATGGTGCCAAAGCATCAGATTTGTATGCTGTACCAAGTGGAAAGCCCTATTCAGGTTCACAAATGTAATCATAAGCATGTGGAACATGCTTTTCTATCTTGTAATTTCTTCATCTGAAACAAGTTAGTTACCAATATTCTTCAAAAAACTAAGCATTTCTGAAATGTTTCATTATTCCATAAATAATCACTTGTCTACAACAAAACATAGCAGTCAAACGTTCTAGCCCATTTGTTGCACTAACTTTACTCCTTCTGTCTAGACTTATATTGCCAATGATGCAATCTAACAGTGGTTACCTGCTTCCCCTGTTTCTATTCATACTTGTACAAAGGTTGACTATTCTCAGCATGTTTTTTTCATTCATAACTGTATAGATATAGAACTTCTCTGAGAAGTTTGCATTGGTGGCATCATCCTTCTTAGATCTTTCCTTTATAGAATACTATAACTTCAATCAACTGAGTTGAGGTAGTTGTAGAGGAAAAAAAATATTGATTAATGACTTCAGATAAGTGGCTGCTGGATCACAATTAGCCTATCTTTAAATTCCAAAGTTCCCAGAGCTTTTCTTAGCATTATGAGGAAAAAGGCATCTGAGTAGAATTCCTATTGAATGCTTCTCAGTTTCACTGTAGCTGTGCTATGCTCCTCTCCATATGTCCACATACACCTTGTTCCCTGTTCTAGAGGTGGAATTCCCTGGAAATTAGCTAATTCAAATCTTGTGCATTACTTAACTTTCAACATTGCCTTTTTTTTTTTTCTTTTTTCTTTTGACTCCTTTGTTTAATTTAAACTTGAACTTTTTTGCAATTTCATGAGCTTTCAATACTTGATTTTATTGCCTTTGTATTTTCATGAAAGTATATAGCAGCAGTCTAACTCTATTTGAGAAAGCTGGGAGTTAGAATTCATAAACCTTTTTCTAGGATATTAGTTGGTATTATGATAGACCAGTGAATATACCATTGATAGCTCTTAAGATCTCTAGCTGTTTTTTTTTTTTTTCCTGTTCATTTTTCTGGTAGCGATATAGAAAACAAGTAAAGTTAACTTGTGGTATGCTTCTATTCTAATTTCCTCTAACGTAAGTTGATGGTAAGGTCCATATCTGTGTTCTTCCTTGATATGGCCCTGTTCCATGACAAGTGTTATCAACATAATGTATTACTGTCATGATTAAATCATTATCCTCATGTCGGGTGTTATAACCCGTGAAATTCTATTTGAAGTAGATTCTGGACATCAGCAATTAGCCTTCTTTAGCAGAGCAAGAAAAAGATAAGATTTTTCTGGTTGATACTGGTTCATGAGCATACACAGTCTTGTAGAGTTTTTAATGTGAAAACAAGAAATGTGATTTTTGATGAAAGATGTGAGGGGAGAAAACAGTTGAAGAAATGAGTTATGTAACAGAAAGCCTGTCTCAGAGGTAGAAGATTGAACTACTTGGTTTGAAACGATTTTAAAAAGTGGTTGCAATTTAATTGGAATAGCCAAGATTTACCAGAATTTTTCTAAGTTGTCCAGATGATGATGATTAATTAGGATGTGATTCTATGATTCTGTATAGGCTGGACAAGGGAAAGCCTGTAAAATCAGCCTTGTGTGATTCAGATGATATGTGCAAATGATTAAGTTAAAATTTTAACTGTTTGGTATTTTCTGAACTGAGCAAGTTTGCATGTAACATAACACATCCTTACATCCTGGTAAAAGATCAGATTTGAAATGATTTATATATCATGCTTATAAAATGACTTTAAAATTTGTTGAAGGATGAGGATTCAGAAGATCCTGTTCTCAACAGAGAAGCTTCCACTGCATACATAACTAAGACCTTGGAAATAAGTGAAAAATTAACTCTGCCCCACTTGGATGACATAAATCGAAAAAGTGAAAAGCCTGAACAAAGAGAAAGCACAGAAAGTCCTTTAGAGTCAAGCCCTTCTGCTTCCACACACTCTTCTCCAGTACACAAACCAAACAACGAAAACAGTACAACCACCACTCATTCACCTCCTCCTGAAGAGATGGCTCCAAATTCTCCTCAAGGGCATACCAAGAATATGAAGCAAAGAGAAGTAAAAGGGAAAGGAAAAGAGGCCAAGGGTAAGATCTGAAGTTTTATTATTATTTTAATCCTTTGGAGTTAAAATATTATGGTTTTAGATTTAAAATTATTATTAAACAATAAGATACTTTGCTAGAAAAGGAACTGACTACTAATTACCTGTTCTTGAAACCAACTGTTAACTCTTCAGGAAAGTCTGAAGGTAGCAAAAATGTATACAAGTGCATTGCATTATATTTTTAGGTGAGTTGGCGTTAGATGTAGTAAAATGAACAAAGTGCTTAAAATGGCTCAAAAGAGGAAAAAGTGCTAATGACAGTAATTATATGGGGAAGACTGCCATTTCTGGGACTCAAACCCGGATGATTTGTAAAAATGAAACAAACCAGGGCCTTGAGGGCAAAATTTGCAAGTTTTGAACACCCTTGAAATTAAAACTGTGCTTGCTTACAAGTAATGTCATGCTTAAGCCCTCCAATGCGAACATAAAGCAGATAACTTTCTGTTGTCAGCTCTACCTGCGGTATGAATTTTACTGTGGCTTGCATTTGCTGTCTAGTCAGTTCCTCTTCCTTGAGAAGAATATCAGTTGATAGCAAATTGCAGCTTTGGAAATGGAGCTACATACCTGACCTCTCTGCCAAAACGCTAGAGAAGTAATGTCATATGTGTTTGAAAAGATGTTTGTGAAAGAATAGTCAGTAGCTCTACTGGGTCAAATATACATTGATGAAAAAGGCTGGGAGCAAAACCCCCCAAATGTCTGGAAATCTGATTTAAGACTTATTCCTGTCATGCTTGGAAAGATGTTCTGACTGGCATCCATTCAGATCTCAAAAGTTTCCCACATTTTCACTAAGGTTTAGAATTTATTTTTTAGTCTATTTTTATATACAGATTTATCAAGCAACATCAAGGTACTATTCTTTGTATAGACAGAAAGTAATATTGTTTTGAATATTTAAATTTCCAGAAAATACTAGCCCGGCATTAATGAACTCTTCAAGTTTAAAAAAAATCTGTCTCATTTTTTCATGGGAACAGTTTTATTGCTTTGGCTACTGAAATTCTTTATCTGGGTCTTATCCTTAGAATACTTGCTATAAGCCTCATTTCTTAAAGGTATTCAAGAATCTTGACTAATATTTGTATTGTTTTCTGATTATCACTCTGAAAATTTCAAGTATCAGAGTAGCCTAAACTAAAATATAAATTTCAACAATCTACAAACATGTATTTTTATGTACACTGCTGTAGGAAAAAGGTCTTTTTTTCTTCTAGGGTTAGCAGTCATGATTGCATAGCAGGTGGATTACATATTTATTGCATGAGAAAAGGAAAGCAAAGTGTTTCAAAGATTGTAACTGAAAGTTCCTTTTTAAGAATATTTTGGTATTTCAAGAAGACAGACGACTTCACATTTTTGAAGTCTTTTCTAAAAGGTGCCTATGGAATAAATGCTATTTCAATTAAACAGCTCCAGAAAGGAATAGATATGAGACAGCTAACAGATATGGTAGCTCAAACCTGTAAATCTAGACTCTAAATGGTTGCTTTGACATAAGCAAGAGGTGAGCTCAGTCACAGACTGGGGATAATCAATGAAGGTCCTAACGTATTTCTGCAAAACACTAGCATCTTAAGTGGCAATGTCTCTGATAGTAGGTTTGACAGATTACCAATTCCAAAAAAAAATAAATGCTGGCTTTGCATTTCCACATGTGATCCTGATGTCTACATTTGATTTTCAACTTTGTGAGAATCACTGCGTTGTTCATCTTGTCCTCTTGTTTCTCACCAGGAAGAGATGAAAGAGGCTGTGATCAGCTTAGTCACTACTCATCACTATTTAATAGAAATATTTGACTTTTTTGTCATAAATAATTGAAAAAGGGATCAGATAACATTTAAAATGCTTTATGTTTTACTTCAGTCAGCTAGGACAGGTTATAAATGCAGATTATAATTGCTGTCTTTTCAATACAGCTCAGGCAAAACCTTTCTTTTAATATCTTAAATAAATACCCTTTCTTTTAATAACAACAGGATCTGTTATACTTTCCTCATTCTATACCTCTGTAAAGTCTTAATTAGAATTAGAAATAGCCTCTATGCTAGCTTCTGTTTTTTATAAAATAAAATAATAAAAAAAGTCTTCTCAAAGCACGTACCTGATATGTGATTTTGCTTTCTTTTTTACTTAACCATAATTATGTGTAGTCACGGGGCATAAATTTAATTGTGATGGCCAAGGCATTGTAAACATTTTCTCAAAATTGGCAGAGTCCCTGGAAAAGCTAATTAATGCAGTACATCAGGGATGAGGGTTAGTATTGAAAGTTCTTTGTACGTAAGATGACACTAAATGCTACTTTCTGCCAGATTGTTGCTTTCTAACACTATTTAAATGTCTACCTAATGTTTCATTGAAATACCCCTTTCTATTATCTTCTCCTCCATTTATATATCAGTCTGTATTTTAACCTATTGTATTTCACTTTAGAAATTACCTCTTTTCTTAAAATATTACCTCTGGAGAAGAGTAGTGGTTACACATGTTCAATATAAAAACATTTTACGGATTAATTCTTCTGTTTTTATATTGAAGTTGACAGGAAAAATAACCAATTTAACTGGCATTTATAAATTTTTGGATGTTGCATGTTTAGAGAGAGAGGTTAACTAAATAGAAAAAGTTCTGTTGTTGGTAAGAAACTATTGAATAGAGAAGAAAAAAAAAATCCTGGCCATTCAGCATGTGAACTTTAAGGTAACCATTATAAGTTTCAAGAAGAATTATTAGCTGTTGGATGTGAAGAGAAGTTGCTATTGATTTTGTGTAGGAGACCTAATTTTTTTATTTTTTTTATGACCCAGGAAGGCATATACGTGCATTACTTTCTATGTTTTTCATGTGTTTTTTTTTCAGGTGTGTTTTTCTTTTTTTTAATGGAAGACAGAACTTAAAACTTATATTGTCTCACAAAAACTATACTTTATCCATCTCATAGGCAGCATAATTATGAAAAATGTCAGTTGTTTAAAAAAAAATCTATTAATCTGAGAGCTTAAAAGGAAGAACATTCAGGACTTGGAATAATCTGTCAAAATCCATGGGAGGAAGTAGTATTACACTTAAGTTTGTCACTTCATTTCACTTAATAATTGAGTAGTTAGAATTGAACCTGCTCCCTCTGGTGAAAAATTAGATCCTCGTAGGTTGTATTCCAGTTCTATAAATATCACAGTCTTGGAGGAGCTTCAAAGTCATGGTTATCTCTTTACAGTATGCACAGCTTGTTTTCCAAGAAACTCAGCTTGTTAGGATCTGTCTGCTCTCCAGGTTCTGGCTATCGTGCTGGTCAGGTATCCTTTCTGTAGCTAGCAGCATGCATACATAGCCCAAGTTGCAAGGAGCTAGCCTTGACAAGCTACTAAACCAGGGTGAGGGGGAAAAATGCAAAAGGAATATTTTATAACGCTTGAAGCATAATAAACAACAATTAAATGTTGTAAATACTTTGTTACTTAGGTTTTAGGATCTTAGAAGCATCTTCATAAGTATGTGAAACTTGCAAGTAGTTTTAGAATAACATTTTTATTTTTTACCCCTCTCTGAAAAGCAGAAGAAAAGAAAAATGAAGACAAAACAGAAACAAATGAAGGAACATCATCAGGGAAGTCCAAGAGGCGATTTCCAGATTTTGGGTAAGATTTTGTGTACGTTTGGAAATAAATGGTTTCCAGTGTTGCTTTTGGAGAATATCATGTTTTGTGAATACAAACCGCTGAGAAAATCCTGTAATGCTGCTTGATAGCAACATCATTGGACAGTGTTTTCATCTTGAAACTGTAGTGTTACATTCATGTTTCTAACATGCTTTCATTTTATTTGCCTATATTTTTTCCCTCAAAGAATTTCTTGTGGTTTTTCAGTTTTTATCCAAGTACAGGATTTCTCTAGGAGTTAATGGTGTTTTATTCTTAAATTTGCAAATCCATGTGTAGTTTCATGCCAAAATGTTTTTTGGAGACTTCAGTGCTATGTCCTGCTGGCTTTACAGTCTGAAATAGATGCCTGTCTTGCCTTGATTCCTTCTACAATAAAGGTGTCATTACGTAAGGTTTGTCTACAGTAGCTGCTTACTCTACTGCTCCTTGGAAGTAGTGACTGAACTCTGGGGATTTGAGAGAATTGCTAAATTTTACCACAAGTCATGCTCCTTCTGAACCAGTTAGAAAGCTTGTTGATGCCAGTTAACATAAAAAGACTGAGATTAGTACTACAACAAATAAATCATAATATATCTCATAAAAATGACTTATTACACACACATACAGAGTCAAGGTAATAACTTAGTTCAAGTCACTCTACGTATGCACATAGCAATAAAATTCTGTTCTTCCTCTTGGTTGTATACACTAGATGTTAAGTTTCTTTGGCATTTTCTATACTTATGTTGGTTATTTATGTTTTTGAAAGGAATTTCCAGAATTCTAACATGATTTTTTAGATAAAATTTGCATGACAATACTTTTTTAATTGCTTGTGTAATCTATAAAATCAAGATCTGTGTAGCAATACAAGTGTGGCTTCTGGTTAATATGAAAACTTGTTTGCTGATAAAAATGTTGCATTATGTAAATGTAAACCCTATATGAAAATTGTGTTTTCCACTTTAGTGGATTGCGGAAATCTGGGGGCAAGGGCAAGAAACAAGAAAAAGAAAATCTAAGAGGTTCGCTGGATAGCAGGTATTTGTTTTGTTTTGTTTAATAAATACATGCAACATCTCTAAAATCTTTAACCCAAGAATTTCTTTGAAATTGTCATTAGTGTTTGACGTTAAAGTATGTTCAAGTACGACGGTGGAAAATTCTGTGAAAATTAATATAACGATGTGGAGATGAGCTTCTAATTTCATGAAATAAGAAAAATAAATGGAGTAGTATAGACGAATCAGTAAAGCAGAGGAAACCAGAGAGGAAAGAGTAAAGCAGAGCACACTTTGAAGTGACTTGTGAGACTTTAATATTTTACCTGGGAAAATGAATGCTAAATAAATTAAATTAGCAAATATTTGGAACTGTCGTTTTGTGAAATATTGCAAAAACTCTTAAATTTGTGTTAATAACCAAAGTATTTTGCATGGATATTCAAAGGTAATTATCAGTTTTTATTTTAAATATCAACAATGCTTTGAAACAGGTACAAATGAGTAGTATGTGTTGTTGTTGTTTTGTGTTTTGTTTGTTTTTAAACAATTTAAAAACAATTCAATCTACTGATTTCAGAGGTTCTCGAGAACTGTTGGATGACTCTGGCAACAATCTCTCTGCATCAGATTCAGATTCTCCTGTGCCTACTTGTATGCCTTTCTCGTGGTTTGGAGACAGTCACAAAGAGCCTCAGATTTCTAGTAGTAGTCTGCACTTTCCTCAGAGTGGACAGGACTGTTGTGAACATGGTCAAGAGAAGAACAGAAGCAAGGTAAAGATGACTAATTTGTGCTTTGAATATTTAAGTGTTGCATCTTGACAAAGTGAAACTGTAAGTGCTTACTTAATATGTGAAAGCTTGGTGACTTACACCTAGAATGACATCACCTCAAACACAGCTGCAGAAGCTTGAGACTTTACAGCCCTCACAAGCAGAGACTGTGTCAGTATTCCCATTTCTTACCATTCAATTTAAGCATCGGTGGAGGTAGTTCAGGCTGAAGTAGGCTTCTAAGGAATGATCACAGGACAGGTTTAATAACTGGTTTTATAGTGCTAAAAGTGTTGCTAGCTTTAGGACAGTGTAATTTTAAAAGCCAAATCTGTTTACCCTGTAAACATGAGAAAGCAGTCCAATACTTGGAGGAAGTGTACTTAAGTAGAGGCCAGCTCCCCAGGCAGTTGGCCAACCAGTTTTTACCATACTGGTATGTCAGGATTGAGTACCAGACAGGTGTATGAAGAGAACGTCCTTTTTCCAAAGTATTGAAACCTGAGAGGAACAGCTATAGAACACACTCTCTTAAGTTAAAGCCCTATTACCAGATTTTAAGAGTGAAACTTAACAGTTCAGTCTGTAACCATAAAGATCCCGTTTTTATAGTTTTAACTGTTTGGAAGAAAAGCTACTTTGGTGACAAGTTTACTGAAACCTTCAATAAAGTCCCAATTTTGTAGCTTTGTTTACCTGTTGGCAGTATTAGAATTAAAATTTACATGAAGAAATGCCTGCAAACAATGTGTGTGCTGTCAAAATATTTTGTTAAAACTGAAGACGCAGTCTTACTGAGTTACCTTTATTCTTGTTTCCTTTGGATTTTGTCAGATTCAAAATTGTAATTGTCCGAGTAACCTCACAAACTAAGTTTATTCTTAAGTTTCACACTTTTTATTCATTCTGGTTATCTAAAATACTTTTTTTTCTCTTTCTATGTGTTGTTATAGAGAAATGAGATACAAATCTAGAAGAGAAACTTGCGGGGCTGTAGTTTGTGAAGTTGCTGATGTTTCGCATAGATGGCAGATAACAAGTTGGCCTTTCATGTCAAGATGCTGAGTGCACTAGAATACTGTTAGAATAAGTTTTTAAAATTACCGTCTGTTTTCTCACTGTGAATTTACAGTGGCTGTCGGAGGATTAAGCTGTATGGCTACATAGTGTATGAGTCTGCAAAAAAAATACAAAAAGTCATTTTAGAGCCACACAGTACCTTACTATCCTATAGGAACTGAAGAGTAGGAACTTCGTAATCCCTGAAGTAGAACTGTCCTTTATAGTATGCTGTTCAGTGTGTGTGTGCATGTGACTTGGGTATTTACAGTTCCTGCATTGTTTGCTTCTTTTGAAGCATGTAATAGCAAAAAGATGCTTTCATAAATAAGCCAAATATGTTGGTATAGGAAGATTTGTGTTTAAGGGGATTTCTTAATAGGCTATTGAAAAGCTAACTGGATGTTTATCTACACAGAACACATCTCTTGAGGTTTAGCTTTCAAAGAGTCATTGGCTCAGAGATCATTCTTTACCTCTTCATTCCTCCTTTTCTTTATTGCTCCTTTCTTTCTGATTCAAGTCATTGTCCAAAACATCATAAAAATCCCACTGCTGCATTTCTACTTTAAGCACTCTTTAAAGTATTTACATTGGCACTTTTGTTCACACTCAAAAAATATAGATCTTACTGGAATGGGTCCTCTTTCTTCCTTTCCACGTTGCCCTTCATTAATACCCTTTTTCTTCCTCATCACTGTATACTTCATCCAACCTTATTATCACTTAAACCTTCCAGCTAGTTTCTTGCCTACTATTTATTTTTTGCTTCCTTCTCATGCTCCAGTATGTAATTGCTGCTCACTGCTCTTTTCTTTTCCTTAGTGCCAGTTGCAAACCAGCAGCTGCAATAACATGATAGTCCTGAGCTATATGTCTGCTTTGTAAAATGGTACAAAGCTGACCCTGTTAAAGAACAGATATCTCATATATTAATTGATCCTAAAATCATATTCAGTTTCTCTGACGTCAGGCTATTTTTACTTTGCAACATTTGAGAGCTTGTTTTAAAAGCTTGTAATGTAGATACTACTTGGAATCACTTATCTTTGTAGCTCTTAACCTGCTTTTGAGTGTTGAGTTTGTGCTACAATGTCAAGGTTTTGGCTGGTTAACCTCCCTATGAAAAGACGTTAAAACTGAGAAAGAAATCTGCCTGAGCACTCAGCAATGAGGTTTTTCACTAAGACAACATAACGACAGGGACAAAATCATCTTTGTAGAATTTAAGGAAAGAATATGCCTTTTATTGATGTTAATGTTTTCTGCTTTGATGTCTGTAGTATCACACATAATCAGGTGAAAGCACTTTTTAAAGAACAGTTAAAAGTAGAAACCCTGAGATTAAAATTTTTTCACATAAAAATCTCTAATGCCATAAAGTCTTTGGCATTGTGTCTAATTTCTGTAGTAGTGTTTTAATATTGATGGTGTAAGGACTGTAATTACAATTTTAAGTTTCCTGTTTGTGAAATTTGCCTCTTGAAATTTCTGCATTTAGGAGGATTTTGTTTTGTTAAAATGGTGCTAAAGTTAGCCTTAAAAACATAATTTTGTGAAATAATGAATCAACTTTTTGTTGGTTGTGAAATGTAGAAGTAAAAGAAACTAAAATCTTGTGATATGGTGGCACACTGTTTAACTTCACAATATTTCAAAATTACACACTTCTTAAATCCCTGCACATAATCTGCCCCTTGATTTCATCCTGTTCTCTGATCCAGTACAAATACGTATATGCTGTTCGCATTCCTTATTCTTCCAGAGCATTACTTATCTTCCATAAACTTGTATGCAGTGTTTTGTTTTTGTTGCAATGAAGAATGATGTGGAGTAAATTATTTATATCCCAGTACCTTGGGGTAGGACCTGCAAAACTTCCTCTGTCCAAATTCTCTTAGAGAATCAAAAATCTTTGCAACTGGCTCTAAATCCTTAAAAGAGAATTACTTGTTTAAACTAAATAGAGGCAGAGGAGGAGAAAACATTACAACTGGTGCTGAGATACTTTATTCTGGTCATGTTTTCTTCATCATTTTTTCTCTGTTCTCATTAAATGTTTAGGTCCAAATATTACAGTTTTGTTTCTGATTTTTTCCCAATTACTCTGCAAGGAAGTTCTGAGGGAAGTTAAAAGAAAAACTCCATAGTAGCTTTTTCTCATTGTAATTAGTTGAGAACAGCTTAATAGACAAAATAATTGAGCTTTCAACTAAAAAATCAACTTTACCTGGGATCTCAGATTATGTATGCATATAAAGATATGGTATGGCACCCTCACAAAATATAGTTGATTAGAGACTTCAAAAATAAAGATAAATAATTGCTTACTCTTTGTAGGCAGCAAAGACCAGTATTGAGAAATTAATTTTAAGAAGGTAAAAATTATGTGGTGTGCTTTTGGGAAAATTATTTTTCAGTCATTAAAGAAAAATAAGGTAGAGGTCAGGATCTGGGTTGGAAATGAAGGCAGTCAAATCAGAAAACATTCTGCAAAACATGTGTTAGTTTTCTTTAGAAGGATTTTCTCACCAAACCTGTTGTGAAGTTTTCAGGTGTAGCATCCGTTTTTTTCATAGCCTTCAGCTGGAGTTCCAGGCTGGTCCAATGACCTGCCTGAGGCCATACGACAAGTGGCTGCTGGCAGAATTTGAACACAGAGCCTGCTGCTATTAGATGCCAAGACATATAGATGCAATCTTTAAACAGAGACTAAGTGTGATAACTGAATGTAAATGGTAAAGGCCATGACGATTTTTACATTCTTTCAATGGGATAGTTTTTATATTGGTTGCATTTCTAACCTGAATTTTACTCTTCCGTACATTTTAACTGTTTTAATTGTAATTTTATTCCATTATTCCATTATAAAAAGGTGATACTTGTTAAAATCTGTATTTCTGAAGTTTTTCCTATTTTGAAAATAATTTATGTAGATTGTCAAGCTGCATAATTGCTGTAAATTTATGGTAAAGATATCTGAGTAATTGTTTAACTTTTTAGAATGTTCAGCTTTAAAGTGTTTTACAATACTTAGTATTTTAACTGTGAAGATTTAATATAGCTTGAAACAATCTACTATAAAAATACTTCTAAAGATATTTTACATCTATATAGTAGTTTGCATATCAAGGTAATTTTCAGATGATGTGAACCTGTGTCTCAAACGTAGACACCTCAAAATTGAAGCTATTAAAATGAACAGCAACACAATACAGTATCTTAAATTAGAATTTAAAGTTCAGGGGAAGCTAATAGATTCTGTCCTTAGGCAAGCTCTGCATTCTCTGTTCATGAACCAATTTAAACCTTGATCTGTAAACTGCCAAAAGTTCCTTGCTACTCCAATTGTCATTGTATGTCAGGCAAGGACAGGGTGTTTGTTCCAATGCCTATTACAGTGGGCAAATATGAAATCTAAATCTTTTATGATCATAAACAGAACTTCTATCTCATTAAGAAAAGCACCTTCTGAAGCATGTTCATAGTGCTCATTAGGTTTCACTTGAATACAAACCCACCATGAATTAATTCCACCAACTAAATCTTGAATTGCTTCTCCCTGAGTGTGCTATGCCTACTGAAAATGTAACTGTGTATTTCCTTATGTACTTTCATGTAACTTCAGGTTATGACTAGTTCTCTATACAAGGTGCTCTTATTGGGGACATTGCTTTAAATTTGTTGTTATATTTTTGAATTCAGAAGTTTAACAAAAACTCGTCTTGAAGGTGGATGCAGTGAGTACATTTCACGTGTGATCTACAGAAAATGACTGAGTCAAAGTATTTATTTTCCAAAAATCACAATTACTAGAATATCACCTTGTGATCTGCTTTTCCAAGGAGTGAGTTAATAAAACATTATTTCCACTTGTTTGCAGAGTAGAGTTGTCATAGATGATACATACCATAGCAAGCCAAGTTGTGAACTTTCAGGGTTAGTGACAGAACCAAATCTGTCAGGTCGTTCACACACTTTAACCTTCTCTTCAAATGAGGTGAGTTTCAAAGTGTGTATATGTGTCTTGTTTATGTTGTTGTTCACACTACAGTATGGTTAATAGAACCAGATTTGTTTAACATGAAACTTGATGGTTCTTTCCATATTTTAATATTGAAGAACACTGTAAAGAATCCTAAGCCATTATTGAACTAAGGGCATGGACTGGAAGATGCCATATTAGGCTTTGTGTTCTGATCTTCATTGTATCGCAAAACAATGGAATGAACTCTGAATGATCAAATTTCAGTTTTTAAAATATAAAATATTTCTGTTCCACAAATTTCAAGTAGCATCCTTGGCAAATGAAAACTGCAGCGTTTTTGACCTTCCCCTGACATCAGTGCAGGTTTGTGGAGAACTAACTCCTTGCCTACAGCTGAAACCTGAAATCAACACTTTGGTAACATTCTCATGTATTTCCTCACTCGGTGTTTTACTGATAGGCATCTTTATAAATTATAGACTAGGAGTCATTAAAAACTGAATATAGTCATCTTCCAGATATGAGTTAGAGAGCTAGCCAAATTGGTAGTGATAATGTTTGAAGGGAAAAAAAAAAAAAGGTGGTTAATAAATGAGATAGGTCGTTACTAGCTATCTTAAACAAGGCTTTGGTGAAAATCATAAATATTCTGGTAAGACTGTTCTTTCTACATATTACAAGTAATACTATAAATATGCAGCCACTAACATTAATCTGGGGCATTGAAGTTATAGAACTAGTTTACAAGTTTCTCATTGATTTTTCAGTGATGACAGTCAGTTATAATGAAAACTGGGGTAACTAGTTAATACATACCATCATTTCAAATGTTTCCTGCAATTGTTTGAGGTTAGTGGATGGAATACGTGTTTCTAAAACTTTAAAGCAACATAAATTATAAGATCTTAACAAAGCTGAATATCTTCATGAATGCTGTTACTTGATCAGTGTTACAACTTTAAATAAACTTCTGGATCACAAACTCCAGCAAAAGTTATGTTTATGCACATGTGAAGTGGCAATTAAGCTTTTTTTTTTTGTCACAGATGTGTTTGATTCTAGTCTTGTCTCCAGTATGTATGTTGCTTACACATATGAGCAATGGAAGGTGTTGGGTTTTTTTTTGCGCCTTTTCAGTAACTATAGTGATTATCAGGGTGCATGTTGTTTGGATGGATTCCTAAATATATTCCTAAATCATGCCAGTGTAGCAACCTCTGCTTTCAGATGAGCAAACTACTGCATGCTGCCCTATAAATCTTGAAATTGTTAAAAGGCTAGAAATGGAGGAGAGCAGCAGTGAAGAATCTGCCTTTGCTGAGCAGATGCTCTCAGCAGTTTGGGGAAGTGACTGAGCGGTGGTGAGAGTTAGGTTGTTAGCAGCCAGCTAGTTAGAGGAAAGACATCTCAACTCACAGTTGTTTAGCAAGCAACCTGGTAACCCCTCTTACACTTCTAAAGCTTTTTATCTCTTATATGGTGAGATGGCATTTGTGGTTTTTTTCTTTGTTTCGTGGTATTCTTGTCTTTAGAGCCTTGAGTGTGTCTGGCCTTACTTGCCTTCTGAATGACCAATATTTTTATGCAGGGGAGCACTCTGTTCTCTCGTGCTTCCATTCCTCACAAGTGGTTTTAGTTCTGCTTTCAGAATTTGAGGTTCATCTTCTGGAAGGGAAACAGTTTGGCATGGGGCAGAAATGTAGAGGTGTTAGTTAATGACCAATAAGCTTTACTCAAAAAATCAATATTCCTCATCTTATTCTTCCATACTTCTCATATTCCTGTTTATATTCCTGAAAAGTTACAACTGTGCTTTTCCTTTGTGCAGTAGGGAAAAAATCGAATTATACAAGACTAAATATCTCCTTTCCTCCCTCACTTCTCTGAGGAGATGTCTAAGTGTTTTAATGCAGATTTGAGGTTTTAATACAGCTTTTAATTGTGTTAGTGCGGTGTCTTTACTAACAAGAAGTAAAGAGGACTTTGCTAGCAACTGTTAGGCTCAAAGGCTAGCTGGAACTAGCGTAGTCTGCAGAACTCCTCTGTGGTACAGGCTGCTCGCTGCTCCAAACCATGCTGCATGGCAGATCTGAGATAGAGAGCTCCCCCTGCATTCTGTAGGGGACCGCATTCACCTGGTGAAAGGGATGAATCTGGGCCTCCTTGTTTAACAGGAATAGACCTTCGAGTACTGGTACTCTGAAATTACAGAAGTGAAATTGCATAGCTAGCACAGATTAAATAAAATGTTAAGCTACTGAGTGAGGTCCAACAGGAATAAAACTTTTAATACATTTCTCAGTGTGTATATATAATTTTTATCCTTTGCAGATAAAAGCTTTGGCAATATTTTAGTACTTTCTTGCTACTGATAGACCACACAATACTCCAGTACAGGTCAAACGTGAAGTGTAAAAATTTTCTAGTTTTTGTGTATTATTCAGAGTCACTTGCTAGTATGAGACAGAAGAAGTTACCACAACATAATGATTTAAAGTAAATGGACATTTTCAAATTCCTGTTGTAATTTATACAGTGAATCTTCTTTCTCTGTGCCAAGTACCCCAAGCGTGGTAGCTTGGATAGAAAACTAGCTGTGCCCCAGTTTTCATGACAGAATTGCTGTACAGAACACTTCAAGCAAAACTTTCTTTAAAGTCCTTGGATGTTTTGTAAAAATTGCTGTGCTTTTACACGTCAGGAAGGCCAATGTGTCCACGCTTTTTATGTCTACATTAGCATTTTAATTAGGATTAGAAGTTCAGTTTTGAAGCAAATCTCCTGATTTGTCCCCACTTGCCTTACTTCGCTTCACCTTGGAGATCAAATCAGAGGCGCTTCTACAGTGTTCCCAATGCATTCCAACTGCTAGTGGCCATTGAATCTGTGAGACCAGATTAGAGCTATTCTGAAGTAAAAATAAATAAATAAAACCTTTGAAATGCATGTAGTATAGATATTAGGATTTCAGCATAAACTGTTCTGCTCTATGAATTTGTTCCTGTGTATCTGCACTACCTCCTAATATAACCACTCTCCTTTGTTTCACAGAGCATGGAAAGCAAAAGTGTTTCTAATTATGTGCAGCCCTCTGATCCACCTGGAATTTAAAATTGTATTTGTACGTAGTAAGATAGATGTATGTGCCATTTTGCTCTCTCAGATTCATTTTATTGTATGATCGGACCAAGTGACAGACCTAAGTCTCACCATCTTTCATGTAATTGCTAGAATTATTTTGTTGCATTCAATCAGCTCTCCAAGGGAGCTGGATTTTGTGACATCCCTCCGATTTTGAAGCTGTAGTTAGCTGTTCACCTGAAACCTACAGGGTCACATGTCAAATCTGTTAGTAGAAAGATGCTTATTTCCGTGTTCCCTGTTTACAAACGACATGTGAGGCTCACTAGAAAATGTGGGCATACTTTCAGGTGTTTTACAAATATATTTGATAACTTGTGGAAGCTGCCTAATGGGGCAGTCTGCAACTCTAAATGCAGGCTGTACTCACTCATGAGTTAGTGAGAGATCGTTTTGGATAGTTAATAAAACTTCAACTCTGATGTTACTCCAATTCAAGTCTCACACTAGAATTTCTTCTGTAGGGATATTAAACCCTGTTTTATGTAGCTTTTCTTTTGTGATGAAGTAATAGAGAGCTTCAGGACTAACAGCACTACCTTTTTCTCCTTAGGAGCCAACTGAAATTGAAGCTGGGAGCTTCAAAAGCTCTGTGAGCTAGAGAAGTGTAGTATTAGTGGAAAGCTACAAGGTCTTCTCAAATCTTCTCAAAAGGCCTACTGGGCAGGCCCCTTAAATTGTTGACACGATGGGATCAGATGAAAGAATAAATAATCCTTGCTTCTTAGGAATGCAACAAATTTTGTAAAACTATACCTAGAACTGTTGGAAGATTCCTTGAATGCTAGAATCACTTTTATTCTGAATTTCCTTAATAACAATAATCAATAATACAGCTGAAGTGCTACTTGATTCTTCTTGATGCTGTGTAAGGCAGTATCTAATATTAGGATTGAACTACCTCATCTGACTGACTGATTGATTGAGGAAGCTTGTTTGTTGTTTGGATACATCAAATTTAATCATACATTTTGCTATTTTTTGACACCAGTTTTCATGAAGATGCAATTTACTAGAAAAAAAAAAAAAAAAAAACGTTTGTTTTCTATTTCAGACTGACTTTGTGTTGAATGTTGTGGTAGTGTCCTTTTTGTTTATAGCAAACTCCAAGGCAAATTGACTATAAACTGTGTTCTCAAGAACTTTAAGTCCTTTTGGATCTAGAGTGTGTTTAAAAATGCATTTTGTTACTCAGATTCAATTGACAACTAGAATCCAGAACAAGTAAAATATTGCTTACAGTGTCTTTTCTCAATTGGCTAGGCATTAGATGATGAATTTACAACAACAGGAAAACAAAATCAATGGCACAATAGACCTATTTCTGAATGGACCACCCAACAAGTATGCCACTGGCTAATGGGAATGAACATGGAGCAGTATATTACGGAGTTCACAGCTATGAACATAGATGGCCAGCAGTTAATGCAACTCGACAGTGAGAAGTTAAAGGTATGTGAATATCCCAGGATAGACTTGTATCTGTATAATTTTCACTGCATATTCCAATTTATTTTTTTTAAATCACAGAGTCTGTTTTCATGATTTTTAAGGGTGTTTTGCTTTTGAAATACTTTGAGACTGTACAGTTAGATGAGAATTTAATAATTAATTGCATAATTAAAGATAAGCTGGTTTTCATTAGAAAAATATTAGCTGTATCTTCCTTGTTTGCATCTTAAGGAAATCAAAGTCAGCATAATTCCCCAACAGGGCTTGATACATATGTAATCAATCTCAGCATAAAATCATATCAAAACAAGATCCAGCCAAGTCAAATGCATAGAACTGCAGGATCTAATTTTAGAAATCTATGTTTCTTTCATATCTCTTCTTCACAGGGAAAGTAAAATCTGTATCTGATTACCTTTTAAATGTTTTTAATTTTCACTTCTTCTGGGGAAAAAAAAATCTAAATCTTTCCTTTGAGCTTTTTCTAGTCATTTTGCCTCTGGAATCTGCATGGTATGTGTCCCTTACAATGCTAGAAAATACTTCAAGTTCTCCTTTCTCAGTAGATTATCAGACTGCATTTTGGACAGGCAACCTGCTTAAATAAAATTAAGTTCACTGGCCTATTTTGGCATAAGACAAACTATTGTTAATGATCAAGCATAGGTTTTGAGTGTGTTACGGAGAAAAAAATGTTGACTTTCAGTCACTAAAATGGCACCGGTATTTTTAGAATAGACTTACACCACTAGTTGTCCTGTATTTTGTAAACAAATGTCCCTGGATACAGAGGAAACACCTGTTATTGGTCTGTCAAATGAATATCTAATTAGGGAATTTGGGATGTTGATACTTAAAACTTTATAATTTATGTCATTAGGAGTTCTGAAGTGTGGAAGTGCTGCCTGTAACTTGGAATCAGATACTGCCATCTGCTGATCAAAAATCAAAGTGCATTGGCTACTTAATAGGCTTCTTAATAATACACCTTAAAATCCTTAATACTTTTAAGTAAATTTAGGTTCAGTTGCCCTAAAATGCAGACAGATGATAGAAGATATATACAAAAAGAACAGGGACCCTTGCATGGAGGAAGAGCTAAAGTAAAGTAATGCCATAGTAAGGAGCGCAGTATTAGTATACCAAGTGTTTATAGAAATAATTCACTTTTTTTTTTGAAGATTAATTGGTGATAGTAATTACAATTCTAATAGTACATCATCAAAACAAGAAATGTCATGGAAAGTTGGACATTTATAGCATTTACTTCCTATTTTTACTTCCTATTACCATGGGGCTTCACTGATCACACGTCTTTATTAACATAAAGTAATGAGTTACATAGCAAAAGAGATTATCAACTACTGTTGTGGCTCTGCTTTAAAAAGAAAAAAAAAAAAAGTCTTCTGCTTAAAGAGGAGAGAAAGATTCTAGTTTTTAAAGGGTGGAGGGGGATGGAAGACCACTCAGTTTTTCTTTTAGGTGAATACTTAGTTTGTAGTATTAATGTCCTCAAGAGTCATTAGTGGAGATGTGCTTATTTACCAAGATGCTTTATTTTTTTTATTATTATTTATTTCACTTTCCCTTAATCTATATTTATGCTGTGCAACTTCAAAAGAAACATGAACTTCCTAGAATCAGCTTTCATGGATTGGATTTTTCTCAAGCAGTAAAAACAAAACAAACAACAGACAAATGAACAATCAAACAAAAAGCACAGCTGGCTGATTTGAGTTCAGCAGCATACCTAGTCAAAAAAAAAAAGGGGGGGGGGGTGGCTTCACAGAGGTTAAAGAATAGTTGCTGAGTTTTCCTTTCCTTACTCTATTTGTTGGAAATTCTCAGGTCTCTGTGTTTGTGAAATGCAGTGAGAAACTGATATTTCACAACCAAACAAAAGAGTAGGTCTTCTTGTCCTTACTCATCTTGTTACCAAAATGATCATTCACAGTGACCCTGAAGACTTAAGCTCTTGTTTTCCAAACACACTATCTTTTGTAGCAAAGTGAGTAACACTTTCTTAAACTGTTCGCAACTGTTGAAAAATTAATAACAAAGTAATTTTTTTTAACCCCAAAAGGCCCTGGGAGTTTCCAGTCAAAACGACCGATCAACAATAAAGAAAAAAATTAAGGATATTAAAAAAGCACAAGAAAAACTGGAAAAACAAAAGGAAAAATTTCAAAAGAAGGAGAGGGAAGTTCGCAAGACTGGCAGAGTGGTAACCACTCTTGAATCAAGCTGCTAAGGTGACCCTGCTTTGTTTTAGCTCAAATTGCTTCACCTTGAAGTTCTGCAGATTTGTATATAATTGTACAATTGAGGGAGGAGGGAAAGTGCAACAGTTTAACATGGTAGGTTTTTGGTTTTTTTTTACTTTTTAGTAATAGTCCCTCCCTGTTACAACCCAATAAAACAAAATGTTTTCAGTATTTTTAATTCCTAGTTGACTCTACTTGTACTAATACTAATTTAACTTCCTGCCTTAATATTTGTGCTTCTAAGACCTCATGTGCCCTTTTCATTGAAATTTCTACATGTTTGTGAAAAGTAGAATACTGTGTTAAAAATCATTCCAATATTAGTCAACTAGAATTTTGTATAGTTGAATCTGATAGAGGGACAATAGAAAAATCCTGCCAACAAATTCAGTCTGTGACAGTCTATTTATCTGTTGCCACTAAAGATGTATAGTAAAAATTGTTTAAGAAAACAGTAATGTCAAATTAATTTAAAAAGAAAGCATGTATTTCAAATTTATGAAGTATTTTCTTTAAATTCCTGTATTTTTGGCATGATCTGTTTCATGCTAAGTCCACTGTAGTACCACTTTGTTTTTGAATTCCATGTGTTGCAATTTAGTGAGAAAATAACAAGAAATATTAAGTAGTTTTCACAAACTACGTATACTAATCATAGTATTCAGTTTTCCACACACTACCCTTATGGTGTTGGGACAAGGTTTAAACCTATAAATAAGATCTTTTTTAACCTATTTTTTCCTAAATAATACATAGTTTTATAGATTTATGCTATGAGTAAGATCAATTTGCAATACATGTATTTCTCTTTTCTACTTGCTACAAGATTTTTGCGGACCAAATTTATATATTTGCTAATTTTAAAATACGCTGTTTTTCAAACTTAAAATACTGAGGGAAGAATTGTAGGAAAAACTACCACCGAAGCACTGGGTTTCTGCATTGTATTTAAATATGTTCAGTTGTAGACTACAAATTATTTCTCTTTAAAGGAGAATTTGATATGCCATATAGGTTAGAACATGAATTGGTGTTTTGTATATTTACATACTGTTTGATAGATATTAAAACGGCACTTCTTTATTTAGATTATTCCAGAAACAAACTAAGTATCAGTTCAACCATAAAATGGACTAGAACAAAACTTACATCATTTCTGTATGTGGACCAAGTTCTCCTTTAAATCTATGGACTGTTTTCATTTTAATTAAATGAATGGACTTCACTGTTGGTGTCTCAGAAGTTTTTTTTTTGGTATAACTGTCTTAAGAATTTCAGCAAAAGGATGGTGTGAAAAAGCTTCTTCACACCATGCGTTTCCAAAATAAAGTTAAAAATCTTGGTAATAGTTACTTTTAAGAGGTTTTATTTTCAGTTTTGTTTCTTAAGAAACAACTATTTTCTCATGATTTAACTTACTTACTTTGTTTCCAGGAGCTTTGAGTTTGTGCTCCAAAGGTACAGACCTGGAGCTAGGGAGGAATGCTGCCATATTGATAAAAGAGAAGGGAACTAGAAGTATGGAACAGTCAGGTACTTAGAATTATGCACCTAAAACTGCACTTTTCTTGATTCAGTCAAGGATGTTTACTTCTCAGTTAAGTGCTTAAGGAATAGGGAATACAACCATGTATTATTACCTTTTTCCTTTAAGCCTCCTAAGCGCAGTGTTGTACCCTGTGAAGAGCTTGTTTCTCCGGAAGGAGACAAGTGAAAATAATGGTTTCAAAGGCTTGCTTATATGCAGGGCTGGTGCACTAAGTTGGGGACATAGCAGTTATGGTATGCTCATATGCCAGGTGAGTTTAAGAATGTTGATTATCACAGACCACAGCACTTAACATCTGTATCAAGCCACAAAATCACCCAACTGAAAGTGTAATTTTTAAAATACTTTTAATGAATAAATGTAGTGATTCTTTCAAAAAATTAAGTTAACACAAACCAAGATTAATTTCACAGTGCAAGACTGAGTTCATTTTCATACAAAACTATTAAACTCAGCGTTTTGATAGCTGAGCTATTATACTACTTTACTATAGTGATTCACTTCAACTTTGTGTGCTAGCAATGACAGCAGTACAGTAATGAGAATGTTTAAAAAATCATCATTGGTACTTCTATTTCCATCAAAAGTAAGAGACCAAACTTATGAATAGGGTTAAACATTGTAAACAAATATATCAATACGTGTGTTTTTACCACAATCACTTGGGATGGAAGGTAAGGAAGGGGAGACAAGTATAATTACATGGCAAATTTTTCTAATAATCAGAGTTTAATTGGTAACTAGCAGGGAGCAAAAAAGGGCTTTTATTTCAATACCACCATATTACGTATTGTAATAACTTCCTAGGAAAAAAATGATTTAGCTTTTCTTCAAAAAAAATTATTGTAGTTCTTAGGTATTACTAAAATTGTTCAATTAAGTTAAATATTTAAAACTTAGAGCTAGAATGTTCAGCTTCAGCATTGAATTTTTAAAAGCCCTTGCTGTAACTTTAAGCTTCAGTTTAGCAAATGTAACAGCTGCAGACATTCTCTCTAACTTTTGCACAGGCCCCATTTTACAATATGTGGAATTTCTCACGGTCATCCTCTTACAGGGTTGAAAAGAACAGCTATAGCTTCTCGTCACTTGTAGCCATGCGTGCATGAAAGGTATGTCAAACAGTCACCACCTCACAGCCGTGTATGGAAGAAAAATAGGGACGTTAAGTGCCCACAAGCTTGAGCAGAGCAGTTAATCACAACCAGAACAGTACAGTTAAGCTAGAATAATCCTCCCTCAGTGTCAGTTTAACTGCATACATAGCCATTCTGTAATCCACTCCTGTAAAACTGACCCATGTTAGCTTGAACAGAGTATAAAAACATCTGCTTTGCAGAACTAGGTTAGGGAGGAACAGGTGATAATTTTTAATCTGGCTCAGACACAACTAGAATTGTGTGACCACAAGTTCTAATGTACCAGCTATGCCCTTCGCTTGTGGTATCTCACCTTCTGCTCTGCGCAAAGCAAATAAACCAGCAAAAGTTAGACTCACTCATTCTGAGAGGGATTACGCATGTGTGCTGCATGACTTAATCGCAGCAGTATAGGCAATGAATTATTCAAGGAAAAAACTTCATTTTAAAGGTCTTTAACTGTATCACGCCTAATATATTGAGGAATGGTATAAATGAAAAGTACAACACAGATGTGTCTAACTTGAACAAATCTGGCACAGTAGGCATTAAGAGAAGTTGAATCCTTTATTAAAAAAGGACTTAGTACCTGAAATGTAATGCTTGTCCCCTTCTGTCTTCCACGGTTGTTTTGACAGTTTGCCATTGACTGATGACACATTCTGCTTACCTTATTTACGTTATAGTATGACCTCAAGTTACTAGATAAATGAAGCCAGAAGCACACCACAGATACAAAGGTATTTTCAAAAACTGTTAATTCCACACTTAAAATACTTTTGAGAAGGTAGTTTATATTGTCAAAGTGAGAGATGCCCTAGTAAAGGTAAGTTTTAAAAATGTTTGTTTATTAAAAATATTTTTCATTTACAACTGTAACCTGACATACCCCAGAGTCTGAGATCTCACTAGGGCTAGAACACTGATGCAGTTTTGGTATTACCTACGGAAATACAAGCAAATGTAAGACAGTATACCTTTACTGTACATAAGCCAACACTGCTTGCTAATTCACAATGCTCATGGAAAGGTAAGTTTATCACATATTAAATATTCACATTACCACTAAAGAAATATGACTGATACCACATACCTGAGATACATTATACCAGTGGCAGCAGCTAGAACTGATTTTTTTTTTCATTATTCCTAAAGACCTAAGTGTGATCTCTACAGCTGTAAAACAAAAAATTTGATGTATAGTGTGTAGGCAACATTCCTAGCTTTGCAACATTAGGCTTCAGCATGCTTATAAGATCAAAAAACAGAAAGTTCCATACAGGCTCAAAGGTATAGCAATGAACTCCTTAATGTTTCTTACATCAGTGTTTCATTAATCTGTAACACTGTGTAAAGGAAAAATTCTCTGGCAAGCTTTTTCAATAGTTCTTGTATTAAAACATTTTTTTAATTATATGAATTAATACATTTCTCAGTAGATATGAAATAGGTTGCACTGATCCCTATAAAACCTGAAATTACTGCTCCCTTGATTTAACTACAGAAAGTAGTCATAATCAGAAGATGGAACAAATTAAATGTGACCTTCTTACTTAGAAAGTAACAACAGCTCATTTCTTTTCCTTAACTTCCAAAAAAGAGTAATTGAATTAAACTTCGTTATTCCACTTAAAATTATTTTCACATATGAAATGTGGCCCAGCATCTTGGCATAGATCAGGGTCTTTTAAATTCCCTTTATGTGATATACCTACGTCTTATCAACTGTTGGACCAACAGCTATATACTGCGAAAAGTGGTCATGTCCTTTGGCTCGCTGCTTGGCACGCACCAGTCATCTGCTTCGTGGTTTGCTTTGTAATGTTTCCAGGCTGCTTTGTTATATACAGGGAGTCTTTCAATTGATTCTGTTGATAAGGCCTGTAAGTAGAGAAGACTGTAGCTGACTTTTTTTTAATTACAGTAACAGAACAAGGTAATCCAATAGTAGTTAGATTAGTGTGGATGATAAATTTACAAGGGTAATATATTACATCATACCTTTATGTAAATAACTGCATCTGTACCGTAACCTTCTAAGGAATACAGTTTCAGGTCTCCTTGGAAGTATTGTGCATACAGACGTGATATGGGCAAGCCATAACCAAATCCAGCCTGATCCAGGAAAAAAAGTGCATTTTTATTAACTGAATCAATCAGTAGTTGTTACTGGTGATTTATAAACTAAAAGGTAAAAGACAATCTAAGCATGATATTTGACAGTAAGAAGAGTTCAAATGCTAATTATTATGCCCCCTTACAAGCACCCCAGAAACAGAAAAAGCATGGATACTGGTGAGTAGAAAAAACTTGTTCTAATCCTTTGTCAGACAGGACTGCTAGATAACAGTTCTTATATTTTGGTAACTTTTTCAAGAAGAGTAAATTGTACTGAGTGCCTTATAGTGCTGCTGTTTAATGTTCTTAAGTCAGGTATATTTCATCATCAGTAAGTATGAAAAGGTTCAAGAAGCTTATGAATTTGAAGTTTATGAATTTGTAACTTACACTACAATTTCCCCAAACCCTGCCTACAGCAGCAGGATGTAGCCCTGAAATTTTAAGTATCTTTTTTTTTTTTTTGTAGATCTACTATATTTCAGATATCTTCTGAAGAACATGCTTTCTGCTTCTATGTAAAGATCTGGTATTTAATGAGTTACTGTCATCTATGTGCAGAAAACTTTAAAAAAATACACAAAAATGTTTTGAATGATGCAATGTAAGAGAACAAATTCAGAAAAGCTCTTCAGAACTCCTTACAGTCTGAGTCTCTCAGTATTTCTTGTGCATCTATTAAGTTCACATGAGAGCAAAATAGATTCTTTATATGCCTTGTCACATTTCTGTACCACCGTCCTTCCTGGAGAATGGTACAACTGACTGCACAGTACAGCCGAAACTATGGACTTGATCCAAAACCAGTGCTATTTTTTTTCCCTTTCTTTCAGTGGCCACAAAAATCCTGTGGGTACTGCAGTACATGCAGCACAGCTAAGTGTTCTTCTTGAGATAGCTAATCTTTATATTTGATAGACAAAAACAGAATATTGAAATTTAAATTGTATAACCCTAAGATAATGACAACTATTTTCCAGGTAATTTCAGGAAAATAGTTGAATTAAGCACTAACATCCAAATGGTCATAGTCATTTTATCCATAAAATCAGGCTTCATGGCTTTGACTAAACAGTTTATTTTGTGACTACTAATCACATTCAAGATGACAAGGTATAAAAGATTTACATACCAAAGGTGTAGCTCGGGATGTCTCAACACGTGGACGTGGTGCTGTTGAATACATATAGTTGAACAGTCTGTCAATTTTCCTCATAGGAACACCTCCACCACGATCGCTCATCTGGAACAAGAAGGAACACATAGCATTATGTTCCTGAATACAATTTTAGAAAAGACAGCCTCTCTCAAACAATGATCCAGAGAAAGTTCAGGTAAAACTTCATATAAAGTTGTCCCTAGTAATTGACAGGCTTTCTTAAATTCTCATCTCAGCTATAGCAACAAGCAGGTGCATTCTTCCCTCTCATCCTTTTTACAAACCATTTACATAAAATACTATCGTAAGAAGCATTCATAATCTCTCGAAAGCAAGAAAATTTTGCTTAAGTCTTTCATTGCTTTTGTCTCGTTTGTAATTAAGTTTTGCCTGAAGTCCATATTTATACCTACTGATTTCAACAAGTACCAACTTCTGCGTATTTTCATCTTTATTACTCGAGACTATTGCCAGTTAAAAGACAATACACTAAAACCCATTACTGATGGTGCAAGTGCCAAGAGTTGTTTTACTAGGTGTTAGTTAGACCTATGAAAAAGCCAGTGCTTGCAGCTGGTCTCTGAAATCCAACATAGATGCTGTATGTAAGAAAAATAAATTACTCTGCAAACTATTTCAGGCAGGTTTGATCTGCATGGAATCTACAAGGCTCATTTCCCTTTTTTGAGTTGTTTCATACCTCCTATGCAGCTCTATCATTTTGATTTAAAAATGGTGACATGACAATTGTATGAAGCTGCTGCTTCATTTTTAGTCATGGCTGTGCATAAACCAGGCCTGATGTAGGCATGACAAAACCACAGAATTTTATTACAGAACCTTCCATGTGAATATGCAACCTCTTCATGAATTTCCTGCTGATGTAGTATGTGAAATTGCAAAACTGTCCTGTTAACTTATATACTACATCATCAGATACAATCTACTGCTGGAATTAGATCATCAGATAAAGTTAGTAATATGATGACTATGACAGGGGAAAAAAATAATAATAATCAAACAAGTGGGTACCTTAACAGTTAAATCCTCATTTCCCAACGTGACATGTACATGAATTGGAGGATAAATGCATCGATCGGCATTATGTTCCATGGTGGCTCTCATTGCATTCTGCAATTTTCAAGTACAAGAACTCAAATCTTATTCTTACTGCTTTGTATATTATCTTCAAACATCAGTTTAGGAACATAAGTTATTTTTATCATATATATTTTAGAATCAAGACAAAAATATATGGTTTTATAATAGGTTTTTTGAATGTTTCTGATGTATTCAGTATCAACACATGTATAATTTATTTGAATTACACAGACTAATTTAAGAATTTAGAATATTTAAGTATGTTAATGTACAATTTTATTTGTATAAACCTGTATAATGCATTCTACATGCAATATGGCACAAAGATCCAAGAAGAGTCTAGGACTGAAGTAAGTGCTTGAGGAAAAGTATATAGAATTAACATGTTTCACTTTACACCAAAGGTGTCCCAAAAAATTAGGCATATTATTCTCACTTGCTTTATTAACTAATGCCTTTATACATTATCAGCGTTTTTTGACAAAGTTGTCTACTGTGGAAGGTGTCTGAGGTTTTCAGTGGCTAGGCATAGAGACACATCTTCCAAAGCTGTACAATCTAAGTATCTTCCTGTAGTTAAATTGCCAGAAGCTTGCATTAGCAAAAACACACCACTATCTAGAATTGGTTCAAAAAGTCAAATACAACCTTACTAAACAAACATGTATAAAAGAATTGTGTAATGGTAATTGCACAGACCTTGAAAAGTTCGAAAAACATGTGATAGAGATGTGATGGTACATACACCACTTGCATGGGCTGTCCTGGTGATTTAGCTGGAGAAAAGAAAGACTAGATAATTAAACGGGTAATTTACTATATTTATTATTTACTTGATTTATTAAATTAACTAGGTATCTTGTATCAATTCATGTACTAATTCAACACATACTTTTGTATAGGTAAGAGAATTTAGAAAATAATGAACAGAATTTTTTTCAGAAGTTGTATGTTAACCAAAATTCATACTCAAAGATTTTCAGAAGTGCTTGCTGCTTTAGAAAATAATTTTAAAATCCACTGTAGCATCACTGATTAGAGCATATAATAGTAGTCTTCTAATGCTTACAAGGTTATTATGAAGATGGAGTCAGGCTCTTCAGGTGGTGGGAGGATAAGAAACAATGAATGTAAGATGGAGTAAGTTCAGACTGCATATAGAGGAAGACATTTTCACCATGACATTTGACAATTGAAGCAGGTTGCCCAGAGATGTTAAGTAGTCACCATCCTTGTAGGATTTGTAAGACCAGACTGGACAAAACCATGAGCAACCTGGCCTGATCTCATAGCTGTCCCTGTTTTGAGCAGGAGATGAGGCTAGAAACTTCCTGAGGTCTCTCCCAACCTGATAGAATCTTACGATGCTATAATGTACCAAATACTATCTGCAGCACAGCCTATTTTTTGAGTAATTTAGAAATGAGCTAATATTACAAGAAAACATAACAAAATACAATTGTATCTATAAACTGGTGTAGTTTTCAAGCTTTTGAGTATTAACTCTGGAAAAACTACCATGGGAACATAGTCATTAATGAAAAATTAAGGAAAGGTTGCTCCAAAAATCTGCTGGCCCTGTATGTTCTTTCAGCTCAACAAATTAATAGCTTTCTCCCCAAACTGTGTAAGTGACAACTGCTTTATGAGCTATAAATGTTAAAGTCTAGTGATGGTCAAAGGATTTGGAATAAATCATGCACCCAGTAAAAATAAAAAGGGAAAAAATGCACTTTGAAATGATAGGTTCCTGCCTTCAAGTTAACTGCTCTCATCTATGCCTCCACCCTCAAACCCCATGCCTACATTTTAAATAATGGCTCTCAGCTGTGGGTAACGAATGTGCATTTGGCCTGGATCAGATTTAACTCACCTTCACAATTCATTAAGCAAAAAGCCACTCCGTTTAATAAATGTAAACTATTTGTTCTGACTTCTGGAACACATACACCATTAAAATGCCCCTGCAGTAAAGAGCAGTAGCTAGCGTGACTGATAGTTTTGTACAAATACTTTTAGTAATCATGATCAAAAGATGGAGAAAGGAAAATCCTTTAACCTATATAAAGAATAACAGATTTTGTACAGTAGGAAGAAAAGATCTGAAATGTGTAGTCTGTGCACTTTCTTTGCCTTTAACTTCACAGGCCAAGCTAGTCTGGGTGCACTCTTGCTTTTGCAATTATTTGTAGAAGCAATTTTGATTGCTTGTTTTTGTAGGTCTGCCTGAACTTGGTGTTTACTAACTTGAAAAGCACGCCAGTGAGTAGTGTTAGGGAGGCTCTTTAGCATTCAACAAGACTATGGGGACAGTAGCTGACCTCTGAGTTCACAGCAGCACAATTGTAAATGTCTTTTTCAGTCACAGAAAACGGGTTCAAATGACTTTTTACAGGGACTTTATCTAACTGCAACTATAAGTGTGCAATAGCTGAATAAGAAAGAGAAATTAGAATGCAAAGTTTTAAGACCTGAAGTGTCACAACACAAAGAGGATGAGTTGTAATAGATACAGTGCAGGGTGAAGACATACAAGAAACCTTAGGGAGGGAATGACATCGCTAAAATCTGTTATATCACCAGCTGTAATTTCAAAAACTTTTCTGCAGGTTTCAGTTCACCAATTAAAAAAAAAAAAAAAAAAAAAAAGAATGAATAAGGGAAGCCTTCTGCCAGATTAAAAAAAAAAAGTATATATAGTAGAGGATATAATATCCAAATCTTTATTATCTCTCTATAAAATCTATACAATAGAGGATACATTGACTATAGGAAAAGTGGAAGAACATTATACCAGCTACTTCAGAAGAATCTATCACTACATTCAGGGGAGTACCTCATCCCATATGCACTTACCATTCAATTCTTCAAGGACGAGTTCTGGAGAGCTCATATAATATAAATCACAAAGTCTCTTGGCACTTTCATAGCCATCTATAATAAATTTAAAAAACAGTTACCTTTCCCCCTCCACTTTTTCTTCCCTTTACAGATTACCAAAAAGAAAAACAAAAATTGAAAACACTGTGTGCTGTCAGTAAGATTTCATCATCTTCTCACAAGAACTTTTTTTTTGTTGGGGAGCGGGAGGGACAGGAGGGACACTGACAAAAACATATTACACTTTTACATTTTCAATTAAGCTTCTGCTCCGAGAAGGAAAGATCTATACACTATATAAACATCAAGACGTATTGGCTCTCAGCATAGACTTTCATGTAAGTTTTCTGAATTCTTTTTCTTCTCTGGATTTACCTCTGATAACTTCAACAACATTGCAGCTAGGATCGATGCTTCCGATATGCTTTGGATGAGCCGGATTAATTTTCCCACCAAACAGTAAAGCTGCCAACAAAGACAATATTATTTAATATCTCATATAATTTTTATAGTTATAGTTTATATCTTCAGTTTTGCTGAATAGAAGTTTATAGACAATCTATAATTCCAATCTTTACCATAGTTAAAAGGCTATTACTAATAAATATTTTTAAAAAGCATTTAAGTATTGAGCACTTAAAAGTAAAGGAAAAATACTACTGACAGAGTACAGGTATCATTTCCCCTCCCTTCAGCAAAAGCACTTACAGTGTTGATTAAGGAGCATTCTAATTGAAATGCGACTCATGTAGAAACGGTCTAAAAAATACTGCACATTCTGTGAGGTCACTGGATCAATGCCAAAGCTTTCCTTGTACTCTATTACTCCTTGAGCCATAGTAGGAATTACATCATTGTGTCGATTCCGGATTTTTATCACAGTATCTGTAAAACTAAAATTAATACTTGTTAGTTTTTACTTTCAGCTGGGTTTAATACTCTGGCAAATTGAGTATCTGTCCATGAAAATGAAGACCACCGTGTACAGAAATATTACAGGTCTGCCTACTGCACTAGGTGCCACCATTGGTGATTATTTGGACATTTATTGTTAACTTTTTTTTTTATTAATGCCAAAAAAGAAGAAAATTTTGTCACCTGTTTTCATGCAAATCATCTCATGCCTGTTAAAACAGTAACCGTAGTCAGCTGGTAATGAACAAACATACTGTACATGTGAAAAGTTCCATACATCAGTTCCAACATTACAAGTAAGGAACTGGTAAAAATTTGGTTAAGTTTAATATATTCTTATCTTATTCCTTCCTTCCAGTGACAGGGGATAATGTTACTATGATTCTGACAGAAAGACTGAAGACAGCTGAAATTTTTCTTAAGCCATTACTTTTCATGCCAATCCTTCTAGATAAGATTTGGATTGATATATGTGACAAATCCTTACCTATGAATAGCCCCTGAATCTTCCGAACTTTTATCCTTAAAGTCAAGGATCTCCTGAAGACTTTGGACATACCTTTAAACGAAAGAAACATGAAAAAGACCAATACTAATATGACTCCCCAGCACCCTTTAGTTAGTGATTTATGATCTTCCAAGTCTGGTTGCATCCAAATCATTGTATTTGATATATCCTATAGACCTGTATCCTATAACCTATAGACCCTGTGAATTTTGTTAGATCCTTCTTAATCCATTCATGATGTTTTCTTCCAAAATCTCCAGAGCAATTAATTCCACAATTTAATTAGAAAGCATAAAAGATCTTTTTTCTGTTTTAAACCCAGAGAGTGATCATTTATTAGCAGCCCTAGTTAGTTCCTGTTATTTAGAAATTTTTACCAGCTTGTTCATGATTTACATATTTCTGCCATTTCTTTCCTTAGATGTATTTTCCAAGCTGAAGAATTCTGTTTGGTTTTCTTCTCACGTAGAAACTGTTCCAACCCTCTGATTATCCCTCTTGGTCTTTTCTGTTCAGGATGGAATGACTAGAAGTGCATGCTATTCAGAGTAATAATGGACTAACACAGTGGTACACTAATATTCTCCTCCACCTCATTTGTTACTTAGTTCCTAACACTATTCACCTTTTTGCCCACCAACTAACAGTCAGAAAAATATCCACAGTAGCATCAAAATTCCTTTTTTGATTGTAAGTGAGCAAGCATACAGGGGGAGGAGGTTCCTCTCTGTGCTTTACTTTGCATTTGTCCAAGTGGAATTCATTTCCCATTTGATCAATGTCATTTAGTATCAAAAATGTGAGCTTTCATGTTTCATTGAAATCCTTCATCTACACTGATAGCTTTTTTTATATTCACTCATCAAATCAACCCCACTTATTCACTGTCAGACTTTGTTCTCTTAACTTTAAAAGCCTTTCCAGATAGCCATGTGCCTTTAGCAGTTGCCAAGCTATCTCTTTGTTTGGCTTTCATCTTGCAAAAAATTATGCTTCAATTCCTTACTTGAAAGCAAATTTTACTTTTCGAAGGATGTCTTCTTAATTTTAATAGCCTTGTATTGCTTCTGCTATTTTAAATATTCTGCCTTTGGGAGCTTTCTTTTGCTTTTGTTATTTTCTATACCTTTACTCTCAATATGCAATAACTTGTCTTTTAAATAGTTTCTATACTTTTTTGAAAACATGTACATTTAGCTGCTTCTGTTGATTTCTTAACTAGCTTCTTCATTTAAGTTAAGTGCCGTGTTAAACATTGCTCTTGTGGATTTTTGTTGTTACTGAATTCTCATATTGACTATCTGGAATAGTTTAATTTAATAAATGGTTTTTAATTTCATTGTGGGTTATCTAATTGCCCCTAAAGTGTTGTTTTTTTTCCCAAGTCTGAAAATTTAGTTTCCGTCACATTGGGATATTTACTCATTCTAAAAAGGTGATGTTCATGTGTAATGAGCATATGAAATATTCTTTCTGTAAAATTGAATGTGTTATTCCTATAACTTAGGTATATGCAGAAAGTCACCCTTGAAAGTATTAAACAACAGTGTTCTTACCAGATCTGCACCAGCTGAACTGAAGGTGTTCTCAGAAGGTTGTCTGGAAGCAGGCTTATTTCCTTCATTATGTTTGCCAGTCTTACAGGCAACTCTTGTCTCAGAAACATAAATGAAGTCTTTTCACAAGCATTTTCAGATCCTAAGACCAAATAAATATATGGCAACATTAGAATAAAGTCAGAACTATGCAAATTCATACTTTCTTGCCTAAGAGGCCTCTGGTTAGGTTTTAAAGTTGACTCAGTTTGGTAAGCCAATGTTTCTTTCATGGCAGCAGCCCGCTTTATATTTCAAACTGAACAGTAAACTTCAAACTGTAAATGGCTTTGTTGCAATAAGGAGAATCCTCAGTATATAAAAAGTTAAGTAGTGCAATAACTGCAGACCTATGCTAGCCAACTTTAAATATGGCTTCTATACATGCAAATTTGTCGTGGTTTAACCCGGCCGGCAGCTAAACACCACGCAGCCCTTCGCTCACCCTCCCCCCGCCCTCTCTGGGACGGGGGAGAGAAGATGGAAAGTGAAGCCTGTGAGTTGAGATAAGGACAGTTTAATAAGACAGGATAATAATAATAATAATAATAATAATAATAATAATAATAATAATAATAATAATAATAATGCAATGATGATAATAGTACTACTATTAATAATGTGTATAAACAAGTGATGCACAATGCAATTGCTCACCACCCGCTGACTGATGCCCAGCCTAACCCTGAGCAGTCTGGCCCCCTCCCCCGGCTAGCCACCCCTATATATTGTTTAGCATGACGTCAGATGGTATGGAATACCCCTTTGGCTAGTTTGGGTCACCTGTCCTGGGTCTGTCCCCTCCCAGCTCTTACTGCACCCCCAGCCTGCCCGTTGGCAGGACAGAGCAAGAAGCTGAGGCGTCCTTGGCTTAGTATAAGCACTGCTCTGCAGCAATTAAAACATCGGGGTGTTATCAGCACTCTTCTCATCCTAAGCCAAAACATAGCATTCTACCAGCTACTAGGAAGAAAATTAACTCTGTTCTAACTGAAACCAGAACAAAATTGTTAGTTTTATTTGTAGCGAACACTGACTCTAACTACCACTGATGAAACAATATGTCATTCTGAGCATGTTAAAGAGAAGCAAATGAAACCATTACAGGAAGCATATTTTTTGGAAGGATGCTTGAGAAAGTATCACAATCCCATACACCCCACTTGATCACTGATCTTACAAAACTACCATAACTCCTATGGGAACATTTCACACTTCCAGAAAATAAGTTAGATTTCCTATTAAATTCTGTAAGATTTATTTGCCTTTCAGCTAGCTTTGTTGTAGTTTAAACTCAAGTCTTACAGGGAACAGCACACAGATGAATTAAAATGAATACTGAGAAAGAAATGGAAGTAGGATGGCTACTGTGCATAGTCATCATGATAGTATTCTCCCATATATTTACTTTTTAGAAGTTTTACACTTAAAAGGTAGAAGCTAAGTTAGTGCACCTGTTAATAACTGACCTGTGCTTTTTATAAACACAGGTGTCATCTTTTTGCATGTCAATTACAGGTAGTTATTAAGATCAAGGCCTAAATTTACTCCCACAATGCTTGTTTTACTAGGCTAAAGGAGGAGGCAGGAGACAAAAATAATAAGGAGTGCTGTACTTTATTCTCCGCCAGACTTACTTCAAGATTTCAACAGTGTCATGTAAATAGGATCTGAACTTACTAAGCTGTTCATCTACTGCTGTGAAATGCATACCTCAGTTCTGATGTTTCATAACAGGTAACTCCTAAAAATTAACTCTGGTGCTTCTGCTCAGTTCACACCTTCCATTTGACATGGGGAAGAGTTAGTAAAGAAGATGAAGGGAAAGGACATAAAAACAAGGAAGCCAGGAGTGTCTTAAAAAGCAAAAACATGCACTGAATTGAAAGGGTGTAGTCTAGTTTAATGCATCCGGGGACAGACACATCATAAACTACACTTAATAAGAAAGCAAATAGCTATAAGGAATTTCTCCCCAGTGACACCAGTATTATGCACTGTCTACATATGACCTCTGCCCAGAAACCTCTCACTCTTCTCCCTAGTCAGATTGCATTTCAGCCATGACTGTTACTGGCCTTTCCCTATTCTCAGGTTAAAATTCCAAGAAAAAGTCAAATTGAAGATATTAGAATGTAACGTTAATCTTCAAGTGTCCCATGCTCTCAGCAAATGATATTCCACGAAGAAGGTTTTTATCTGGAGGCCACATCTCTGCAATCCTGCGTCAAAAATGGAAGGCAGCTTAGGGTAAGTAAGATTTCAGTGAATGGGCAAACTACTTTGTTTCCCTGTGCAGTTATGATCCATCTATGCAAAGAATTGATAAGGCTCCTACAGAAAATACTAAGCACTTACAACCCAAGATACAGCTGATGACGTAAGACCTAAATTTGCCTACAGTATACTTTATTTGCCAGATTGAGAACTGGAGGAACGAACTAAAGGCAGATTTATGGTGGGGTTCCTTTAAAAATCTGGAATTGTAGTATGGAATATACTTTATTGTTGTGTATGAAACACTAAATGGATAGATGAAGTAACAGGATAGTTAAAAGAACCTTTTTAAATCTTCCTACTTACATACAAAGTCTGGTATTTTAGGATTAGTTCTCAGTTATGTTTTACTTACAAGAAGATAAAAAGCAACTGTTTACTAGTTGTATGTTTACATATATCTTACAACAGTGCCTTGCTTACAGAAACAGAACCAATTATAGTATGGCTGCACAATCAGGCTTCAAAAACACTTTTTGGAGTATCTTGCAAGACCTTTCTCCACACAGTCTTTGCTCTGAGGCAGAGTAGAGCAATTCCTGTGATCCCTTTGAGTCAAAAGTACTCATCATGCCTGGGAACATATGTAGCTTTATCAAGAGCACCTCAACCAATTTACTCATTTTCCAGGCTAGATTCCCAACCCTTTGCAGTGATTCTGGGTGTTTGCTTTCTGCTCTTTCTCTCACCCATTTTCTGAAATGAGCAGTGCTTGAGTGAAGTGTTTTTGTGGGGCACAAACACGTGACTGGAGAAGTCGCAATTGTTTCAGCTGCTTGGCTTCAGCTGGGATTCAACAACTCTTGCTCTTGGTGCATGCTGGAGAGCTTGCTAGCTTTCAAAAGGCTTAACAATTTTTACTTTTCGGGGTCACTTTATTAGTAGTCGTAATTCCCCCTTGTCCCCAAGACCGCAGTTTTGGCAGAACATCAAACTACTTCTGTGCTACCAAGAATCCGAGATTTCAGCTGAATTTCAACCTTGCCTCACTTCTTGGCTCTAGGTAAGGAGTCAGCTAGGCTCCCTTCTCCAGGAAGGAAGCCGAGGCTCCTCGTGCCAAACAGGGCAGCGTTTAGCGCTAACGGGGCGGCGGGGGCAGGCCGCCGAGCCCAGGGGCCCGAGGGGCTCGCTCCGCGCGCGCCCCCTCAGGGGGACAAAGGCGCGAGGGCAGCGCGGGGCCCGGCACCCCGCCGAGGGGCCGGGCCTGGGGGGAGCCCGGCGGGGACTCACCGAAGTCCAGGAACTGCTTCATGGAGAGCGGCGAGGGGGAGAAGCGCGAGTAGAAGTCCACCTGCTGCGGGATGCTGCCCGGGGCGGCGCAGCGCCGCAGGGCGCGCAGCAGCCTCATGGCGCCTGTCCCGGCCCCCTCAGCCCGGCCCGGCCACCATTTCCCGCCGCGCCCGCTCCCCCGGCCCCTCGCCCAGGCCGCGGCCTCCTCCGCCGCGCGGCCGGGAGGAGGTGCCGGCGGCGGTGGGTGCCTCCTCCCGGCCCGGCCCCACGCAGCAGCGGCGGGGCGGAGGAGAGGGCGGCTCCGACAGAAGGCGAGGGAGGGGAGCGCCGCGCAGCGCGGGTGGGCGCCTGGAGCAGCCCGGTGCCCGCGGGCTGGGCGCGGAGCCGAGTGGGGCTCCCCCCGCCGGCCGCTGTGCCGCGACGAGGCGGCGCTCGCATCCCGGAGGGGCCCGGCCTCGACCAGGTAGGTGCCCGCTGCCCGGGGGCGCGGAGGGGCTCCCGGCGGGGCAGGGGGGCTGCGACAGGAGAGCGGGGTCCGAGCGCGCAGCCCTGACGGCTCGGCCGGCGGTGCGGGGCCGGGGGCTCGTCCGCCCCGCGGGGGGCGCCGGGCGAAGGAGAACCAAAACCGTGAGGAGCGGAGTGGGGTCTGTCTGTCCGTCTGTCCGTCTGTCTGTCTGTGAGCGGGGTCGGTCAGTCTGCGTGTCGCGGTGCGCTGCCGACCGGTCGGTAAGGAAGGCGGAACGTGGGGCTCAGCAGTGAGTGCGGCCACGCGCAGCACCAGATCCCGGCACCGGGTCGCTCGTAGTAATGCAGCACGCGAGGCACCGGGACACGTTTAATAGGTTTTTACCCTACTCAGGTAGAAGTATCCGAACATTCATATCAAGGCGGCGAGCAGCGTTCCTGATAGACCAGCTGCGGTCTCGGCATGGGGCCCTGCAGCTCTGCGTGGCGCCCCGAGCAGGGCGGCAGCGGGCCGGGCCCGTGTCACACGCTCCTTTTGGCGTGGGCGCTGGCATCTGCCCCACCAGCTTACCCCACGAAATCCGCTCCTGCACATCCCCTGATCTCCTTGAAACACACCTCGTACCTGCGGCTTGTCCGTGACTGGCAGTGGGGATGGGAGTCCCATGGTCTGTGCTGACAGGAATCGTGTTACTCGTGTCACGTTAACCTGCTCAGCGTGTTGTTGGATTGCTTGGAGCTGTAGAAAGATCACTGAATTACTGGCTTTTTGTTGTTGTTTTGGTGTTGTGCTGTAAATACAGAAAACACACCGATTCAGTTTTCCTCCAGGGGCAGTTTTCTGAGCAGTAACTGCACCAGCAGTAAGCGAGAACAGCGCAGTGGCGCAGGGTCAGGCTGCTTCACCTGGCTGTAGGCAGCCCCTCCACCTTGTACCCAGAACAGAACGGCTTGCGCTGTCCTGGCTGGGGGTGGTGGCTGGCGGGGCGAGCCAGCAACTTCTGTCTCTGCAGGTTGTGTACCAGTACAGGTCACTAGGATTTATTGCTGTAGTGCTGCCTGTGGGCTGTCCTCAGAAGCACTGAGTAGTAGCTTGTGCTTCTCAAGCTTGTACTAATTTGGGGCACCTGCTTTACCTATCAATTGCTGTGTTTGGAACCACCTGATAATGGTTTCAGGTGTCAGCCAGCTGTAGTTTAACACAGTGCCTACAGGCAGCAAGCTGGGTGTTTGTGAGGTGTTTCAATTGCTTGTGGTGGTCCTGGGATGGCTCCATCTTTTCTATGTGCGTGTTGCTGTCCGGACGCCTGATGTGTCACTGTTATGGGCATGCTGTAGGGACCTGGCTGCTGTGTCACGGGATGTCAGTCCCTGGCCAGGGGACATGGTAAAGGCTGTCAGAAGCTAAATGCGTCCTTGCGCTGGGCGAGCTGGAGCCTGTTTGCATGCTCACTGATATAAACAGCGAGCGCTTCTGTCTGGGGAAATCGTGTCGGGTGAGCAATGACAGAAGTAACTGTGGGTAGATCTTAAATGCTGTGTTCGGAGCATAACCCCCATCTATCCAAAGTTTTTTTTCCTCGGTCTTTAAAGTACTGATTGGGTACCAATCCATGGAAGCATCTTCTGTTAAAGTATCAGAGAAGTCCCTTGGTTTGCTCAACCCCGAGCAGAGCAGGCTGAGGGGAGGCCTCATGGCGGCCTGCAGCTCCCTCACGAGGGGAGCGGAGGGGCAGGTGCTGAGCTCTGCTCTCTGGGGACAGCGACAGGACCTGAGGGAACGGCATGGAGCTGGGACAGGGGAGGGTCAGGCTGGGGGTTAGGGAAAGGTTCTGCACCCAGAGGGTGGTCGGGCACTGGGACAGGCTGCCCAGGGCAGTGGTCACAGCATTGAGCTGCTGGAGTTCAAGGAGCATTTGGATAATGCTCTCAGACATAGGGTCTGATTTTTGCGTGGTCCGGTGTGGGGCCAGGAGTTGTACTCAAGGTTTTTTTGGGTCCTTTCCAACTTGGGATATTTTGTGTTCCATGATTTTGAATTTTCTCTCTCTCTCTCTCTTTTTTTTTTAATACTTTTTCACTCATTGATGATCTTTTGGGGGCTTTCTCTGATCTGATCCAGTGTAGCACTAACTGGAGTTCTTATGTGCTAGTTTCTGTAAATGCTTAAGCAAAGCAAAAAGAAGAAAGGCGTTATTTTTGTCATTTGGCATTTTTCTAGTCCTCTGTTCCTTCATGTTGGTGTTCCTGAAATCATAATTCCACAATTCAAATGGGATAGAACAAATCAGATTTCAAAATAATTGAAAACGTAGTGTTTAGTTTAAACCTAAGTAACTGCTATTTTTTTTAATTTCCTTCCAACTTCAACTTAAAATTTAACATGGCATTTCAGATTTAATAAGGTAATTGAAAGTAGATCATTCTTGCAGGGTGTTCCAGAGAAAGATTTTTTTGGTTTGCTACAGTTATACAGTAAGTGACTCCTTACTGGAAGTCACGGTTCTTGGTTGCTGCATGTATGGCTGCTTTTTCTTTCCTTCTTCCAAAATAGCTACATCATAGGTTAAAAAGTAAAATAAAATCCAAAACATCAAGTTTCCAGGCATAGGTATGCATAGAATATCTCTGTTTTAATCTTTTTATCATTTATGTGCTTTGCTATGATGCCTTCTGGTGCGTCTGTTTGTGTTGCTTTGCTCAGGGCTTGTCTTTGTTCTCAGGTTTTTGGCAATAAGTTTACTTGCTTTTGCTATGTTAGAAAACTTTCACAGGATTGCACTGGTTTGATGTGGCTTTCATCTCTTTCTTTTTTTGCAGTAGTAGAAATAAAAATATATTTAAAAAATGGGAACGAAGTTCATACGCAGTGGCTTCTGTATGGGTTTGTATCAAATTACAGTAGGTTCAAGAGGAGCATACAGATGTTTGTGTATTTTGATCGAGTGTGTAATTAAACTTCGGAGTTTGTGAATTTTTGCTGTGTACAAGTTCATGTGAATCTAGATCAGAGGAAAGATGTGGAAATTGAAATTGATTATTGTGGATGGCTTCTCTTCTGTAGGGAAAACATAGCTGATATTGATTTTGAGCACTAACTTTTTGTGGGAACAGGAGGAGCGAAGCCTTGCTGTGTGCTGTGGTGCTGCTCCTCTGTAGCCACTGCCGGAGGCGAGGTGGCAGCTGCGAGGGATCGGTGCTCGGTGCAGGCATGCTCTTGGTACGTGCAGTGCTTCTCCCTGCCGGGCTGCAACCAGTCGCAGGTGATCCCGCGAGTTAGCTGGCAGTGGTGCACTTCTCGCCTCTGGCACCGAGCAGTTGGCTCCCTCTGCTTCAAGAAACCAGTCCCGTATGCTGAAATGTCCCACAAGCACATCTTCTAATAAGCTTAGCAGTTGCGTTATTTCAGATACTTGTGGCAAGAACATGTGACTGTTCTGTCCCTTCCTCCCCTTTCCCCCAAAGCCACTGAGACAGAGATATGAGGAAATAAGTAGTGCTGTGTATTGATGGCAAGGGAGTATACGTTGCTCGGGGATGATTCTTAAGAAGCAGAGATGGCTGCAGCCTCTGCCTGTCTTCTAGCATCTAGTCTGGTACTGCCCTGAAAAGTTGCTGCTGCAAACATGGGTTTTGTAGAGAAAATGAAGCAGGAATGGGCCTCCCTCTGAGGGCCTGGAGCACCTGGTGTGGAGGGGAGGCTGAGAAGAGGAGGCTGGGGGCAGGGTCCTGTGAGTGTCTGTAAATACCTGGCAGGGGGAGTGAGTGAGGGCAGAGCCGGGCTCCTCGCAGGGCTGGCCAGTGACGGGGCCAGAGGCAAGCGGCACAAAGTGTCCCAAGGGGAGTTTCCACTTAAACACAGGAGAACTTCCACTGTGAGGCTGCCCAAAGGTTGCTCAGAGAGGCTGTGGCGTTTCTGTCTCTGGAGGTGTTTAAGGACCGGCCTGTGCTAGCTGACTGTGTTGAGCAGGGGTTGGGTGGCTGACCTGCAAAAGTGCCTTCTGACCCCCGTGCTGCCAGCCGGGAATTCGGAGCCCCAGCCCAAGTGCCCTGGCTCAAACCCAGCTGCTGCAGAGCACAGCCACAGTCAGACTGAGAGCTGGAGAAGGCAGGTTTGCTGTGAAGCCTGGAGAATTTTGCTTGGGGAAGATAGTCACGAGGAGGACTGTGCTGTCGTGCCTCCCTTGCATTCCTTGCCTAGCAACAAGTAGTGACTTTGGATTCCAGACAGGTTGGGGGGGTTATAAAAATAATAATAATGCATAGTATAACTATGAATCCAGGACCTCAGAAGATGAATGGATCTTCAGATATGTCTGAGGCCTGAAGTTAAATAAAAACAGTGAAGGAACTGTTAGCAGAGGCACCAAAGAGGAATGTGCTGCTCAGTTCTTGTTTTCAGGCATGCATTTGCTAGCTGGAAAGCTAGAAGTGTCCACGATGTTCTGGCTCCAAGCAGGGCTGTGTTTACCTGGTTAATCACGGTTTGTCCCCATGGGTATTGCAAATCAGCTGCTGGCACAGTCACCTACTCTGTGTGGGGGTAAGTGATTTCAGTCATTTGTGTGGTAAGCAGCTTTCAGGTTCTGGGCTGTTGGGTTTTGGTTAAGATGCACTGCCACAGTGACAGCTAGCTCTGCAGTGTGGTCTGGAGTCTTAGTGCCTCCTTCAAAAGCTTTCACTTTGGCTTGTGTTGTGCATGATGCTTGTGTTGGAGCACCCTGTTGCTTCGCCTCTCCCATGTATGAAGTCCCCTCTGTAGACGGCATTACGCTGTCATGGCCCTGCCTACTGAAAGTGGCTCTTGTAAGCTGTGTCCCCTGTGCTGTGGCACGTATGTGAAGGTTTACTAGAATTCTAGTAGTGTACCTTAGGCTATATAGTGCGCATATATATAATATATACATACTTTAAATATACCCACACCTTAAATATATATTCACCCTATATATATATAAAAACATGTATATTAGGCCTTGTATATGTGTATAGTATTTATGCTAGTACATTATGTACAATATATAAAGTATATACACACATACTACTATATATATACCCCTGTACTATAGTATATTGAACCTATACATAGCATATATATGACTATATAGAATGCTAATGAACTATGATGCTTTTGTATACATTAATACCTGAATGTGTGATGCTTTCGTATACATTTATGTGTGGATGTATAGTGATAACTGGGTCAGCCTTACAAAGACCTCAACTTTATCTTTTTTTCTGTGACAGGAAGTACACTCGTGTACGCCGTGTTGGCACAGCCACACTGCCCACGTCGTCTGGTGCTGCCGTGCTGTCAAGGTCTGTGTGTTGACAGGCACCGTCCTGGCTTCCTTCCACAATCACGCTGATCCACAAGAGGTTAGTGAACTGTTCTCCCAGTCCATATTTAGTCTTGTTGTGGACAATTGCTTGTGGTTTTAGTTATGTAAATGAGAATAATTGTTTAATAAAGGCAGGCTGTTTCCACATCTTTGACATGCTCTGAGATCTGTCAGCACCTTCTAGTCCTAGTACTAAAAATTTCATGTTGTAACAACAAATGCTGTTTTTTATTATTATTTAGAATGTATCCATCTACATTTATCTTTAGGGCTTGTTGCATTGAAAGGTATTTCCTTTCAGCATATGAAAGCAAAGCATCCTGTAAGGGTTAATATCTTAAATATAAAATATCGGGTTTGATTTTTCTTTCCTGTGTCTTTTTGACTTTTCTGTTCTTCTGTTGTTGTCTGTAGCTTGCAAACTTCCACTGCTAGGTACAGCTAGTTGTGTCAAATCCTTGGCTGGTTTTGGGGAATGCATTCATTTCCCCTGCTTAGCAAAGCAGTTGGCAGCTACCAGGAGACTGCATGGAAGGGCAGGGTGACAGCACGTCTCAGGCACCCCAGCTGCGTGACAGAGAGGGGAGCTTGGCTGCATGCAGCTGATGCTTGGTGCTATGCCCGTGCCACTGTGCCAGGCTTGTGGCCTGGCTCCTGTGGACGCTGGCACCTGCAGCAAGCAGCAGCCAGCCTGCGAGCATGAGATAGCACACAATCTCCTGCAGCTGTCTTATCTGCCCCTCTGCATGAGGGCAGGCACTGAGGAGTTATGGCAATATTTATAGCGAGATCACTTGTTAAAGTGTGCAACTTTCAGCTTGTTCTTCTGATGTACTAGTGAACTTAGCTATGGCTATCATGTAACTGCAATGAGAAATGACTATTACCAAAACACTTTTTAATAAAAAAAAAATTTATTTCACACTTCTATACAAATATCCACAGGTAATTTCTAATTATGGAATAATATGGCATTGCTAGCTGGTATTAAAAAAGAGACAGTTTGAAATAAAAGTATACCAGTGATGTGACTTATTTTTTAAAACTTTCAGTTTAACACTGCAGAGACATTCATGTTCTTAAGGGAGGGCCGTAATCTGCTTTCAAATCAAAGGCTACAGTAGTCGCTGTCAAGCTTCTTAGCACCTGATTAGCCTGTCTTCTTATGCTGCTGAGCCTTTCAGCAAATAAGCTAGATTTTAAAAGGTCAAAAATTGTTTAACAGCTAAATACATATTTTAAGTGTTCATAAAATCAGGGTGATAATAGACTGAGATCATTTAGTGGGAGGAAGAAGAGTATACTAAATTAATCCTCTTTCTATAATGTTAACATTTTAGGTGACCATACCTTCTAACAAGGTATTTTCAAAGTTGGTAGTAAAAAATAAAGATACCTGACAACTGCCCTCTTAGCAGGTTTTCACCCTATGAGGGCAAAAAGTACCAAGAGGTTTTTGCATAGTTCAAATTACTAGCAATTAACATGCATACTTTTTGAGCATAGTTGTTTTACACTGAATAAACAAACTAATCTTCATTCTTAGATAGTACCAATGCTTTAGAACATGGGTTTTAAAAAAAGTCAACTCTTTAAATAGCTTTATCAATTACGTTACAACAATTAGATCACTGATAAGCACAATATTGTGACCCTACTCTTACCCAACATTCAGGTATTCAAGAGTATTCAGTAGTCTCAAAGAGGATCAACTCAGATCCTCATAGTTAAATTAGGCATTTACAGCCTCCTTCAAGTGCTACGTAACAGTTGCAGTAGTCAACACCTTTTGCCAAACAGGAAATCCTTATGATGCTGGAAAGTTTTTTCCAGAGAACCTCTTACTTCTTCCAGTAAGTATAAAACTGTATCTAAAAACCTTATTATGCTTGGTGTCCAAACAGTAAAATAGTCTGAAGTAATATACAAATCATATTACAAGACCTGATAATTCTTATTAGGTAAAGTTATAAGTATCAGGAAAATAAGACTCCACGTACATCATTGGAATAAATATTTACATTTTTTGGAGAGCAATGGCACCTTCAGTTATGTATTAAAATGCAGTGAAAGCCTCAGGTCTCATCATATGAAGTTCATAAACACAGTGGTTTGAAGGTTCAGTGAAGTCTTTGGCCTAGCAGTTAGACAAAGACAATGATTTATAATAAAAATAAATACAAAAATGACTGAAATATATATATATATAAAGTACATCTAATATCCAAGCCTCTTTTAAAACAAAACAAAAAACCTGTGTATATTTGTTGTGAGCAATATTCACACATTCTGATCTTAAAAAACAAGCAATGTGAGCTATTGCACGTATAACTTAAGGTGATGCTTTTTGTGAAGTCCTAACTACTGCAGCAGGCGAAGCACACGACTAAAACAGATATGCAGGTCTTCAGATTATACTCAATGTTAAGGCCACTGCGTGTTTATAATAACCTATGCATTGGGGGAAGGATGGAGAACCTATGTTGACCTCAACCATGCATTCCTTGCATTCCCAGGAAAATCAGGATTACAGGAAAGGTCTGCCATAGTGGTTCTGTATATTTTGTAGAAAAGAGCCCAACTCAACACAGTATTTCCTGAAGTCTGAGTTAGATTTGAAGGTAAAAAAGAGGCAGAGTAGAAATTAAATAATGCAAATTAAAGTCCGTTGAAGCAATTTTAACTGTGCAAACAAAAGCCTCAATATAAGTAGTAGTATCTACAGTCAAACGGTGAAGATGTCCGTAGTGTTCATATGTCTAACTCCATGAGTACTCCATAAATGGCAACATTTAACTTCTATCTGAACTTTGTAGAGGGAAACGACTTTTCCCTAAGAATAACTTTCATTCTCATTCCATTTTGTGAACCATTGTTTTGTCTCAAGATCTTTGATCTCTCGCTCTTCTTTTCGAATTCTTACAGCATGGTATCGGGGGACACTGTCATCGTACCTGGAACGCTGGAAGAACCCGCACTGAGGCCAAGAAAAAAAAAAGACAAGGTTAGGTTTAAGTTGCCGTGAAAGTACTACAACGAAATTCTTCTTTTGCAGAGACTTACAGGTAAGAAAATTGAAAATAAAAAGATGTAGGCAAAAATGCACCGTGTAAGTCTTCCTACAAAATTATTCATTTGTATAATGAGAAGTGTTTATGCTAAACAAAGATGTAAATACAGTTCAGGAAAGCTTGCTTCTCCTGAATCAGAGGTAGATACGTTCTTCAGTATCTTCCTGTATGGTGACATGATTTACCGTAAAACCCACAGAAAGATTTCCAGGCCCTTCAAGAGTTACATCAGGGCTTTTTATTTATTTTTTTTTCAGAGCACCATCACAACTGTAGTCACTTGAACTAACTACACATATGCAGTATTAGAGCATGAGTCTTGCTTAATACGTCTGGTGCAAAACAGACATAACTTGAAAGTTTTATAGTATGCCCTGACACATCTCCCTAGATAGGATATAGTACAAGGTTGTGTGTTTGTTTTTAATTCAAAGCTAATATAAAAATGGTTGCTGTTTTGTTTTGTTTGGGTTTTCTTTTGAACTATTTAAGAATGTACTGAAATTAAATTTCAAAATCAAATTGGAGTTTTGGCCACAGTGGTACAGAGGTGATGACTAGGAGAAGACACTTGACATGACGTGCTTATGGGTCGCAGAAGTCAAGATTAAAGGTAAGAGACATTGTGTCATCTGGCTGTCATTACATATTACTAGAAAAAAGAAAGTGGCAACATTTTGTTCATAGTATTTGAGGTGGTAGAATCTCGGGTTTATTGTTGTGTTGTTTTTTTTTTTCAAATCTATTATAATTTAAGTAGGTATATATTAAAAAATAAATTGAGGCATAGACCAAATTTTTTGGCCATCTCTTAGAGAAGATTTCATACACACAGTTTTGATAGATTTTGGTTAAGAATTCCTCCCCAATCCCTCATGTCAAAGCATCTTTAATTAGTATCCTGTACATGCATGTATTCTCTTAAGTTGAGTGCAGGTTGCTAGAAGCATAAATGGTCATGCATCGTAGTAGCTTCAGCGAAGAAAAGTTTCTACCTAGAAAAGTATGGTGTAGAATAGAAGGAAAAAAGGTGGTTCCACAACAATTAACTTTTCTTTATGAAAACCCCTTTCATTAATGAGCAATGTGTATTTTTAAGCATGCGCTAAAGGTTAATAAAGCAAGTTTATCTTCCACATACTTTAGCTTTAAGTATTAACTCTGCAGTGTTGATTACCACCTCTAAAGCTTAAAAACTAACTTGTACTGTTAAAACATCAATTCAAAAAAAGACTAAAATCCATTGCAACAGATGTTTTCTAAAGGTGTTTTTTTCGACCAAGGTAAACACCTGTGTTTATGTGTACCAAAAGGTGAATATCTATTAATAGAATGAGCAAGCAAGTACTGATAGTCCGTAATCCAAAAGTTAACAGAACATTAGCAGCAAAAGCTTCATCGTTAGCCACTGCAACCATAGCATGTGCCACCACAGCTAAAAATTAAATATCATTGATTACCAATTATAGGAGTAGACCAATACTACGCATCAGAAGTAAGCCTCTCTTTATCAGATGGCTGAGCATGGATCTCAGCCTTGTGATATGTGGCATCGTAATGATCTTTCTTATTTCTCTTGAAGAAACCACACTACAAGGAAGCAAGGTATTTAGTCATTTTTTTGTGGACTGGAAAAAGTTAAAACTATTAGAACTGACTTGAGTAACTGATCTATCTTTTCATAATCTCTTCATGGGATTGTTATCTGAAAAGAATCGAGAGAACTCTTAGCTGTATCTAGATTTGAGAACTCTGGGACTAACTTAATCTGTAAAATAGTATAATCTGGGATAAGGAATATTATTTTGATAAATTTTTAATACATCATTTTTTCAAGAAAAGCTACTCTACCGTGTATTTGTAGCAACTAAAACTGTCTGTGAAGAGCAGTAAGATATCTATATGGAAACCAGTTTATGGACTACTGCACAGGGTAAATAAAGAACAAAAATATGAGTTACTGATTTTACCTGTACAACACAAGCATTTGTCTTATACCCAGTCATGCAATTGTCTATGATGTGCCATGTTTGTCCTTCATAAGACAGCTCAGTGTCTGTCATTGAAAGAAGCATTTCACACTGTGTGTGAATGCATGCATTTTCATGTGCAGTAGAAAACTAATATGTGTAACCTAACAGCCCACGCAAGGCCTTAATTGTAATTCATTAGGAAGATTTGCAGCAGAGGCTGGGCATTTTTTGGAAAGAAGGAAGTCAAGCATCCTTTGAGAAGTAATCTGTAGCAAACAGTAAGTCTTCAACAAAGCCACAACTGCTCCAGTGACAGAAAGGATATCCCTTTTCACCTATTCTTTTGTAGTAAGATTCTCCTATCCCATAGCAACATTAACTGCCTACAACAGTAAATAGTAAGAATAAAAGAACTACTCTGTTATACTTGGAACCATATTTTAACTTTTAGTTTTAAATATTTATTCCTTAAGGGTTTCTCAGATAAATAGCCAATACTGAAGAAATTGAACAATATATTTGCTTATGTGCTACTTTTGCACATTCTGGTTATTTTCATCTACTATGTCTTTAATGGTATTTCTAATGTTATGAGAACAAAGCCCTGTTAAAATACTGATAGAGAGTTCAGTTTTAAACCTAACCACAGAAGCCTCACTTATTATCCATCCATATCAATGTATCTATAGTCTCTGGCCACCTTATGAAGCTTTGTCTAGACCTCAAAAAAACCTCCTTTCAAGGATCTGGATACAGAAAAAAATCCTATCAACTATAGCAACAAGTCTTCTCTTATGACCACTTTTATTCCAAATGTTACTAAACTGATAAAAGTAGTGTACAGTTTAGGCCATTTTGCTGTCTTTTGGGTCCTAAATGCAAAGCAAAAATACTTGTTTGCTTAATTAATTTGCTACCTTGTCATCTGTACAGCAGGACATGTTAAATAACCAGGCAACTAAAAACTTACCTTCCATAGCAGGAATACCAGCAGTGCAAGCATCAGTATTCCAGCAAAAATAGCCACCACAATGATCCACCAAGGCACTCCTGTATAAAGTGCTACTGGTTTTGCAGGAAAGACAGTGACACGCACCTAAAGGAAAGAAAGTAGGTGAAGATGAGCATTTCAAAATCATCGAAATTTAAGATAAAGCTGCAATTTATAGTTTTATTTTCTTTTTCTGACAAGATGTCTTCTCTCATTTGCAAAATGCTTTTGGAAAAAAAAATCATATTGGTATCATTTCAATATGGTAGTGAATTTTGCCAACATAATTAAATGTGAAAAGGTTTGTTAATTCAAAATTCAATTAGAAATCTAATCTATTAGGTAGATTTGTTTTAAAATGGTTTATTTTTTTTCCAGTCTTTGAGATACGTTCGTTATGTTTGCAGCTTAACCTATGGCTAGCATTAAATGTTGAACCTACCTGAGCAATTTCATTTGTGAGTTTAACATTCTTAGCTGCAGCAGGAACACTGATTGAGGCTCTAACAAGAATGTCTAGGTAGTTCATTTTGGAGTATTCCTGTTCCAAAATAAAGTACAATTAGACATACAACAGGAAAGAACTCTAGAATCTTTCAAAAATGGCAGGTAAGAGGACTTACTTCTACAAAAGTACTGTTCCAGAGTCTGGAACGCAGCAAAATAGATGCCTTGCTGTCAAAACCCTTCAGGGGACATTTTATGTCCACACATCGTGCATTCACATTGCAGTCCTGCAGTTAAAAATTTCTACGTGTAAGTAAAAACATCTTCACAAATTGTTAAACTGTCACCTTCTCCACCAAGATTTAAAATTGGATTATATACATTTTATTTATGTACAAGATCCAAAATCTGTTTGTACCAACAGCAATACGAAAGTAATCACATTTCCACATAGATAGCCCTGCAGAAATTCTTTCCTAGTTCCATCTCCATCAGTAGATAATACAGAAGGACAAATTCTAAAAGTATTAATACTTGGTTTAGGATAGAAACAAACTGGAGATAGTTTCTTTCACCCTGCCAAACTCCAAAGGCCCTGTTAGGCGTGAAGCAGAAGGTATCAAACAAGACTGTAGTTAATGCAGTGTGCTTACCAAGGTCTTATATTTTCTTTCTGAGAATAAAGAAAATGCTTTGCTGTCTGTAATCTGCTTCTCTGCCACCTCACGCTTTCTCCTGGAGTTATGGGATTCCTTGGAGAAAAAAAAGTTTTACTATGTTATCATATGTTTGTCTTGATTCTGTTCCCCATACAGGCATAAACAAAGAGTCTGATTTTTTTTTGTTTCAAGATCAGCACAAGTGACTTCACTATATAAACCCTATTTACATATACTCATTGCTAACAACAGAATCACAAAAAATTGATATTAACCAAGAAAAGGTTAACTGCCTTCTTTGACAGGTCAATGGGTTTTTAGACTTATAAAGCTTTTAATGTTGTTTCCATTTTTGTTCTCTCTCTATATATGGTATTAATGTTACTGTGCTAATACAGTAAGATGGTCAGTATGATGCATTTAACTGCATATTAATTACTTACTAGAAGTTTTATTAACTTATATAGTGATCAAGAAACTGACAAAATGTGTTTACATGTATGCAGTTCAATGGTGAAAATTACAACTTCTCCCAAGTGACCTTGAGGTTATATGAGAAACAATGAAAATAGGACTCGAGGTTTAGAAAAAACCTTGCTAGGTAGACATAAAGGACTATGAAACTCTTGCTTCAGAAATTGCTTTCAGCGTATTTCTTGTAAGCAATTAAATGTATTTACAAGCTCTTTCTCTTTCAAAAGAGTACATGGATTTCCCTTGGGTTGGGGAGATGTTTGCTGTCTTTTTTCCATGCAAGAACAGACTTCAATAATGTTGATGATGTGTTAAAGCTAACAGTACTTTCAGCCTGCAAAAGCATATGAAAGCAGTGCCCACTGCAGCTACAGTCACCATGAGACAGCAGCTGTTCTGTAGCTTACCTGTAGCTGTTACATGAAATTGCCTCATAAGGTTAAGAACGCATTGTTTGTGCTTTTGACCATCTCAAGAAAAAAAAAAAAATTGTTCTGGAGGCAAGTTCTTACACCTTACTATCACAAGCTATGGTGCTTTAATATTGTACTTACTAGTGACCAGGAGAAGGTAGGGTAACTTACCGCAAGATGCAAAGAATTGATTTCATTCTGTGGTTGACAGGAGACTTTTTCCAAGTCTTTGGAATCTATTTTCATCAAATACAGCAGCCATTTGCCATTACTAATTTCTTTTGGCCACTGGATGTCCAGGGAAGCTGTACCAAATGTTTTCAGTGGCCTGCCCAAGTTAGTTACCTGTTAAAATAAACATTATTTCAATTTTGTTTTAAAGGGGTTTTCTGTTTGAAAATCAATCACAGTTACTGACTTTGACGACTTCTAAGCATGCAGTTAACAGGACATTTAAAAGCCACTGAAAGACAGTTGAAACAGAACATAATGACAAAAGCATATAGTAAAACTAGCACACTTGAGTAGTAACTAATTCTGAGCTTGATTATAGTAAGATTATAATTCCCTAACATTAACTTTAAGCTATTGATGTCTGTCTTCATGTAAAACAACAACAACCACCCTTTATTTTGAGAACTAAGAAATCATTTTAGTTACGTTACTGAGGCAAACTGAAAGTTGGAGGAACTCTGACACAGAAAGACAACCAACTCCCACTGAAATAGTTTGGGAATTGTTTCCCAACTTTTTTTTTCTTTCTTAGTGTTACTGCTTATGATAGCAAGTTATAAAACAGATTTTCTAACAGCTTCAACATTAATCCTGTAGTTAAATACACAGGTAGAGAAGTAAATGAAGGATTTGACATAGATGGATTTCCAGACAATAATCCTAACGACACATAAATACAGAAGGGCTTGAATTAATGAAAAAGCAATCCGCTTCCAGACACACACAGATTTCACAGAATCAGAATACTTTCACTTCCCCTTCTCCTCAACTTATTAATTAGGCAGAAGACTAAAAGGGTGAACTTAGGCTCATGTGTTCAAAATGGCTCCTGCAGTGTCTTCTTGTGCGTGTTCAATCCTGCATGCCGTAAGTACACATATTTGCTGTTTGCCTGCATCAGCCAACAGCTGGTCATGTGCAGTTAGACTTCTGGGTTTAAGTTTCCCACCTGTACGGAGTTTATGCTGTATACCGGAATGCACGTGAACTGCTCTACAAGGATGTATACATCCAGCCTCATTCTGAACAGGAAGTCAGGATTGTAGGACTAGATCCAGCAACTTTTTCAAGTACTCAGACACATAAAAGGAGAAGCTGTTCCTTCGATTAAAATAGCTATTAGAATTAATTAAATTACTCACTCTGAATTCATATTCTATGAGGCTTCCAATGTCATCTTCAGATTTCATAGCGCTCTCACCAATGACGTTACCTCCAAAATATACCTGAGAAGGTTTAGCCACTCTGTTCAGGTGGGGGGGTGGAGAAAGGAGAATAATCAGATTTTAATGAAGTCTGCAGCAAAGGTGCTCTGACCCCCAATCTGGTCTACCAACACTTACCCAGTAAGTGATAAAAACAATTCAAGAACCACTTTAGCACTTGCTGTAATTGTAGTCAAATTAGCCTGAGTGCTTGTTCTGAAAAAAAAAAAAAAAAAAAAAAAAAAAAAGCACTGTTGATTTTATCAATTTAGCGGTTTTCACTTTACTATTAAACTGCTTTTATGTATCAGATCAAATAATTAAAAATATTTTTAACTGTATGTAAAAACAGCACACATGCATACGCACAAAAAAAGAAAACTTACGTTTCCAGCCTCAGATTAATGTCTAAGTCTGTCGTATCAACATTAACTTTAGTGGTACTTAAGATCAGATAAAATGTTACCTAGACAGGAAAGAACATCCACAAATATGTAAATATTTTATGGAAGATAATGATATATGGAATATTATAGCAACACACCATCAAATTCTGAAGTTAAAAAGACATGCAAATCAAATTTCTAGTTATGACACAGAAACTTTGGAAGACTGTAGTCAGTAATCAAATTATGTAATGTGAGAAAAATAGGTGCAACTTACATTGGAGTTTCTCTTGAAAGGATTTCCAAGTTCACACTCTGCTTGAGAACCATTTTGGTTAGCACCACATGTTAGCTGTTTTTCCTGAATAAGTAGAGTATATTTATAAGAAAACATACGCCCAAAGTGTTTAAAAATTTGAGTATCCTTTCTGTTAAAAAATACTCACTGGATATCCCCTCATCTCCCTGAATGCGGAATAGGTCAGACTGTCTGGAAAAGTTGCAATTAGTTTAGCTTCATATGCATCTTCACCGTCTTTTTGTGGATTTTTTGCATCAGATGGATTATTAGTCACAGTTATTTCCAGTGCAATATCTTTCTGATCTTTCAGAACAAGCACTGGCATGCCCTTTTCACTGCAGAAACAGAATATACAGGATTCTGTGCATTAGGAAAACAAATGTGTTTGAAAGTTTGTTTCTTACTGTGGTTTTACCCAAATATAATTCCCTCTATTAATGAAGAATTACTGCAAGAGCATAAACACAAGAATGGTCATAATTTTTTGTGGCACACACACTGCTAAAGGCTGACTGTTCACAGTAAGTAAACATACTTCCTTTAGGCTTTTTTGTTTTGTTTTTATACCTTCTTTCTAGTATCATTCAGCCCTCCAGTGAGGAAGGATGCTATGGGATATAGGGGGCCTGTCACGGTGTAACAATTTCTCCATTTACTTCTCTGTGAGTGATTGTCTTAAGCTACTGGAATGTAGTACATCACATTGTCATACAATGAAATTTCATCTCAAAAACAATTAACAGTACCATACAAGAAACTGCTGCTAGGTTGCTTATCATTTCTCCAGTGGTTAGTAACCTTATTTTACATTTTAGCCTAAATCTGCACACAGTTATAGCCACTTTACATCCATCTGACTCTGTACCACAACTCTTCTTCTAAAGCTCATCCTACTCCCCCATGTTTGTCACCTTGACAGATCAGTAGTACACAGGACTGTGTTTGCCAGACCAACAGAACAAAACTGTTCTAACTCCCAAAATAGAATATAAAAGGTATTTTTTTCAGTGCTTGTCAATAATTTGAATTTTAGCAATGCATTAATCAAGACTTACATTGGTAAATAGGTAAACCTGTCTTCATTTCCTTCTCTAGTGCAAAACCGGTATTGAAGGTTCAGGTTGCTGTGACATTTATTGTCTTCTCCACATCCTTCTTTTAAGAACTCCACCTAGATAAAACCAAAGCATGTTTATTGCATGCCACATGATACTAACTTAAAACAAGCTTTCTGATGTGCAGTGCATAAAGCATCTACAGGGAACTCAAGAAGTTCCTTGGATAAAGTAAGATTTTAACTTGACTCTACTTCTTACCTGTCAAGATCTGTTTTTCTTTGTGGGCCCTAGCCCTTGATGCTGATAAATTAAGATTTTATATGTAACTAAAGGGCAGAATTACATAAAACTTGATGCTTTACCCTTCTAAAAGAGAAGTACACTCCTAATGTGGAAAAACATCCTTAAATCTGATTCTTCAACAAGCACTGAGGAAATAAGATCTTCTACTCGAGGTAGGTCATTGAGATGGAGAGCTCTAATACTGCTACTAGCATCCTAACCATGGAAGAATTAGACTGCACATTATTTGTGATGTGGGTAAGTGTGCACAGGAGATGACAGATTACCGTTTTTATTCAAAAGTGTTTCCTCCTATATGTGTTGGTGAGGAAAAACAAATAACAGCTATATCATCCTCACCTTTTTACAGAAAAAACACAGGATCAAATTCAGAACATTTTCTAAAAAGTTCTTGACAAAAGTACAAAATATAAGCCAGTAGTTACAAATCCAGAGCCACACAAGTTATTTCCGTAAAGTTCAATGACTTATCAAAGTACAAATTTCTAAGAAAATATGCTATTGAAGGCTTACTTTTGCGATTGTTGTTTTAGGTTCATTTGAATCTAGAATTGGTATAAGGTCTGGAAGTGCTTTCTCTTTTCTTGTGGATGATGAGCTAGACTCTACGCCAGCAATTTCAACACTGACTGATACAGGAATTGGGCGTAGCTTATCTTTTACTACATCCTGTCAAAACATTTTAAACAGCATAGTTAGCATACAGTGCAGATGAGAAAAAACACTTAAAGATCAACTTTTGATATACATTTTCAAACAAGAAGTAAAGCAACATCTCCTTTGCACCATTTTTCCAATATTAAAACTATTCATTATTTAGAAACCCATCATTTTCTAAAAACATGCAAGAACACAAGGAATCCTAGCCCTACTGTCTTCATTTTTTTCTGGCTTCCTGATCTGACGGTTTCACTCAGAGTTAAGAATTATTAGGAATAACAAATGTTAACTCTGGCAAATGAAACTCACACTACAACAGTAAAATAACACTTTCTCTCTGTTGTGTAGATGCAAGGTTTTTAATTTCCTATGGTCAAAAAGCAATATTGTAGGCTTATTACTCCTGAGCCACAGATAGAGAATTTGTTCAGCTGTTGGAGTAATGTCACTTTTAGAGGCCATTACAGCAGTAAACTAAGATTGCATACCAAGCGTTCTTGTCATGCCCATTCATCCTGTCCAAAACCCGTGGCCTGAAATTCTTTTCCTAGCCAGTCACACTATTAAATTCTACAACCGGTACTACTGTGTTTTCTAACAACTCTCAGTTTCTGGCATTTGTTCCCTCTTTATTGTTCTAAATTGTTTCAGCTCTATTGATCTCCAGAGAACACTGCAGTGTCTACAACTTTTATTTATGTTTTAAAATAAAGGCAATGGGAAGAAGCAACACATGTACAGGGAATAGTAAAGTACTACTTAGCTATGGTTTTCTAGTGTTGAAGCCTTACATTGCACATGATTTTTAGGTTGCATACGAAGGTACCACAAGGCTGAAAGAGCAACATACTTTTATTTAAATGGGTCTAAAAGAAAAAGCGAATACTGTGCCTTACCTGCAGTACAAGCTTGGTTGTCACACACTTTTTAGAGTTCTGCCCATTTAGGGTTGTACTTGCATTGAACGTATCAGACTGATGGTCTTTAAACAGCACCCTAGAAAGCATGTTTAATTGCTTCCTCTCCTTTTCTGCTTCAAATGTATAGTTGATCTCTATATGAAGAAATAGTTTGCTATTAAGAAGGACCTTTGCCATATTAAAAAAAAAAATGGTTTAATAAAGTCATAGAACAGGGTGGGTTGAAAGGAACCCTAGATATCATCTAGTTCCACCCCCATCCCCTTCCATGGGCAGGTATGCTACCCACCAAATCAGGTTGCCCAGGGCCTCATTCCACCCTGGTGGTCTGGAACACCTCCAGGGATGGAGCATCCACAGCTTCTCCAGGCAGCCTGTTCCAGTACGTCACCACCCTCTGAGCGACGAAGTTCCTCCTAACATCTGATCTAAATCTCCCCTCTTTTAGGTGAAAAACATTTCCCCTTGTCCTATCACTAACTGCCCACATAATTTCTCCAGGTATGATCTTACCAGCAGCATTCTAGAAGACTTGTTACCCTCTGCTGAATTTTACTAATGTTTTCAGTTATTTAAAAAACTTTCTCCACCTGCATGTTTTGTTCCTCTCCAGTTGAGGGCCAGATACCCTGTACAGGTCATGTATCTAAAGGAAACTTCCAAAGTGCTTTTAGTCAATAAATTCCTGTTGCTTTACTAAAATTCAGTGCTGACTAAAGCAGCTGTAATTGGTGTTGTAGAGCCAGTAGAGGGCTGAGATTAAAAAATAAATAAATAAATTCATAAATACTCTGACTTGATTCCTTCATTTCTATCTTGTCCCAAACTGCACCTAAGCAGCCAAGCAGACTTTTGAGGTCAAGGTACATTGTTATTTTCACACAGAAAGCAATAGCCTATAGCTTTCTAGCTATGTCTGCTAAGGCAGGGAATACCATGTTTTTTGATAGATCTGAACTCTGTGCATCTTTTAAACATCTCTGTATTCACCAAGCTAATGTTGTGTTCCAAGGCTGGGAATAGCACTGAGCATGCCAGGCCTCAGGAATGTGCAGAGGTGCAGGTCCAAGACCCTGTTGAAGCACATCCTATAGATTTTACAAGTAATTCAGAATCTCAAACAACACAAGAGGAAAAAGAGGTGTGGGCTTAGAATTCTTCTCATTTCCTCTTGAGATCCTACAGTTTTCTGAAGTGTATTAACAGCAGCATTGTAACAACTTAGACAAAAAACGGGAGACATCAGAAACTGATGCTTTGCATTTTTACCAATATTTATGACACAATCTTCCAGCCTCCTATTAATACAGAGATCTACTATGTCAGTTGCTGATTTCCACTAAGTTATATGCATGAATATAAAACACTTTTTGTAAGTGCAAGTCCCCAATAGGAAATAATGCTTATTAATGACATATAAATTGCGCTTTAGAACTATTTTCCAAAGCAGGAGCAGCCTGGAGAGGCAAAATGGTTTTAGTCTGTATGGCAGCCATTTGCTCACTGGCAGTTATGTGACCTAGAAAACTTCAAGTGAGTCTTTTACCCACAGAACTTCCTAACACACCAGAATTTCTTTATATGACCCTATGTGCTACTCTACATACAGATACCACAATAACTAATTGTCCTTAGTACTGAGTTGCGTTTTAAACCTGACAGTTTGAGATGAGTCGCTATAATTTAGGTACTATTCTTCCAAGATACTCTCAAAATTTAATTTTTATATATATATAAAACAAAGATTAAAACATACTATCTTCAAAACTTACTTATTCGTGGATTTAAATTACTGGGGTTTGCAGTATAATGAAAACATGCTTCCACATCCATCCTGTAAAAAGTGCCAAGAAATTAAAATTAACTTTAATAAGGCACGGTCCAACAGACTGAAAAGTTTTAATAGTCCACTGAATGATATCATCACAGCTTATGACTGTGGTTTTCACACTAGAACTGTCATTTGCTGCTTACTAAACTGAATTACAAAGCAAGGAAAGATGTTTAATGAGCAATTAGTAATGATATTTTCTGACACTTGCTTTTACATCTCTACTCATGAGAAATCAGTTCTAGGTAAGATATTTTAAGATACCTGAAGTCCTAAGTGGCAAAGTGACATTAATTTTTCAAAAACATGCATTGTAAACAGAATGTATTCCACATGAAGTCTTTAGCACTAGTCACAACAAATTCAGGAAGTCAAAATGACCACATGTAGATACATTTGCTTCATCTGCACAACTGTCATATCCCCTCACCTTAATATAGTCACTGTTTTGTGATACATTTTGACAACAGAAAGCTCAATACACCAATGTTCCCGATAGAATAATAGAATAATTTTTAAATTACCATATTTCACCAGGGTCCTCAGAGTTCCTTTTATTTAGATCAAGTTTGTCAGGATGTACTGTAATGCTTTTCTTAATGCTTATGACAGGCCGAGATCTTTATTTGGGGGAAAAATGGGGAAAGAAAATAAAGGTCAAAAAAAAAGTTTCAGTTAAGATTAATGAAATAATTCATGTGAATCCGAGATGCCCCCTATTCCTGCACTAATTTGCAGCAAAGACAAGAAACATGGGTTTTAGGTTTTGCAGTAGTAAAAAAAAAAAAAAAAAAAAAAAAAAACAGCTTAAAGCTAAGCTAACCAAGCCACAAAAAATGACTACAACAGTGAGTAGTAAATGCCTGACAGGGGACAGGGTATATTAATGTAACGTTATGGTTATCATTTTATACACATACTTAAAACAGGAAATTCAAAATGATGGTTCCCATACCAAGGGCAATTCAGGCCCTGTGTGCAACTGTAGGAACTAAAGTTCATTCAGGTTAATGTCCAGAACAGCTTTAATGTGGAGCCTGGGTGGCTACAGGAAACAACATTTTTATTTCCTGACTCCTCTCTGCATGTAGACTGCAATCATAATTTAGCCTTGCACTTCTTTTTTTCCTTTTTTTTTTTTTTTTGGAAGAGACAAGAAAGTACAGTTTGTATGAAGGTAAGAATGAGATAATCCTGTTCTCAGAGAAGCATCTAAAGGCTGTTTACATTAGAACCCGAAGAAGCCAGTATGACACCTTAATCTTTTCAGCAGATGTAACTGGATCACCCCTTTCACTGTCAGCATGGACTTGGTCAGAACAGACCAACGTTCATTCCACCTAGTTTGTTCTTTTCCACAAGCAATCTGAGTTGCTTTTGTTGGATGCTGTTTCAGTGTATGTAAGGGCGTTACAATTATCTACACAGATACTATATACCTTAGAGATGGCATCATGAAAAGATTGTAGGAAAAATAATTCTGTATGAACTTTCATTCTGCCTGAAAGGTAGAGTTGTTTTCATCTGCAAAATTCAGATAACCAATTTCAGAGTTTTGCCTCTCTCCTTTGGGGACCTGAAAATAACCACCGCAGCCTCGAACTTCATGCAGGATTCACAGCTCTAAGGAAGAGGTAGTCTTCCTCCTGCTCATTACCAGTGTTTCAGCTTAACAATACATTAAAAGAAAAACAGAGGCCTGTAAAGGTCCATCATCATCTTGGTACATCCTAATTAAGGCATGTGCTACAGAAATCCACAAAGATAGTTTCTGCAGGGCTTCCTCAGTGCTGTTTCATGGACTCCGCCACAACCTCAGCAAGGCAGTATTGCCTCACTGCTTGCAAATCCTCAGCTACAGAACTGACATTCTGCTTTGTTTTGTTCTACCTTCAGCAAAGCGGGATTTGATTTATGTAGCAGCAGCAAGATAAAGCTCTAACAAATATATCAATTATCTTATTCCTTCTTAAGGCAAAGGAATTATGTATCATTCAATTCAGACAAATCAGACATGGACATCCAAGTGAGCTACCACAAGGCGCAAAGCTAAGGTACAGATTTACAGCAGACATCGGCACTCCACACTAAATGTCCACGTTCACCCTCCTACCCTGTGTTAATTGTGAAGTAGCTTCTTAATGAGAAAAAGTAACAAACCAGTGTGTGGTTATTTTTTCCCAGAACTTCTAATTTCTAGAATAAAAAATTTACTCCAGGCAAAACAGCTCTTTTGTTATTTCTACGCATTTTGTTTTTAAAAACTAAAGATCTTGGTGTAATTAGTTACTGTCCTATATATAGTACCTGAACACAGATACAGAATCTGAAAGGGAACCAACAGCAATATCAGGGTAGGAATTTTTATCCAGGTCCATGTTTCCAGCAATAGAGTAACCAAAGAAATTGGTGCCTGTTTTTTCACCATCAAGAATCTAAAGAGCAAACAGATTGAGGGAATTCAGACATTGAAAAGCTATAAAATACTTAATAATAAGTGAACATCATTATCTTACAGCTGAGAGAGAGGAAAAAAAAAGAAACAAAACCTGTATGTTCAGGTAAATTACACTAAAGTTCCAAGATGATTTGCTGTGTATAGAATTTTTGCTTATCTTTTTTTTTTTTTAGTAGTATTTAGACAGTATAGGCACTTGAAACTAAGTACTCTATAAAATATTCTTCAAGTATTCCAGAAGGTATAATTAAGTTCCCTTCTCATGTTGCTACCTGAACATAGTGGTCCTCAAGAGGGGGGGTGGAGGGGGAAGAGAGAGAAATGGTTTTTAATTTAAAAACTAAGTGGAAAGTCATGGAAAAAAAATATCTCCAGAAGAAAGGAGAAAAATATGTATAGTTATTTTCAAAGCAAAAACTCTCTATTAATGTGACTGTTCTATCTGAATCAAGAGCAAAGAACTATTATTTCAGAAATCCCAGAATTTCTTAAAAAGACTTATGCATCTATGTATTTTTTTCCTTCTCTACATCAGTGGACTCTCCCAGAAACAAAACATGACAAATCATGAACTCCTAATCCTTCTGGTCAGCAGTATAATCTTTGAAGGTGCCATAACTTTTCTGCATACCCACCACCCCACTAATAGAAAGACAGAAATAGAAAGACAGATGACAGATAAGCCCTGCAAAACGTACAGTAGAAGTTACTTCGTTACCTGTGCTGGTTCTGTATTTATTCCACTCTCAGATCCATGATAAATGTATACTTTGCCAGAACCATCATATGGAGCCCCTACTGCAATATCTGTTGAAAGTAAGTTACAATATCTAGATAATTCGTACTCTTTGTGCAGTTTACAATTTTGAAATAGATGTTCTAAGTCTGGCATTAGCAAAGAAGTCACATACATTCTTATTTTAGTCAATTTTCACTCACCTGGATATCCGTCCTGATTAATGTCCCCAACATTTTCAACTGCAAGACCAAACATCGAGTCAGCAGTTCCATTTAAGCGAACAGGTTTTACTCCTTCCCATTTGCCTTGTTGGTTAATGTAGATGTAAACAGCACCACCAATATCTCCACTTCTGTCAAAATACTGCGGGGCTCCAACAACAATGTCTTGCCATCTTAAAGAAGGAAAAAAAGTGGTGTTTTTACTGAAGAACTGTAAAAGGAAATAGTAAAGATTGTAGTCTCAAGGTCAGCTAGCCAAAGATCTGCCGAACGATGATTAAAAAGTACAAACTGTTTCAGCAGTATCAGATGGCAACAGATCCACTGAGACTGCAAGCAGGCTATACTCCCTTTATGGCATACAAGCATCTTCTCCTTGGGCCTTCTTTGGGTATGAAATTTATTTCTTCTTTGTTTACAGTGATTTATTTTTTTTTAATTTAAATAAAACTAATTTTTGTAATTAAAAACACAGACTGTATTCTGCTTGATTCTCCTGTATGTTCACCATTTCCTGCAGCAAAACATTTAAGATAGGACATGGCGTTCCTTGCATTTCAAACATGAAAACCAAAGCAGAAATAAACCAGACTGCCATCCTATACATAGGAAGCATGAGTTAACCAAGGTCATACCCATCACTGTTGAGATCGACAACAGCAACATCATAACCAAAAGAAGAAGCCAGCCCTTCTCCTTCAAATATGCGCTCCAGTGACAATGCCTTCTGATTTTTCTCTTTTTTCAGTAGAACAACTGCTCCACTGTGGTTGGCTCTTGGTGCACCAGACACAAAAGTCATCTCATCTTGGGAGACTATTCCTTTACCAGAGTCCAAAGAGAAACCTTCAATAGAGAAAGGAATAATATATATATATCATATGTGTGTATTTACATATACAAATATATACATATATAAACAAAAAAAGACTTGTATAAAAATAAATTCCCCTACTATATTAAAGTGGTATATTGATAGAAGTTTTGGCTAAAACAGAATATTATATACTAGGAATTCTGTGCTTCTATTTGAACAGGTGGATGCATGTCTGTATGTCTATACTCTTTCATATGTTACATTTAAGTATCTCCCCCACAAAACATATTGATTCATTACTCACTGAGATCTACATTTTGCAGACAGCAAATACAGGGTCTTTTTTTTTTTTTTTTTTTTTAAGCATACCGGCTTAGAAATGACTTAACATTACCACTTGAATATAGCTTGACTACTTTGCCTCCAACAAAATTATTATAGAATTCCTAAGTACAAGTCAGTATCATTCCATTGAAAACATGCAAAATGTACTGTATGAGTGTGACATTGTACAAGCATTGTATTAATGATTTATACAGTATTTGAGAATCACCTTATACAGTAATGGTGAAATTGGCAATTTTGATTTAATGCAGCTCTAAAGGACACGTTTGAATGAATTTAGTCCTAACTACTCTTTGTGAAAGCCGAAGGATTTAAAAATACATGAAAAACTGAATTCATAGAATATAAAGCATATACCAACATAGCCAATAAAGACCAAAGTAAAATAAAGCACATTGCAAGGAAGAAAATACCAGTCAGCAGATAATAATCACCCTCCTGAAAAACTTCACCAGTACTATTGAAATTCTCAATTACAGCAGTTCGCAATGAGACGGTTTCAGAAAAATTCACTAAGAGTCCACTTTGTGGGTGAGATGAGAGGGTTTGGAGAAATGCATCACAAACCAGGCCTCCTCTGAAGCCACCTTATTTTACAAGTTACCCTTCATCTGAATCCCTGCCTGTCGCATGCTTTTACTTGCAATGTATTTGAAATGAGGAGGGATGTAGTGGAGAGAATCATGTCAAAGGTCTAGATATTATGTTTGACCAGATGCTGCCACCTCAGGTGGTCACAAACCTAAGTAGCTATTCATCGTTACATCCACTGATTTGCCAACCTGTATGCTGGGAGGCAATGTTTTGTATACAAACTGATCTGGATGAGTATCAGATACAGCTGTCAGAAATAGAAGACCTGTAAATATATGAGTGAAAGATTGAAGAGAAAAAAATAAAGTAGTTAAGCAAAGCAAGCTAAAACCATGTATATGTACTGTCTAAACATAGAGAACAGCAATGTCAGCGAACACAAGCCTTGCCTAGTAGTAGTTTTGTTTTCAACACATCAAAGGCAGCATTTATATTTAGGAAATAAATGCAACATTACATTTATTATGAAACTGCAAAAATTCAGTAGAGTAAGACCTATACACACGCACGCACTTACAGTAAACTGCTCATAGCAAAAGACACCTCTACAGTACCCTTCTCACCAATTCTTCCACACAAAAAGGCTATCAGGATGCCTTTCTAATATATGCTCTTACAATTTTCTTTTT